GGTGACCAGTTTGAATTATCAAAAAAAAAAAGAGACAGAAAAAGGCTGATAGAAAACTGATACAACATTAAAAAGAAACACAAGATAAGTAAAGATTGGATTGTCCACAGGGGGCGCCAAAGTTGACCAAACTGAAAGTTCCTTACAGGAGCTTTAATGAGGAGCAACTTTACAAGCCTGCTTTTTGTTGAAGCTAAACTAATAAGCGTCTCTCCTAACTGACTGGCTCCAGAAACTGCTTATTCTCCATGTTGACAGATGGGACATGGCTTTAACTTTAGAATTAAAATGCAGGTCAAATTAAATTTTCTCAGACGTTATGAGGCATCTTTACCTTAGGACACTATCGCCGGGTGATTTTCACCTGACCAAACATGTTTACGTGATTTTCATGATGTTGTGTTTGTCTGAGTATCATGGGTCCCTGGGTAGCTTCAGCATTGCCTTTGACATCTTTGAAGGTATATTTGTTTCCCTGATCAAAAACCTGCCTTTTCCTACAGGCGTGTGTTCACAGGGTGATTTTCACCCAGCAATAGTGATAGAGGGTAAAGTAGGTTTGGGTGGATTTGATAGCTGCATGTAGGCAAATAAGGCAAGTAGCGCAGTGGTTGTGAATAACTATAAATCCCTTGAATGGGTGGAAAAGAACTAAGTTTACAATTTCTATATATATATATATGTGTGTGTGTGTATTTTTTTAGGAATTTGTTTGTTCATGAGTGCCTAATTTAAGTTATTTTGTTGCTCTTATTTTGTGCCACTTTTTTCCCTCTCTTTGGACATTGCACAGTTAAAAATAAGAGAAAACTACTTTAATTAGTCATATATTGTCCCATTAAGTACTTTTTCTTGGGTATATTATTTCAGGTAAAAATCACCCGGCGATAGTGATAGTGTTATGAATTTTAGCAATAGTGGTCTAGGGTTAATTATTTATCCAAACGTTGTTTTTTTCCTCAGTTTTGTTCAGTAAATCAAGTGATGGTAGTGATTTCCTTCTGCAACAAAGCGCACATTTCCCACGATGACCAACTAGTCTTTCAAAGGTGGTCATGTTAACATAGAAGCTCAGATATTACTTGTATTGTTTAAATGTCTCCTCGTCTTGTACCTGACTACATGCACACACACACACAGACACTCGCCAAGGCTAAATGCATAATTCAAAGGCAGAGTGGGCCATCCATCATATAACAGTACAGTCTGTGTTGAATCTGTGACACGTCAGCGATCTGACAGGAGACCTCTGGGTGTTACAGTGGCGGACTGGGAGGTGATGGTCCAGTCGCCTCAGCTGATCTTGTTGAATCTGGGTCACTTATATGATGTGGTCCCTATTTTTACTTCACACATCGTCACATTGCTGTAATGGTGGTAACATTCTTTTTTCCTAAAAACAGTTTTTATGTGTTTGCTCAAACCAGAATTACAGGAACGTGGGAAAGCTGAGTCTCATAATCTACAATTACCTCCAAACACCATCTTGAACACTGATTTTAGTGAAGTAACATGATTGGTTGATAATTGATTGGTGGAGGTGATTGCACAACAAGACATTGATTAATTGGCTCAGCCTGCAGTAGACACTTTCACCAGCATTTACCCTCAAAAACATTTCACCATTTTCGCTGTCTTCTGAATCAACATCACTTGTTTAACCCTCCTCCAATGTTAGGGTCTGTGCTGACCTGTTTTTGATCTTAAATGCTTAAAAGAACCACATAAATAAGCTTTTTTGCATCAAGACTTTTTGACTTTGTCAGGAATCGGTATTTCAACAAATTAAAAATGAAAAATTAAATCGACTAAATTATAAAATGCTCTTATTAAAATTATGGCACTTGTCGTGTTAGGGTCGCTGTTGACCCATTTAGATCAATAACTGAAATCATAAGTGAACTGTCAGGTACCATACTGACAGTCAGATCCTTTTCCAATCATGTGAGATTTAGATAATTCTAATTTCCCCATGTTTTTCCCTGAACAAAAAACAACGTCGGGCATGTCCAGACATGTGAGATCAATTCAGTATAGATGTCTGTATGAGGGGTACACTGACCCAGAGGACCATGATAAGCAACATTTTCATGGATAATGAAGCCTAACAAGGAAACCTCGAGATGAGAACCAAATTGGATGATAGAGAATTGTTTTTAGTGTAATTTACAGCTGATTTAAGACTCGGGTCAAAACCGACCCTTAACATGGTGGGTGCATAGTAAAAGCGAACACAGGAAGAAGGTTAAAGTAAGGCATGAATATGAATTTCATAAATATTAAAAATGCCTTATAGGAGCTTTAAACTTGGATATAATAGCCCAAAAAGTTTTGAGCCAGCTGAAAATCAGTCCTCCTCAATCTGTATTTTCATGCAAGCTAAATATCAAACAGACGCTAACAGGGTGCATGAAAGAAGGAAATCTATATTTTGATGAGATTAGCAGTGTGGGAAAGGAAAGTACAGGGAGGATGGGAGTTCACGCTGTGTGAGGCGTTCGATTGAACCCAGAACACCGCGTTAGATTAAAACCTCATCTAATATTTATTCACTTTGTCGGCTCCCAAGTGGCAGGAAAGTGATTTTTTTTAATGCCGTGGATCAGTCGATTTGGGAATGTTATGGTTTTATGTAAATCAGGATTCAGTTGGAAAATATTTCTCACAGTTAAGGTTTTATATCGAAATAGATCAGATGGCGACTTACTTACAGAGACCTGTTAATGAAGCTCTAATTTTAACTCTGTGTTAATATGAGGGGGTTTGGTTGATGCTGTATGTGTATCTCCAGCTAAAAGAAGTGCCATCCATGTTTGGCAGCTCTGGTGCTGCACGATGCAAACCCTTTTTGAATTTCAAATGAAATTTCACATGCTAATACTTGCAAATAACCCGACATATCTCACTCCTTTTCTCACATCATGAAATATATCACAGTGAGGGATAACTGGAGAGACACCCTTAACACCCTTATCTCCGAGAGTCACCCAGGTCTAAAGGAGAGGGGCTGGAGAGGAGGAGGAGGTGAAGCGAGGTCGCCCGCAGGTACAGTAAGTACTACACTCTGTGAGCATGAGTGTTATCTGCTCTGACCATCCACTTGTTGGCTTTCAGATATTGATCAAGTGCCTGGATGAGAATTTCATCCTCGACTTATCAAACCTGAACGGAGAGAGGGTTTAAGGAGTGTTTGGAAAAAATCCTTTTAGAAACTCTGTTTTTTCAAGAAAGTTCAAGAACAGGGTTTAAAAAAGTTCAGATGTACATTTTTTTAACTTTTGCTATCGTCGACAGTTTAGATTTTTCTTTTGTTATATCTTTTTTTGATAACCAGATTATACAGAACTACGCTGAAAGCTGGCAGATAGTTAGACTTTTGGAGTCCCTTGTAGCAAATAGTGTTGTGTCCATCGTGAACGATTCGTTCAAAAGAACCGAATCTTTTAAGTGAAGTACTGAACCGAATCACTTCCTCAAGTGATTCATTCGTTTCTCACTTCAGTTAAGCTGTCAGCAGGGCAGATGCTATAGCATGCAGCATTGCCAGGCGAGCAGCCTGCCACCACAACAACTTGCATACAATAGGACACAGCATGTAACAAGTAGTGCATAAACGAATCACTCACTCAGCCCAATTTACCGAGCAGACCTGATAAATAGCATACCATAGGACAGAACACTTATAACATCATGACTTATAAACAAATTCATTTTTACAAACCTATTTGCCAAAGCAACGCAGCCAAACACTCTTGTCTCCTGGTCCCAGAAGCTATGAACTGAACTGAATCCTGAACCGTTCAGCTGTGTATCAGTTCAGGAGGTCGGAGTCGCAGGCTCTTTTGGAAACAAATCTTTTGAACGAATCTTTTTAGTGAACTGATTCTAGTGATTCAGGACATCGAAAAGAACTGCCATGCCCATCACTAGTACCAAATGAGTGGAGCTCTTTGCCTGTTTCATGATTGATTGTACGTTAGCGGGAGTCGGCGATTCAAATATGGCGACCACCATTATGGGCCTCCCAGACCCTCTCAGAATATAAGACAAAAAGCATCAATGCTTTGCTGTATAATGACAAGATTACAATAATGCACTTACATTATCCGGCTCAACATCCAACAATCTTCAAATCCAGAGAAATCTTCATTTCTGTCATCAGATTGGCTGTAAAACAAACAAGTATCAGAGAATTAAGACGGCAGCTGGCAAACAGTTAACATTAGCTAATGTCACCTGCTACTTTTCTATTGGAATGATTGTATATAAAGGTGGGGTAGGCAGGAATCCAGTAAAGAAGCATCTTTTTCTGTGGTGTATCTGCAAAAAAGCTTTTAATATCTGTCAATAGCTATTAGCAAGTAATGACATTTGTTAATATAGTGATATCGTTGTGTTTTGTTATGTCTGTGTAGTCAACTTTTTTAAATTTTTTGAGTGACCCGCTCTTTCTGGCTGTAAACAAAGCCATTCTCCGCCTGCCTGACCTGATTGGTTGTGAGGCTGACGTCGCTTCCTAGTGTCGTTCACGGGCCCAAACAAAGTTAGCGTGCTACAATATCGGACAGTAGAAACCAACCAGAAAGTTCGGAAAATTGTCTGAATCCTCCTTTGGCCACGACTGCCAACACAAGCAAGAGAACAAAGTAAATACCGGAGACTCTGGTGGAATAACGGGCGCTTAAAACGGAGGTAGACCGGACAAGAGCTTTAAAGCTGGGTCAACATCAGCAAAAACGACGGGGGACGCTTCTGGATCTTACGGACCCTGTAACCTTTCTGCTGGACAGGTAAACCGCTTTAACAAAGTAAGCCAAGTGTCTGTAACAGGTGTGTTTCTTGTCAAACGGAACCTGCTGCGTGTTGTAGCGCCAAGAAACTGTTCACCTCGGGTCCTGGAGTATGTCACTCGCGAGTTTAGAAGTCCTGCAAACATTGTGTTTGCTGGTAGTCTGTTGGCATCTGCAGTAGCACCAAGTCCTTTTACTTTCACGTTGACTGGGCCCCATTTGTAATTATCTGAAGTATTAATCTGCATTATATCTGAATTTAATTAAAGCCCACCAGAAGTGAAAAAGACTTACTGTGCTTTTAAGATTTCTATTCTTTAAAGCTCCTGTGAGGAACTTTGGGTTTGTGTAGATTTTGGCGCCCCCTGTGGACAAAATTATGCCTGTTATCTCTCGCTCTATCTACGTCAAAATGAGTTTTTGAGACTGAAACCTCATCCTGTTGTCTTTCTATAGTCTTTCTGTCAATCATTGGTCTTAAACCAACCCCCGTATGGTAATTTCAGGGATTGAAAATCACATCAGAGAAAATCTCGGCCTTGTTGCCGATGGTCTCGTTTACTCCCAAAGGTCTTAAAGAACCATCAGGTCCAGTTTCAGAAGAAAACAGCAAGCATATAGATCATTAATTTACTTATTCTAGCAAAGACAGTCTTTAGAGAGGAAGAGGTTTTCTATAGGGCAGCCACATCCAAACAAGATATCTCACACAGTGACAGGTGTCAGCAGCTCTATATGGCTCACCATGTCGACAGATGACATTCATACATTCAAAATAGTGAAATAGTGTCTCCTGCACCCCCATGGAGCCACAATGAATAAAAGATGAGAGGAACATGGAGAAAGTTGTTGGCCAGAAAAACAGATGCACCCGCTCCTCTGACCTAGATTTCTGACATGGGGAGTGATTTTGTCTGTGTGCTAATGTGTTAGCTTCTGCCCACTCTTCTGCTGTCAGAATATCTAATTCCTTCTTTGGGACTTAAAACCTTCAGGAACCCAAGTAATGCAAGTAGGAAAATCGCAGCATCAGCTCCTGTTAAGTATCAAGTATCTGGTAAGACAAACACCGCCTTAAAGGAGACAGTTTGTTTGCATAGTTTTCCGCTGGATCAGAAACGTGACCCTGATTTCTGGAAACCCATTAGACTCTACACGCAGGAATTTGTTTTGTGATATGCAACAGCTTCCTTTGTATCCAGACTTTATTTGCTTGAACCAAACAGGAACGAGACTTTTTATATCCAACAAATACCTCTCTACACAGGTCACGCTGAGGTATGAGCAGCGAGCAGTTTCTCTTTTTAATAGTATTTACAGAGATAAAGGGGAGGGGACCATAGATCAGGCCACACATTTTTTATTTTATTCTCAACAAATCATTTTTCAAGTCTTCAATTAAAGGGATTATCTGTAGATAACAGTCAGCCCGGCTAGGAGAGGCTGGCAGAAGCTTCTACTCAGATGCTTATGAAGTGCTGCAACAGGTTCACAAGGAAAAAGACAGTAAAAATGTCCAACACTCATAAATACCTTTCAGTTACAGGATAAGCCGTGTTTTGGTTACTTTCACCCAACATAACCTCAAGTACAGACGCTCTATTCCTTTAAGATAGCAGGAAATTTTGATTCAAGATGATATGTTACACCACATTTTGTACATTTAGAGTTCAAACATGAAGGGTTGAGGTCACATTATATCTTTCCGATGGTAGAGGATCCAAAGGACACATTATAAATGGTATCCAGTGGAAGGGGATCCAGGGGGAACTTTGTTTACATTTGATGGATTTCAGGGACATCCATGGGCCAGTAGGTTTACATTTTATCCATGTAAAGGCATCAAGGGGGCACTTTGTTTACATTTAGAGTGCACCCAGAGGGCACTTTGTTTACATCGCATACATTTAAAGGGCATCCAGAGGCCAGAGGGTTTAAGTTTCATCCATGTAAAGGCATCAAGGGGGCACTTTGTTTACATATAATACATTAAAAGGGATCCACAGGCATTTTGTTTACAATTAAGACATTGAAGGGGCATCCAAAGGGCACTTTGTTTACATTTGATACAGTTAAAGGGCCTCTAGGGCGCACTTTGTTCACATTTGATACATTTAAAGAGCATCCAGAGGGCACTTGTTTCCATTTGATACATTTTAAGAACATCCAGGGGACAGTAGGTTTAAGTTTTATTCATTTAAAGGCATTCAGAGGGGAACATTGTTTACATTTAAAGAGCATCTAGAGGGCACTTTGTGTACATCTGATACAGTTAAAGGGCATCCAGAAGACACCTTGTTTATATTTGATACGTTTTAAGGGCATCTGGGGCGCACTTTGTTTACATTTGATACATTTATAGGGCATCCAGGGGGCACTTTGTTTCCATCTAAATGGCATCCGGGGCACTTTGTTTGCATTTAAAGGGCATCCGGAAGGCATTTTATTTACATTAAATACATTGGTAGGGCATGGAGGTGCATGCTATCTTCATTTAATGCAATAGAGGGCATCCAGAAGGCCTTTGTTTACATTTTATATACTTTAAGACATTCAAGGGGCAATTGGTTTACATTTTCTACACTGGTAGAGCAGCCCAAGCACATTTGACCATGTTGTGTTGTAGAAGGTAACCTCGAAGGGCGATTTTCATGTGATTTTTACTTCAAGGGTACCTGAAAGAGTATTTATAATTTTCTTGGCATTCATGAGGACACTTAAGCAGCATCTTTCAGACATGAGGGCACCACAAGGGTCAGTACCCATCAGTGTTAACTCAAGTACATTTCATAACTACATCAAGACTTCCTTGAGGAGCTTTCAAAATTTAAAGCAACAGCTTATCTCTTTCCAGAGATTAGACAGGATAAGACTGCATTTAAGTGGCTTCATTTACCTTAAAGCTACAACGACTCAGATGTGTCATCATCTGTGAACCAACAATACTTTTAACCAGGATTCTCCTGACATCATCTAACCTTCAAACAACCAAAGCTGGGCGAACTGCAGCCCATAATGAAGCCTTTAGACAAATGACTGCTTGTTTCTGATGCAACCCACAAATAGGTCAGTAGAAAACCTCCTCTGATATGTTTATGTGAGGGGCGGGTGAGTGCTCTGAGCGGGCGGGGATGGGCTAAGGACTGATGGAGAGATGAAGGAGTGTGTGTTTGTGTGTGTTGGAGGAGGGGTAAGTTTTACTTGTGATGGATTTCCTCCTCAGGTCTCCAGGGCAGCGCAGCAAGGCGACACACACAGAATCACAATGACTGCAGGTTGTACGACACTTGAATGGAATCAGGGGTCAAAAGGTCAGGAGTGTACGGTGCTGTAGAGGCAGGTGAACGCCTCTCGGTCACACTCTTTGGGTCTTCAATGTAGGGTAGCAGGTCAATTGGATGGGATGAGCCTTGCTGAACCCAGAGCGGCAGGAGTGTTTGCGTAAATTGATTTCTTCCTGGAAGAATAACGAGGAATGAAGCGGGGCGGGGCGAGAGATGAGGAAATGATCTGCGTAGATCATTAAATCCCACACATATGTATTATTGTGTAGTGTGGCTGACTGCTGCTTGTCACAACACAAACACACCCACTTCTACTGACGCTGTAGTCTATGTGCATCAAAACTGACATATGATTTCAGTAAAATTAGAAGTGTCACGTGGGATTTTACAGACATTGTTATTCTGCTGTCACTTCTGCTGCAGAGAAAATGAGGTAATGTTGATAAAATTCAAGAAAAAATGTAATATGTTTAACAATTATAAGATAGTAAATTAAACCAGCTTACTGTTTTTTCTTCTGTGTGGTGAACCTGTACAAATGCATGTCCGTCTTTATCAATATTTAGCTGTCCAGCTCCAGGGAATAACCGAGCCTTGAGTCTGCTGATATATAATTAACCCCAACTGCTCTATCGATTTTTAACCTCTGAGAGGGAAAAAAAGGAAGAAAAGGATTCAATAACATGTGACAGGATTCACTGATAGTTCACCCGATCTCTTCTGTTTATTCTGCAGCTTGTCTTCAATCTGGACTGAGAAACTGAAGATGTGAAATAAAGAGTCAAAAGGATAAAACTATCAATCAGAATTAAATCATGAGTCAATATCATGGGATGGTCAGGTATAGGAGTCAAAATGATGAGACAAGTCCAATCATGGCATCCTTATAATTGAAAAATTCATAAGTTGTAAAACAGAGTTGAGCCAAAATAATTAAAATGACGGACTTCCTGTTGAGTTTTAGGTATGGGTCCAAGAGGACTCTCTAGGGATCTTGATACAGCAAATACAAGAACAAGATTTTATGCAAATGTAGATGAAACTACATCCATATTGGGACTTCTTTTTGGACGTGTCACGGTGGAACTATGGCGCCATTTTTGCTGCAAAGTCTGCAAAAGAACCAAAATTATGGCTGTGACAATTTACTGCTATTGACAGTTACGAGTCTTTTTACAAAACTAAACTCTTAAAAAAAAAAGTAATAGTGTGAGTTTATATGTCATTGAACACAATAGGGATGAAGAAGCAGCAGCTGTTAGCGAGCTAGCTGTAGCAGCACTTTTAAAACTGACATTCAAGATTTCTTGTGACAAAATTAAGATTTGTGCTTCAGCAGGTTCCTAAAATATTAAATATTTTTACTTTTAACCTTTCTTTCGATTGTTTTCATTCACCTGTCACCACACTTCAAAATAAAAGACAGATGAATATCAAAATAAAAGCATAATAACCGATTATTTTCTGTTGCAATGTCTTCTCCTACAGAAATTGTTTTAACTGCAGTTATTGGTTAAATTTGTACAGATTGAATTATTTACTGTGATTTAGATATTACTATGATATTGTTTTGACATTTTAAAGCCATGATAACGCTGAAAAAATAACTGCTGAAAATCTGATAACTTCGCTCTACCCCAAAAATATCAAACTGTCCACCAGGCTTGATTTGTGTACAACGTTTTGTGAGTTTTGGATCATATAAGATAATAACTCTTAGTCTTCCAGGAGTCTCCTCACATAGTTCAGAACTTAAAAAGCATGATATTCTGTCTGAAAACTGCTCACAGTTTATTGTAAGATCGCTTAACGTGACGCAACAGCTGGTAACAACGACAGTCCAAGTTTCCTTTTCTTCCTCTGTATGATTATAAAACTTCATAACATTTCAATAGTGTGTCCTTTATTGCGTCAATGGTCTGCCTGTTGTCGCCCCCAGGAACAAAAGCAAACCCCTGCTGTAGTCCCCGGGTGGGTGGGCCTCACTGTCTCTGACATTTGAGCCTCAGTGTGAAGGCACGCCGAGGTAAAGAGGCGCAGCAGTGAGCGCCCGTCCAGACGGGACGACACGCAGCTCACCCCTCAACTCCTGCCAACAAATAATTCATAAGGCTAACATTTACTTTGTTCAAAAGCTGCCCGCTCTTTATCCACCGCCCTGTCTGTGAACCTCAAAGTCCCTCTGAGTTATCTGACGGGAGGAGTGTAAAGAGGCTTTAAAAGTTGGACTGCTGGTGGGTGAAAAGTAAAAGCACACTGAGTGTACCTCAGGAGGGAAACACATGATTGACTTGTTGAGCTTTAAATAAATACAGGAATGTATCCTAAAATAAACATCAGTGTACAGTAAGGGTACACTTTTTTGTGCTTTACTGACGTTTACTCCTTAACTAAATCAAAGAAAGAGAAAATAATCCATTTGTAATTAAATTCTAGTTGACAACATCACCCACAGGTGTCAGCTTGAGTGAAGAGTGAAAGAAGAAAAAGGAAACCGTTAAAGTTTGAAGGCTTCAGTTCCCAGAAATTATGTAATAACACATCAATTAAACTCACATGGCTCGGTGCTGAGCTCTGTCCGCTTTCGTCTTTTCAGAGCAGAGTTTAAACGCTGATGACAGAGCGAAAGCTGATCATCATGAAAACTGTCAGTTTAAGAATTCAGAAAAATAAATGAGAAACGTTAAAGTTCGAGAGGGGTAAGGGGATTAAAAGGCATTGTGTTTTATCTTCTTTAAAGGTCTTGTTGAGGGTTTGAGGTCATCTGGTCCGTGGGCAAAGTGGCACTGTTCTGCCTGCAGGGGGCAGCGCTGAGGGTGGTGGTCGTAAAACCAGCAGGGACGCGTTTTCAGGGCTCCAGGGGCGACAGGTTTCTTCTTCTTGGTATTTGCAGCGGAGATCTTCTTTTCCCGCCAGTCTCTGATGTGCACCCTCCCTCCTTCCACTTAAAGAGAAGCAGAGAAGTGCGAAATTAAACTTCACTTTTATCTAGGTTAGGTAACGCCTTTTACGCCTTTATTTGTATTGAAAAAGCAAACAGGAAATAGTTTGAGTACATCGCTATCAAAACAAAATCAAGCAATTATCATTAACTTTAATTTTAACAGCTGAAAACCACAGAAGAAGTGCTCTTAGGCTATGTTGACACTGCAGGTCAATTCCGATTTTTTAACCATATGTGACACATATCGGATTTTTTCATGTGTCAACAGTGCAATTCTGTTTTTTTCAAATCCGACCCAGGCCTCTTTTGTATGTGGACATAAATCGGATATGTATCCGATGTGACTGCAGGGTGGACACTCAGGTTGCATACATCCCACCTATACATCATCAATATGCGACAAACGTCACCATTGTTCGACAACACAAACAGGCGCGGAAAGCAATTTGTGCGCATGCGGGTCACTTCACGGACGCATTCCGTTCACATTAGATGCCGCATTCGTTGTTGTAATGTGAACAACCGCACAAAAAGATCGGATTTAACAAAACATCCGAATTGTGCATCATAACCTGCAGTGTGAACGTAGCCTTTGATACATAAATCTGTGTATCGTCTGCATAACAACGAATATTTACAGAGTTTTTTAATGTAGCATCAAAAGAATCAGTTTGAAACAAGTCTGAGTTTCATAGTTAAATTCAGACTGTATATTAAGGTTAATGACGAGAAAGCTCCACAAAATTGTTTGAGCTCCCCCTGCTGACCGGCAGCAGTATAGGTCACACAGCCGGCCGATTTTATCGTAACAAAAGAAACATGATTCAAACAATACAATCAAAAATCATGACAAATTATGTTCTCAGTTTCTGTCTTCTTCTTTCTTAGGTCAATGTCCAAATATTTAATTTTTTAAAAAGTGTAATTTCAGTTTGTTATTAAAAGTCCTTAACAGAAAATAAGGACTTAATTCGCTTAAGATTTACGCCTTCAAACGCCTATCAAATTATTTCTGTGTGGTCCCAACATTCTTTCCTACAAGGTCAACTTAAATTCCAAAGCTACATTTCAACAGCAAAAAAGAGACTTTGCTTTTTTTAGAAAAAATACTTTATTTTTTAAAGTCCTTGTGAACATTTTGAAGAGCAATCAAAACGCCTATAATCCGCTGAATCTTGAGAGGAGCACATTTTAAAGATCCTTCTCTGATTTGTTCCCTCTATACTCGTTTCTTCACCATGGCAACAACAGCCAAGGCTCCTGGACCAGATTTGCAGGACCAGACCGGCTGAAAATTGTGACTTGGAGTTGAAATAATTCAAATTGACTGCCATTACAAAAACCTACAGGGACGTATTTTTGAAGACTTTGGATTAACATGTAAAGAAGAAAAGATAAGTGAGCGGTCTGACTACCTCTGAAGACTTGGTGGTTGTTCTTGAGCAGCGTCTGAAGGCCTCCACACTCCTTCTTCAGGAGCTGCAGGGTCTCCTGCTCCAACAGGCCGGCGACCTCGCTCACAGAGAGGCTGCCTGGTAAGGGGGGGAAGAGGATAAAAGATGAGAGAGAAAGACGAGTGATAAAGGAGCAGGAGGAGGTCTGTCGATGTTACATTCATCAATACATTAACATGCTGCTCCAGGCATGTGGTGAAACGAACATGGAGGAAGAAAGGAGCATCCGACTGACTCAGGGAGAAGCTGATAATGCTCCATACAGGATGTTTTACGGGAAGAGGGTCTTTCAGCGTTAGCCAGAGCAGTGAAGTCTGCTCCAACAAGCTGTCAGGACAACCAGCATGCATCTCACCGCTGCATCTCCCATCGGTCTGCTTGAGAGTGTGAGTCATCGTCGTCACTCTCCCACAGGGACAGTAAATTTAGCCACCAAAGAGCGAGAAAAGAGAGGAAAAAGGTGGGAGTAGAAAAACAGAATCATATGTTTGGAGTTCGGCGAATAGTAAGCAGATAAACGGCGTGTGTTTCTGTGTTCAGTGCGTCTCTCCTTGGCGACTATCAGTATTTCTGGCTTTGCCCTTTTCCCCCGAAAGAGAATTCAATCAGAGCTGACCTTTGGCGAGTTCGAGTGACACTCCTCCTCTTCCTCCTATCAGAGAGGGACACACCGCAGGATTTCTGATGCTCCTTTGTAGCATTTCATAACAATATTTGACTCTAATCTCTTGTGGCACTTCAGGAAATCCCCGTCCACTCAGAGATGATTGAATACGAGAGTCGCACTGCGCAGCACATTGTCTTAACCTCTCTGTAGGACTCGTACGCAAGTCTAACTCTTCACTTTTCACTCAGTTCTGGTTTGTTCACTTTGCCAGAGCTTGTCTCTCTGCTGCTATGAGGAAAAAAAAAAACATATTGTCTGCTGATACACGTCCTAAACTAATCCCTAAAATATGCAACACACTCCCACATTCACACACTCTCAAAGAGCCAAACGCAGTCCTGAGCTGCGGAGTGTGAAATCAGGCAGACGGCCATCCAACAGCGCAGACGCCAGGGAGCTCCAAGCCTTAATACAATATCAATACAGCGTTTAGAGCTGCCCTTTATGGCCTACAATGTTAATGGAGATTAATGGAAGAAGGGCAGTATGGACTCAGCTTGGACTGAGATGGCTCAGCCCGGCAGATTTTTTTTAAGCTTGTGCACCCCCTGTGCAAAACACTAAGATGTCCGTTTATTGATCGCCTGTTGTGGTTGATTTTTTCTTTTTTTTTTTTTTGCTGTTTTGACCAATTGAGAATTAGGCTGAGTGGGGGAAATGAGCGTGGAAATTGCTGAGTGGTCAATAAAACGTTTGAAAGGATCCTTTTTCAGAACGAAGGAGCCGCTTGTGTGTTTTTATTTGACTGTCAATCACCGTCAATCAGAGCTTTGCCAGAGGGTCAGAGTATGACTGATAGACGGAGGAGTCGAGGGAATAAGAGGAGGAAAAATGTTTCTCTCTGCCAGGATTTTCATTAACTTCATTTTTTTTATTTTTGCTTTATGAAGTAGTCATAAGTACGGCCTGTTTAAGTTTCTAAAAATGTATTTATTTATTCAACTTTATTTCAGACCCACCCCCAGGATGGTCCACACGAAAAATAAATCAATAAAAGAATAGATAATAAAAATAGACAATACAAAATAGATAATAATAATAATAATAATAATAATAATAATAATAATAATGAATAAACAAACAAACAAATAATAAAATAAAACTAATTGTGAGAATTTTATCTTTAGAAAAAAGCTGAAATGCTTCAGTTTGTCTCAACTTTGGCGCCCCCTGTGGACTGAGCTGTCTCTGCTCATCTTGTCCTCTACGTGCTTCAAGAGTAGGTTTTTACAAAAATCTCTTCCTGCTGATTTTTGACAGTCAAATCATTTATTCATGGAGAATATTTCAGGTAGAAATTGTACAAACAGGAGTGTTTCTTTAGCTGCCTCACACTCCTCACACAGATTTCAGGCATTGAAAATGACAAAACATGAATCATCAATCTTTCCCATGATGGTCCTGTTTTCTCTTGAATATCATGATAAGGCATTAATATGAATTTATCTTGCTAATAGGAGGTTAAATTTTGATTTTTCTCCTGGTCGTACCTAAAATAGACCTTTTCTCGACATTTTGTCTTTTTCATGAAAAATGTTTCTAATCCCCTAAAACTCTCCTGTAGGTTTCTATAAAACATGTTGGTTGTCAAACACGGACTATCTAAGAAAACTGACCATAAAAACACTTCCCAAACTGCAGTACAGAGTTAAAGATGGAACTAAAACCATTCGTCAAATATGTGCTTTCTGTTCTTATCAAGCTGATATACGTGAAAGTGTTCATTCTTTAGATAATTGTACTTTTTACAATATTTATTTGTAGGCGTGGCATCATGATTGACAGGACAAATGAGAGCTCCTGCAGCGTTTTGTTTAGCAAAGTAAAGGAGGCGACAAACACAAACATCAGAGTCGTCAAACTGTGAGTGTGGACTGTACGGACCGGGTGGATCTTCAATGTTTCTTCGGTGGGTTGAATGTGTGTTTTCAGTTAGTGGAAGGAGCTCCACCTGCCAGATCATCTCTGTGCATACCTGAGCTCTGCAATACATCACCAGTGCAACATGTCTGCACCCACTGTGGATATATCAGCTTCAATTTTAGGGGTGAAGTAAATGATTTGGAGGCTCAGATTTAAAGCCACTGTAGGGGTTTTTTGACATAAATAAAATAACCCTAAAACTCATAATAATCTATGAAAGCAAACAAGACCATCAGCGACAAGATCGATGATTTTTTTGTTGTATTTTTTTATGTCTGAAGTGCTGCAGCTCTAGTATAGAAAACACACTGTGGTCCTACAAGGTGAGTTCAGGTCAGATAGATGAGGTCTGCAGGTGTGAAGAGGATTCTTGGAGGCTCAATTTAGCGCTGGCTCCCCTGAAGGATTGTGGGATTAAATTGGCGAGAAAGAATACATTGAGGGGCTCCTACCTGATATTAATACACCCGCCCACTCCCTCGCTCCTGCGAGCCAGCTTTTACACTACAGACAATGTGCGCGCACTGAGTCCACATCCACATGCCTCGCCATGTGATCCCTCCTCCCGACTCGCTGCACCTTTAAAGAGAGATGTCTTCAGAAAGCAGCGCCGAGATTTAGTGATGCGGAGTGCCATGCATGTTAGATGTACAGCTGTTCGCAGACTTTCAGCGGGGGTTACATAACGAAGGGAGCTGAGTCAGCAGGGCAGCGTGCGTGAATAAATAACTCCCTGAAGCCACAGTGGCAGGCTTTGCATGTTAACCATCTGAAACAGCGCTGATACGAGTGGTATTTTTACCTCAGGGCTTTAATACCATCCTGTGAAAGAGCTTGATGTGGCTTGAGCATTCATGCCCGACACTTTCAAGTAATGAAAAAAAAACAACCTCTCAGGGTCAAAATTTGGTCTTTCTATGAAGCGAGGCGGCGAATCATTCAATTACAGTCATAAGTCTTATTTTAAATATCAAAAGCTGCTTCATTAAAATATCCATTATCCTCTTATTTGAAGGGAGACAGAAACCGAATCACATAATGTCCTTTCCATCTGGAGCCCATCATTGGAGGCTGACTCACCCTGACTTTCCTCTTTGTTCTTACACAGCAGATAACTGGTAGGAAAACCTCAATGCAAATGCATACTCATGCATAAATCATACTTAGTGGTGAATAATTCATCCAGTCATCTCTATACAGAGCTGCACACTCCATTATACCCACTCTGAAATTTTCTACTCATATCAGCCTCCACATCCGGTAGAATATTCCCCGTTAACCTTAAATTTCCTCATCCTTCTGTAACGTTGGAGTGTGTGTTTCTGTGTGACAGCAGGGGTGTGGATGATTTGACAAAGGTGATGTGTGTGTGGGCGATGTGTGTGTGTGTGTGTGTGTACAGTGTGGAGCAGGAAGTGTTTGGCAAAGGGAGGGAGGTTTAATGTAGCGTCTCTTTGTCACGAAGGCTCTGCTGACAGATGCTGAGAAGGGGGGGACGGCGTGTCGAGAACAGAGGCGGAGGGTTGGAGGGGATGATGATAGAGGGGGGGGTTTAGGGTGCAGAGGCCCGTGGGGCACCTGGAAATATATTCTAAGGGCACCAACAAGAAAATGCATCCCTGTGGTTTTGGAGGTGCTCGTGATGCATCCTTAACTACAACCGGCCATAAACGTGAAAAATGTCGACCCGGGCTGGTTCAGATTTTAGGTCCCAAAGCCCGGTGGAGATACATCTTTCTGATATGCTGTAGAGACGTATTAAATGCAAAAGTTTGGACATATATAAGGATAGATTTTTTTATTATTTATTATTTATTATTTTAGATTTATTATTTTAGACCACTTTTAACACAACTATTACTTAGACTCCTCTACCAAGGATCCTTAAAATAATCTAAAGACGGCAGGTAAGTTTAGCATAACACACGCTAATCATTAAAGCTCATAGAAATGTTAAAACTGATATTTTTTGCATTAAAATAGGAGGTTATATCATGGAAATTGGCTAAAAACAGATGCATCAAAAATAGAGGATTGGGTAGAGGTAATGATCGATATCTATAGAACGGAGAAGCTGACTTTCTAATGTAGACTAAAAACAGATACTTTTAAAAACTGCTGGAAAAACTGGGTTGATTTTGTGTCTCAATTGAGAGCAGACTTTGTGCAGTAAGGGCATTGTGTATTGTAGATTATCGATACCCTTGGTTCAGGCTACAAACTTGTTCATTGTTCTTATGTTGATTATGTTTACCCTCCAACAGGAGAAAAGGGGCAGTGCAAGAGAGGTGTGAAAATAAGGACATGAGTGAAAAGTGTTTCATTTTACTTCACAGTGACTCTAACTTTACTTGAGAATTTATGTCTCTGCTCTGCGATGGAGAAGTATGCAAATATTCTATACAGTTTCAAATTTGTTCAATATATGTAAAATATTGATGAAATATCGATATGTGAAATCAATAAAAAAGAAATTTTGAAAAAAAAAATGGAGGTTAAAAAGCTAAATTCCTGCTGAAGCTAAAAGAACTAGCCGAGCACTAACATTTTCATCTTGGGAATCAGCTTTTTTTAATTTAAATTTTCTGTCTCGTGTCAAAAGATTGAACATTTTTTGTAAAAGACTGATTTTTAATCTACGAGATGAAGTAACCTAATCCTTAAATTTTCCCTTTTTTATAAACTTCTTCATGTTTTTACTGTTTTCGTCTGGATTTGCTCTGAATTCGATCAGCTCTATCGCTTTATCGTCTATCGTCGTTTTTCTTTGGTGTTTTGTGTCTGTTGTACTTTACCTCCTCTGTTCCAGTCACTAGTGGACTCCCCGCCGTCATCCTCAGTCATTCCCAGCAGCACATTCGCAACCTGCAGGACGACACTGTCCACTAAATCCCTCGGGAGCGCGGCGCAGTTTCGCACTGTTTCGACCCTGTCTCTGGGCTGGAACCCGGCTCCCCAGATGCTCCCGGGGATCCCGCCGCTTTCTTCATCTCCTTGGCAACCGTCTCCGTTGTTTCTGATGCATGACTCTTGAACTGTGACCCCTGAGGCGGGTCGGCGGCTTTGAACGTAACGAGCTCTTTGTCGCTCGGCCTCGGTTTCGTCGGTTGGCTCGTAGTTTCTTGACTTTCCCACGAGACACACCTGCAGGAAAAGGGGCGGAGCCAAGTCATCAAGTCAGTTAATCTGCAGAAACGATAACGACTATGATACTTGTTCTCCTGTGGCGAAACAACTTCTATACACCTGCTTTTACAAACAAGCTGATTATGAGCGATCCCCTCGATTAAGAGCCCAGTAAATATTTACTCGCTCTTTTTATGTGTCCATCTGTATCGGAGCTTTTAACGGTACCAGCTGTGAGACTATCACCCCTTTGGGGGCAATAAACATTTGATTTATTTCTGCCCGCCTGTTCTAAACAAGGCTCAGGTGGGAAGGAGCGAGAATCCTCAACTCAGATGTTTGGAAAAATTCCGTTTTTGATGATTCTGCAAAGAAAAGCTGTCGTCTGGTTTGTAACACCTGCTGCACATGGCCTTAAAACAAGGCCGGGTTTATGTGATGATATAAAACCTCTGAAAAGACCCAACAGAAACCAAAAATGAGTTTCAAATTGATATATTTTGAGGAATGCATTTCTTACTCTTGACTTTACAAGCCTACCCGCTTGGTGGACGGTATTCTCAGGCAGTCCTCCTCGGTGTTGAAGCCGCTGACCCGGCTGACCTCAGAGATGAAGTCGATGTATTCTTTGTACTGCGACTTCTTACACTGCCGTCTCTGGTATTTCCCGTAGAAGTCGAAGAAACAGCAAGGCAGCACAAAGAAGCGGCAGGAGTACGCTGACCTGCATGGGGACAAAACCTCAAGGTAAACATGCTGCGATTAATCTTCAGGGGCCTGAGTAATGAGGTTATTTTCTGTTTGTGCTCCTGTAAGTGAGATTATGAAACTGTTAGAGAGCCGGGGAGCTTTAATTCATCACTGGAGATTACCATCGTCAGTCACATTAGAGGGAGTTCCACTTAAAGGCTCAACATTGCCATCAGGTGGTGACTTTAGAAAACAAACACACACACAGACTGTATATTCACACATACTCCCTGTGCACATAATGTGATTCCAAATTGGAGAGATCAGCTGGCACTTGAGCCGCTGAGTGAGATTGTGTCTGCTGATGAAGACTCGCCTTGCTGCCATGATGGGGATCCACGGCGTGAGCTCGTCTGAGTGGTTCCCAATCAGCCAGTCCGTCGAGGGGAATAAGAAGCTCTCGCCGGGAGTAATTGCTTTTTCCTGAAATAGCAGAGACCCAAAAAGCACAAGGGCTCCTTTAAAGAAGAAGGGGATGTACAGCAGCCTGATTTGATGCTGAAACCTTTGACAGGAGAGAGAAAAAGTTTCTCGCCCCGCAGAACTTTTCATTATCGACCTGTCAGCGTGATACGAGTCAGAAAATGTGTCAAACCTGAGTTTGCTTTTTCAGTTTCAAGAGTCGGTGATTTAAGACGATCAAACAACATGACTAAAGTGAATCCAGCAACAAAACATTAAATAAATTCTCCAAGCTGAAATGACTAGAGGTGTTCACAATAAAACCTTCAAAATAAAGGTTCAGCAGGTTTTTCTAGAAATGTGTTGCTACCAACTAGGGCCCGAACCGGTAAGGATTTTCTGGGGCCGATGCCGATTATTTGAGGGGGGAAATCCGATTAATCAGCAGATTACTTTCACAAACTGGTGTATTTGCCGTTGAAGTGGACCACTCTCCTCCGTGCGTCCCTGAGCTGCCTGCTCTGGATCTGTCACTCTGCTGTGCTGTGAGGTAGTTAGTGGATGAAGATTGTCATGAGGTCGCTGCGCCATCTACTGGATAAGTCGGGGAACTTTTCAAATGGCGGAACATTTGAAAAGTGAAACCGAATCTTATTCTCCGCATTTTATTTCTGAAAATATTGGTGAAAATCTGCGAGTTTTGGCCGATTACCGATTAGTCTTAAATGGGCTAAAATTGGCAGATTTAATAGCGTTGGGCCCTACTACCTACATAAATATTTTTGATTGTCCTGCCCAAAGAAACCCAACAAATTACACCCTCATCCCAATATTTTTGAGTTACATAACACTTATTAAACTCCCAACACAGTTACAATCAATCTGCCTCTTTTCACGCTCACCTCTAACAGAGTCTGGGGGCCGAACATGTCCCAGATCTTCCTCCTGCGAACATCGATGCCCTTTCCAGGATGCTGTAAGACAAGACGGCATGACAGTCAGCTGCTAATTCACACTCAAACAGTGTGTGTCATTCAATTAAAGCTGACCCAGTTTGTGATTGGACAGTAAGACGACATGAAAAGTGTAGATTAAACATGTTCACAGTCATCAATCTCCTCATCTGCACCCTGAAGCCCCTTGGCATTGATTACTCTGACGAAGAAGATGCGTCTCATTTGAGGACATCTGCTAAGAAAAGCAGAATTTCACGACTTCATTCTTATAATTAGACATTTATGATTGTAATCCTTTGAAATGTGCATCTTTGAGGAGTAAATAAATCCTGGTGTGCTGCTTTTCGTGTCTCTAAAATGAGGATTTGCTGTTTGTTCTTATCCTGGAGTTTTGTAGGGCATTTTTTCTCCACATTTTTGAGATTTGATGAACAAAAAAAGTCAGATTTATTCAAAAAGCACTTGTTTTTCCACCTGTATTAGCTCCTCTCAATGAGGAATTAAAAGACAGTTGCATGAAAAATACACAAGGGGGAGACAAATATGCTAAATGAGAAGCGATCAGTCCCGAGGGGTAATCAGGGTCAGCTGTACAGCTGTGTTAAGCTTGAGTATTTCTCTGAATACAACAAAGGAGGCACAAACTATTAAACAGTGCAGTGTAAAGATATTATATTGATTATGCGTAAAATTAAGAGCGAATAATTGCTGAACTCACCCCTTCATTAGTCAGTATGTGAACCAGGAGGCCGTTTCCACAGCCCAGGTCAACGAAGGATTGCGGGTGGGTGAGACCTCTCTCCGCTCGCTCCTCGGCCCACAGTACCTGCAGTTCGATGACACACACTCAATATGTTCTGTACGCACATGAGGGCTTTCAATTATGTTTGCAAAAGCCAATTTTCATGTGAAGGGTGACACCTGCTGCCGTCGACACCCTTTCACCTGCCTCTGCTTTGAATTGATTTGCCGGGTCAAAGCTATTTTTCACACCCAGAATTGATTGACCCAGCTTTAGATGAAATGACCTGACAGCATGTGACAGGTAAAAATGAGTTTCACCTACATATACGGGCATGTTTGCGCACTTGGTAAGGGTCGTACAGGTTTAAAACAAGGGTGAAAATGACAAATGAGACTCGAGGGCTATTTTTTCATCTCACGCATCAATCTTTAAGACCCAATTCAAGTTTTGCTGACTGCGAGAACTCACAAGGAGATATGTGGCGATGGCGACATCCTCGTAGACAAACTTTTCAGGGTCTGTAACCTCGGGCCAAACCTGGAGAAAACACCAAACAAATATAGTCAAACATTCATATTAAACACTTAAAATATAAAAGCCTCAATGGGGGAGACTTTACCTTGACCATGGCTTTGTACTTCTCCTTCAGCTGCTGGTACATCACGCTGTATTTCTCCACTGGCAGCAGAGACAGCGTGCTCCTGAACTCGCTGCTCCTGCACTCGGAGGCCCAGCGGACCAGTTTAGGCAGCAGATCAGAGGACAGCCACGGCAGCTTTGGGTACACAACGCCATCAGAGTACCAGGCATCTGGAGTCAGCACGTGCAACTCCAACGACCTGCAGGAAGAGATCACCAAGTTCAAATTTCATTTGTTGCTCAAGAGTTTGGGGTCTTCTTTGTTGAGTTTTTTTGTCATGTTGTGCCAAGTGTTTCAATGGGTGTCAAGGTGGGACTGCAGGCACAGACTCTTCCACTCCAGAGCCAAAAGGCACATAATGTGGTTTTCCATCTGATTGAAATATATAAGGTTGACTCTGAAAAGGACCCTGTTGCTCCAAAACTAGTATGACGTATAAACAGCATTAAAGGGATATTGTGGTGTAAAATAATTTAGGGTCAAACACACCGTAACGCTGAGTTAGACACCCCATCGAGAGATGAATGTTGCTGACCGCTTGCTTCTCCAGTTATACCAACTTTAGTGACGACTGCAGATAGCAACACACAGCGGTCTAAGGAGGCATAAACACACCTCAACCAAAACGCCACTCTATACCCACAAATAATGCTCAGAACAGCACCTAACTTCATCAACAGTACATATAGGGTCCCAGCCAGAAACCTAGCCACTAAACATCTTTTAATTTTGCCTGATTTCTTTAGCAAAGAGACTAAACACAACTCATCTACTCTCTTCCAGCAGCCGCTTGTTTGTAGTGAGACCTCAGGACAGTCCATTATGGACTATAGTGGGGTGATGCAGCTCAAGAAAGAACATTTATTATAGTTTCTTCATGGAAATGCAATCAGACCGAGACGCTAAGGCAGAAGAACTACCGTGTCTGCAGTGCAAAATGATTAATATGATGATTACTACTTCAAGAAAATGATAAAGTAATGATCATAAATGTTCTTCCTTGAGCTGCGTCACCCCGCTGTAGTCAGTAATGGACTGGCCTGAGGTCTCGCTACAAACAAATGGCTGCTGGAAGAGAGTAGGTGAGTTGTGTTTCAATGTTGACAAACAGCTTCTTAAAATGTTTTACTCTTCTTTAATTGAGTCCAGCTGAGGAACGTTGTGAAACTTTGCCAAAAAGCTACTGGCATGAGTCTTAATGATGTTGGCTCTGTTTTTAAATCCAGAGTCACTCAGAGGGCAGAGGCCAAAAGTCACTCACCATTCCTCACAGTCCTGATGGAGGAGCTGAATCTGATAAATGTTGCCCTTCTTTACAGATAATTGTCCCTCTGAATCCTCTTCAAATGGAAGAAAAGTCACCTGCTGTCTGAAAAAGTCTTGGACAAAAGATAAAAACTTCACATATAAAGTTTTTAAAACTAAAAATTGAGACTTTCATTCAACTCTCACCTTTAAGTATAACTTCTTTGTGAAGGTTCGTCCCATAACTGTTCACTTTAGGGATAAATGTCCTGACAGTGGAGGTCCACGGTTTTCCCTCATCGTGTGTCTGATCAGGTGAAACCCCACAGGTGAGGAAGGAAAACACATCCTGACAGAGTCCAGGATCATCCAGCAGGAGAAGCAGACCACCATCTCTGTCCACCTCCTCCTCACTGCCTGTCTGCTTCACTCCACAAAGACGCTTGTTGACAACGTGAGGTTTCTTTATCCACACGTCTACTGCCGACCAGAAGCTTTCAGGAAGAGTCTTACAATCAGCTGGAAACTTCAGATGAAGGAGTTTCGGCATAGTTAGATCAGACTACAAGACATGTGTTTACAAACGGAGAAAAGGCACAATGTTTAAAAGACAAACCGAGAAGATTAAAACAAAAATTGCCTGTAAAATAAGGACGGAAAGTGTCCACAACGGTGTTCAAGAACAGAAATCAAACGCTGAGCTGTTTCAAACAAATTTACTTCTGAAAGAGAAGGTAAACTCCGTCGCTTTTTGATGACGTCTTCAGAGCTATCTCCCTAACGGTAGAGGGCGCCATTAACCGAATATCTTGGGTTTATCAAGATAATAAAACAGATTTTTAACTTCTTTACTGTATATTTTAACCATAAACTGTATATAGAATATACACTATATACTATATTTATAGTATATGCAATCTATGATTTTAGCAAATATCCAAAAATACAGATTGCATTGTTTCAATTGTTTTTTAGTACAAACACAGTAATCGTTAGAGTGATGTTACAAACACTGTAATACATACGTATTTGAGTATTTAGCTTTCCTTGCATAAAAAGCAATTACAAATAAACACATCTGAGTACACAACAGAGACACTATGGATTAAAAATGTTCAATTTTACCCTGTTTTAGCTTCTATAAATTGTTGTCTTTTTATGATTTTCAATTAGTTCAACTTAACTCCTCAGCTTAATCGTTTAACAGTTACATTTAATGGAATCAAAAGATTTTATCTTAAAAAGGTTTCTCCTGTTTACCTGTCCTGTCAATTTTGTTACTCCCTCCAACTGTGTTACTTTGTCTGTCAACTGTGTTACAAGTGTTTTTATGTCATAAATCTCTTAAATGTTGAATAAACTGTTACAAAAAAGATGGAGGACATCTCTGGAGCATGAAGTCTTATATAAGAATGGTGAATAACTCTAAATTCAGTGTAATGTGAATTTATGTTGAAAAAGGTTGCGTTCTACATCATAGTATCCCATAACCTCACCATTATGAAGCTCAAAATTCATATCTTTTAATCAGTTGGACATCTAAACTCAAAACCCCAGGTGTATAGACTTAAACACTTTGATAATACATCAAACAAATGTGTTATCAAATCTTAAGTAATTTTTATATGTTTTAAATGACAACATTTGTCCATAACACAGTTGACAAAATGATTAATCAAATGTTCATTCCCTGTCAGACTGAGACAAAACACAACATTTTATCCTTTTTACATTGTTTTTTACCTATCTCCATCCTGTTCTCACATAACTCTTCAAAAGTTCCCCTTACAGATTAAAATGTTTACCTACCTTAGCCTGCTTGAAATAAACATTTTGAGAGTTTATTCAGCATCAAATCTACACATCCTATAAAAAGTAGGCTTCTGAAAGTCTGATTCAAACTGATTGAATCACAATCAATCTAACGTGTAACAGCTTTTGGAAGCTGGGATCTCCAAGTTTGAACCACAATTACTTTTTATGGCTGAATATTCGAGACTTTTAAGTGATTCACAAGTTTCCTAAATATGCACATCAGTCTCGTGACTTCACGTCATGTTAGGTCTTGTCTCTCATGTTAATTTCTGCGTCAAATGAGGTCACCCTTTTTAATCAAAATAATTAGCAGATGAATCAACTTGCCTTTTCAATTGTTCACGTGTTGTTCCTCTATTATATGTCAAGTATCTAATTTCTTATCCAGTCATATTAGCACCCACATTTCTAACTGTTTGGGTGCCTTTTCTAATTTTAAACAACAAATACCAAATTTTTCAGCAGCAATTCATAGGCCAGGTTCCTTTACTCCCAGTTCATCTGTCACTCAGTCACGTGAAACAAAGTGTAGAAAACTTCCCACAGTGTAAAACGACACTAATGAACTTCAGCCTCAGAGGTTTAAGACAGCAAGAGTGTAAACATCCTCCCTACACTTCTTGTTAGTCCTGCAGACTCAACTCCTCATCGAGTTCTGGAAATGAAGTGTTGTTTTCATTTCAATGTGCTCGTGTCATCATATTTTACTTTTGTTCTTAATCTTTCAGGTTTTTGACTCAGGGTTCCTGAGTGGCTACTTCATTGAAATCTATTGTGAGTCTTGAGTAATTCAGGAAGGGAGGAGAGAGTAGAGGAGATACTGTACCAGGAAGTGCAAAGTGCAGGCAGGTCCACAGTGCTGCCTGGTTTGCATTCAAATAAACAGTCACGTGTGGAGATAAAAAGAAATCTTGTCAAACTAGTTTGGCAACAGGAGGTATGAAGGAGACAAAGACTGACGATTTGAGCCTCCTTTGACTCACGGCTCATGGCTAGTTTCGTTTGAGTCCAAACTAAAGAAATAAGCATAGTTAATGGAGGGATTAATGACACTATTTATGGTAATTATTCGGACCTTAGACATGACGAATAGGAAACGTGATCAATTATGTTTCTGGTCATGGTGCTTGAATACGTGATGACCTTTGACTTACAAAGGTAAACAATACAGCAAAACGTTGAAAATTAGCTGTATAGCTCAAAAAGAATAATTTTGATTTTCCTATTAATATACTTTACCGCATGCACATCTAGTCTGAAAAATAACCTAGTAACATACATTTTTAAAAGTATTGTTGAAAGCATTTATATCATGTCACACAGATCTATGGACTTTTTTCAATCAGATAAATTAAAGTACTTTTTAGAATTAAATAATTATACATTTTTTAAATTTTTAACTTTTTTTTTTAATTAATACAATTTTATTAATACTCATGTTACTATTGCTGCTATACAAGGATTTACAAAATTAATCGTCACAAAACTAGTTTTAGCTAGTTACTGCTGTAACCGTTTTAGTTACTGCTAAAACAGTTTTGGCTGTATCCGAAATGGATCCCTAACCCCTATATAGACAACTATATGGGGGTTAGCGCCATTTTCGAGGGGTGTACGAAACCTGATTAACCAATTCTAATGCCCCATACAGGCGATTCAAAATTTCCTGTAAAGCATTGCAAAATTAAGTGACCATCCAATGGTCACTCACCGGTGGTGGGCATCCTGTCATGCATTGCATTTCCAGCGGCAATGTCACAACGGTAGTGTCCGAAACCTCCGGTGATTGAGCTCACTACATAGTCATCTATATATTGAAACCTCATAAGGGGGTTAGGGCTTAAGGATTGAGTGATTCTTTTCGGACACAGCTTTAGCTAGTTAGTGCTAAAACAGTTTTAGCTAGCCACTGCTATAACAGTTTTAGCTAGTTACTGCTAAACATTTTAGCTAGCTACTGCTAAAACAGTTTTAGCTAGTTACTGCTAAGCAGTTTTGGCTAGTTACTCCTAAAACTTTTTTAGCTTGTGACTGCTAAAACAGTTTTAACACACAGGCCCAATATTTCTGTTTTATAGTTTTAGCTGGTTAAATCAGGAGTGGGTTTGTAAATTTAACTTTGGTAAAATAATAAAGTCAAGACTGACAGCTGGTTCCTGTCCTTTAACTCATGTTTGGATATACTTGTTTTTAATTTCTTTGTTTTTCTTATGTTGTTAAAATCATCTATAAATGTTTAACCCCCACTTTTCAGTTGAACTCCAACGCCAAACACGCACGTAGCTGATATTTGGTGACCTATATATTACTAATTTGTGCCGATGATTAATCGTAAATAATGTAAATCCCCATACAGGTTCTAACAGTCAGTCAGCCTGTTTCTTGAGTCTCTCAGGTGAGAAAATCAGGAAGAGGTGTGGTCAAAAGTCGCTCTGAAGAGGCGGAGAAAAGAGCTGAAAACACACAGGTAGATCACAAATACTCTTGCAGTGGATTATCAAACATACCTCCAACTATAAACCTCATATTTACCGGTAACCTGCTTGAATCTAGTTGTCTGTGAACAGTTTTGTACTGGTCGGAGTGAAGTTGTGATTTTTTTGGAACTATCGTCGATCGACGTCGCTGTAAGTTTCAACGCCAACATGGATCACTTGTCTCGGGGTTTGTGTGGTTGATCTGAAGCTGTCAAGTACCGGGATACTGTTTTTCATTAACGGTGAGTGACTGTAGGTGGTTGTAGCCTACATGTAGTAATGTAAACTAGTCTCCTGCTTTGTTAAGTCAACAAAGTCCATGAATTATTAGGTTTTAGAGTCTTTAATGTGAAATGTAACTTATAATTTCTCAAAATATTGTCATAGCTGTAATAAGTTTGACTTAAAATGGCTATTTGCCCTGGTACTATACATAAGGTTGACATACACGAAGTGCTTATTGGATTTATTTTTGTACATTTCAAAATGAAATAGACTGCTCTTAATCTTATATTTATTAAACACACTCAGGTATGTCAAACTTGGTTATCTATATGATGTGTTTGGTTATCTATATGATGTGTTATAAAAGTTTTATACTCCCCTTCTGTTTATAAAGTTGCTCACAGACTTCAGTCTTCACCATCTACAACTGCTTAACAGGGAATCAATCAAAAGTGCTACTAACTTTTAATTACTGAGAGCAGTGAGAATAAGTGCTCCAGAATGTTTTATTTTTCAATTCAAATGCAAATGAGCTGAATACTTTCACCCTAAATGCACTTGTGCTTTTGAGAAAATAACATCTGATATTTTGCAAGAAGCACACCCTAAATGCACTTAATCCAAGCTCAGATTATTAATATACTTTCAACATCACAGTTTTTATTTTTTGTGTAAATGCACCTTTTCTGCTATATTTACTGATGTTTCCACATGCTTAATCTTGATTTGTTCTCATGCTACCAGTGTAAACAATCCCCAACATCTTAAAGAGTAGTTTTCAGGATAAAGATCACTCTTAGCCATTTGAAGTTACAGATAATATCTAACTAGTGACCGTCCAGCCTTATAAAGCTCCATAACCAAACAGTTTAACACATGGTTGTTATGCATGCCATGAGGCTGAGAGCATTTTCAGTAGCTGAGCAGGTTAAAGATTCATCACTCTGTACATAGAGAGACTGATCACAGAGTTTGCTGTGTTGACCAGTGTAAGCATTTCCTTCCTGATTTTGAATGTCACCGACAGACAATTTGTCTCGTACTCGCTCAAGCTAAGAGAAAAATTAATTGGGAGTTGTCTCTGGAAATGAATGCAAGTCCGGGCTAGTACCCTCCTGCGTGGTTGCTGTTTCTTTGCGGCATCAGTTGGCAGTTAAAAAAAAGAGACAGACAGAGACAGGTTGATTGTTGAGGACAATGTGGCTCTGCAGGCTGTTTGGTGTTGATGTTAATTTTTTCCCAGGGTAGCTGACAGGGGAATGTTGAAGGCCTTTTCTGACTCATAGCTGCTGGGTTTGGTGAGCTGATAAGCTGCTGATTTATGGTCGAACAACCCTCTAGGAGCAGTAAAAGCACAAACAAGCGATTGAAAAATCTGTTTGGGTATTTTATTGCATCAATTTGAGGTTATCTGTCTACATGTCAGTCTAAAATGAAAGACAATATGATGTCCCTGTCAGTCTGAAAAAGCAGTTGACAGTCATGCAACCGTTGACGTGTATCACAGTAGCATAAATACTGTGCGAAGAGGATCCTGTCTGACTGGTACCCCCTAAACTGACTGACAAGATTATGTTTCCGCCTCTCAGTTTTTCACATTGCTTCAGGACTCCCTGTGGGACTGCAGCCTCAAAGGTTCAAATGAGTCACCGCCCAGAGAGCAGGACTGAGACTGAGCCTACTTTGTGTAATAGTTGAGAAAAAGACTGACTTGTGTGGCTGTTTTTGTCCCCCTGTTTCCTTATCCACCTGCTCCTTTCTGTTTGTTGCTACTTTCATGCCCTGTTTGATGGTTTCGCTAACTGTTATGATATTCTAGCACGTGCAAATCAACCTTTTTCCTTTGCTGTGGTTGTAAAAGACTAAAACTTGATACCTTTGGATCGTTCGTGCAGTAAACTTAACCAGCAGGATTTAAATAAGATTCAAGTACGAGCACCTTTGCACAAACACAACATAACAACTAAGTGTTGGCACATATCTGAAAGCTGGAAAGTCTCCCTGTGGCCTCTAATGCCAGAGGGCTTTTTGTTATGTCACTGTGGCAACTGCAGAATCTCAGGTTAGACTCAGTTACTGTTAAACTGTCTGGTTCAATGACCTGATTCATGTGGCAGTCATTTTTCCCAGGTATCACAAATACTGTTAAAAAGAATTACGCTGCATTTGCTCAAGTGTTAGTCACACAGACTTCCACTTTACTGCTTTCAAAATGATCCAACATCTGACCATTTCAGCCTAAAAATACTTACTTTAGCCGTCAAACAAAAGCTGACTCTAAGCAAGAAATGCAAACATCACTGCATTGAAGAAATTTCTGAGAATAAATCTTAAAATCATATCTATTTAACGCCTTTTGTATCATATTTGATACATACTTTCATGATACGTCTATTAAATCAATATGATCAAAAAATTACTCAAAAAGCACCTGAACACAGTCCGATAAATGATAAAAATGCTCTTTTGTGGTTTATCAGTTTCTAAAAACATCTAATGTACCAAACAAGATAAATATATATATTTGTTAAATTTTGTGGGCATTTTGATTTTTCTGGTTTTCAGTAGGAAGTAAGACAAGATAGGCCAAAATGGGCCAAAAACAGCGGAATAACTCTTTAACTGTGCATCTGAGAAAAAAAGATCTCGTTAAGAAACACATGCCTGTTAAATTTTGGGCAGATCGGGAAAAGTGGACACTCATGGCGCTCTGTAGGGGGCCCTCGTGAGACATTTTTTTCCCGCTTTTTTTTTTGGGTCACTTCAGAACATTGTGATTTTCACCGGGCCCGACCTGCCTGCAAATTTTCATGAGTTTTCGAGGTAGTTCAGTGGGTCAAATTTGCGTTTTCAGTGGGCGTAAAATAATAATAATATTAATAATAATAATAATAATAATAATGGAGAACCCCTTGGATTACCAAAGGGCTTCACCGCAACGCTGTGCTCTCAGCTCTGGCCCTAATAAACATTTCAGCTCCCAAAAATTTGAATTCTCTGGCCATAATTTGTGGTTTCAGGCATTAAAGGGTTAAAAAATACATCTGAGCGCTGTCTTATAACCTTCAACCTTTAGCTTTACAGGCAAGTCAGCTAGCCGGGTCATGCTGATGGACCAGGACACTCAGTGGCTGTACGCGCTCCTCGCCGAGGTCCAGCTGGAGAAGTTCTACCTCCGCGTCAGAGATGGACTCAACATCACGCGCATCGATCACTTCGCCTACGTGAAGGAGAGCGACCTGGAGCAGATCGGGATCAGCAAACCTGGTGAGCGTGATTGCCACCTAGCTATCGAATAAAAATCTTATCACTTAAAGTTACTTCAGGCGGTTATTTTAGTTTGTTCTTCCTTTTCTCATATTTATAAAAAGTTCCCACAACTTCTTTTAAAAGTGTTTTTAACTTGGCTTCAAAGTCCATGCGGTTCATAGTTTCTTCATGATTGTAAGTCTAAAATATGTTCACTATGTTTAATTATTTTGGGAGTAATCTTCACCTTGATTACCTTGAGTGTATCTTTTGTTTGCCTTTATTTATTAATCCCACCCTTTTCCCTCAGACCATTAGACTATTGTTCACTTGACACTGAAAACTCTAGGGTGTGTTTGAAAAATTCACTTCCATTGAAATATGAGCGCATATCATGTAGCAAACCTGGCACCAGCACGCAAAAAATGTAGCCTCCAAGAAAACCTGTACCAGGTTCAGGATGGTGTCAGGTTTAAAACGTGGACTTCCCTTACTCCTCCTCGGCTATCACAGACAAAAGTGAGGGTAATATCAGAGGGTGTGCGGCTTTTTTTACCTGCTACTAGTTATTTTCTTCTGTCTTTTACCTCTGCGAGTACGACTGTAATAAAAACTCAATAAAAAAATCAAAATGTAGTGAGATTTGGTTGAGGTCTGAAAGGTTTATGTCCACCTGAAAGTCCTAAACAGACTCAAATCAAGTGCAGAAAAAAAGCTAAAACTCTGTAGGATTTTGGTTCTGACTCTTATTCTTCTCTTTTCAGCTCAAAGGAGACTATGGGAGGCTCTGAAACGCTTCAAGATAAACTCACGATCACGGATGCCCAAGGTCAGAAACATGGAGAAACACCAACTTTGAGTTCTTATAAGTTTTGTAAAACCTACACTATAAAAACCAGCGCCCGCATTAATGAGATGTTCATGTTTTCACTAATGCACACAGTCAGTAGGTCGGAGTCAGGATGGGCTAGAGCAGTGGAGTGGAGGCGGTCCCACTCAGAGTCAAGATGGAGGAAGCCGGGCCCTACCATGCCTGATCCAGGACAGCGAGCTGGTTCTGGGAGAGAAGCTGGGCTCCGGGTCCTTTGGGGTGGTGAAGAAAGGAGAGTGGCACACGCCCTCTGGGAAAGTGGTAAGAGGCAGTTTAATCCACTGTTGAGTAGATACAGTTTCAACACTGCTAATCCCTTTAAGAAGTCTGCATTTGCATCCTGCTTTGATCAGCAGCGGCTTGGTGGCTGTCTAACATGAGTCTGGTCCTGCTCAAGGTTTCTGCCCTGCCACTGTCACTCATGTTAGATGGGACGGGTCAAATCTGTCCTATCTTAAGGTTGGGTTGTAGTAATTCATCAAACAATGATCGTGGTCCATACCTGCTTTTTTTCAGAAAGCGTCTTGGGATAACGACTATTGTGATTCTGCACGATATAACTAAAATTTGATTTAATTTGTTTGATCTGAGCCCCAAAACGTATTTCATATTGTGAATCAGAAAAAATCATAAAACAGAACTTAAAGCTACTCTATCTTTTCTTCATGAATTCAATCTGTCGAATAACTTCTCAGATGGCCGTAAGATTTTATAATTGTTAAATTACAGACACTTCGTCTTCCAGTTCCTTTCATCCTCTTTCAGCTCTTTGTTTTGCCAAAACTGACACAAACCAAAAGTTCCTCACAGGAGCTTTAATTTTTGTATTAATAATATGACATGATGGTGTTTCTGCTGCCATCAAGTGGCAAGAAATAAGAACTGCTAAATCCATATGAGTCAGTTAATTGTATGTTTTTCCTCCTTTGGTAAAGAGATGCTCCATCCATGTAAACAAACAAAGACTGATCAGGTTTTGGTCTGTTTGTTCTCTTCACAGTTGCCTGTAGCCGTTAAGTCCCTCAGAAGTAACATGTCCAGGCAGACGGACACACTGACGGACTTTCTCCAAGAGGTCACCACCATGCAGTCTTTGGACCACCCCAGCATCATCAGGCTCTACGGTGTGGTGCTCACAAAACCCCTTAAGATGGTAAGATTACAGAGAGTGGGTATAAAATGTTTTATTTGTATTTCAACGCCGGATCTCACAATCTTTTACTTTATCGTCTTTTAGGTAACAGAGTTGGCCCCCTTTGGCTCGCTGTACGACATGCTGCGCTCTCGTCAGTATGAATACCCTCTCGTCCGCCTCTGGCTCTTTGCAAAACAAATCGTAGCAGGGATGGATTACCTGGAGAGCAGGAGGTACATCCACAGAGACCTGGCAGCGAGGAACGTGCTTCTGGCATCCAGGGAGATGGTTAAGATCGGGGACTTTGGCCTGATGAGAGGCCTGAGCCAGGAGGAGGATCACTACGTCATGTCTGCACACAGGAGGATACCGTTTGCATGGTGAGGGGAACATTAAGTTTCAAGGTTATCAGAGAGGATTGCAGGAACTTGTCGTTTAATGCGGTTTTTTCTCCAGGTGTGCTCCAGAGAGTCTCCGAGTCGGCTCGTTCTCCCACGCTTCAGACGTGTGGATGTTTGGTGTCACCCTGTGGGAGATGTTTACCTACTGTGAGGAGCCCTGGTTCGGTCTGTCAGGCAGACAGGTACGCACTTGCACACCACCAAGTTGAACTTTCACGCACAGCTTTTTTCTGTTTGTCCACGGCGATCGCTGTGTTTTTAATGACATCTGGAATGCGCGCCCCGCCCTGATGCTTTTGTAATTCACTCTCTGACTCAGAGTTATACAATCCTGAACATTCTTCCTCTTCAATCCAGATTTTGTGGCGTGTGGAGCGGGAGGGAGAGCGTCTGGAGAAACCGCCAGATTGCCCCCAGGAGCTGTACGCTGTGATGAGGAAATGCTGGGCCTGTAGTCCACATGACAGACCCAACTTTGCTCAGCTCGCCACCATGGTCGCAGAGGTTTGCAAAGACTCCTTCAAACGCAGCAGAAATGTGCTGTAATTTTTGAAAAACTTTTTGTCATTTCTTAACAAATTTGTCGTTACAGGCTAAACCAATGGAGGTACAAGCAACCAGGGACTTTGCTGAACCCAGGAAGCTCGCACTTGCGGCCAACGACCTGGTGACCATCGTAGACCATGGGTGGGTGAAAGGGAAAGCTTTGAGCAATACAGAAGGCCTTTTTTAAGATGAAACAGAGGTTTAAATGTGCACAAAGGTTGTGATTTCATTGATTCCTTAAAAGGGTACAAACACACCGTAACACAGAGTTAGACACCCCCTCGAGAGATGAATGTGTCCGACCGCTTGCTTCTCTAGTTATACCAACTTTATTAACGACCACATGATAGCAATACAGAGCAGTCTGAGGAGCCATAAACAAACCTCAACCAAAACGCCACTCTATAGCCACAAATAATGCTCAGAACAGCACCTAACTTCATCAACAGTACATATAGGGTCCTAGCCATAGCACTAGCCACCAAACATCTTTTTAGCTTTGCCTAATTTCTTTAGCAAAGAGACTAAACACAACTCACCTACTCTCTTCCAGCAGCCACTTGTTTGTACGGAGACCTCCAGGCGAGTCCATCGACTGCAGTGGGGTGTCGCAGCTCAAGGAAGAACATTAGTGATCATTTCCTCATGGAAATGCAATTAGACCAAGATGCATAAGCAGATGAAATACCGCGTCTGCAGTGCAAAATGATTAAAATGGTTATTATTGCTTCAAGGAAATGATAAAGTAATGATCATAAATGTTCTTCCTTGAGCTGCGACACCTCACTGCAGTCGATGGACTCGCTCGGAGGTCTCCATACAAACAAATGGCTGCTGGAAGAGAGTAGGTGAGTTGTGTTTAGTCTCTTTGCTAAAGAAATCAGGCAAAATTAAAAGATATTTGGTGGCTAGTGCTATGGCTGGGACCCTATATGTACTGTTGATGAAGTTAGGTGCTGTTCTGAGCATTATTTGTGGCTATAGAGTGGTGTTTTGATTGAGCACATGGCACTGTGTATTGCTATCGTGCGGTCGTTACTAAAGTTGGTATAACTAGAGAAGCAAGCGGTCGGCAACATTCATCTCTCGAGGGGGTGTCTAACTCGGCGTTACAATGTGTTTGACCTAATTTTACACCGGAATATTTCTTTAAAATTAGTCAAGCTTTGTTTGACAAACCAAAGCAGGTATTAGCAGGGGTGCATGGGGCAGGCAGGGGAGGGATGAGCTCCTCTTTTTAGTACTCTTGACGGGGAAAAAATGAACAAATGAGCAGCTACCCCCTGGTGGTGGTTTCAGACATTTAAATTAGTTACACAGAAATATTCTCTTTTCTTGTCAATGGTCTTATTAGCTTTTTTTAAAATCTATTTTAGCTATTTATTAGCTATTTTGTGCATTATGCTAATTCACAGTCAGATGGTCTTGATTTGAGAAACAGAAACCTTTTTTTTCTAACAGTCTGATCCGCTCTCTGTCTCTTTGTCTCTCTGTCTATCTGTCTCTGTTCAGTCTGGACATGTCTGAGTGGAGAGGTCAGAACCACAGGACGCTGGCGGTCGGCTGGTTTCCAGCCAGCCTCTCTGCACCGATTCTCCCTCCAGTTCCTGCACCCAATCCTGCACCCAACCCCATTTCTAACACGCCACACATCTCCGCCCCGTTGAAGGGTAGCCTGCACCACACAGGACATGGGGACATCAGGGTTGAGCGGTCCTGGGGGACACCGGAAGGCCCAGACGAGTCAGTGAAATCACTTATTTGTTCATCTTGATCTTACTGTTTGGTATTTCTGTATTAGGACATGTCGTCTGTTGATGGCGCGATGATAAAAAACAGCCACATCCTTCCTTTGACACATCTGCTTCCCAGTGGCTCTCTTTTTATTTTTGTAAACAGGAAGTGGGTTGAATGACCCACATCTAAAATCACACCAACACAAGCAAAACAAGGCCAAAGCTCATCTCTGGTGCCTGTTAGTTTTTATATCATCTATCTCAGACTCTGGAGTTTTATTGCTGAATGCTGTTGCAGTGCGGCCCTGAACTTTCACCTGCTGTCAGTCGATCAGTGTTAGTGAGCGGAGGCTGAGATAATAACATGTTTATTCTTCTGACCTGTGCAGCATTGGCAGCTGGAAGCCGAGCCCGGCCAGGGAGAAGGAGGGAAGCAATCTACATAAAATGGCAGGTAGGAACGGCAAATAAAACCAAACAGAGAAGTAAAGCTGCTCTTTTTTTTATGCATTTTTTATTTTATACTTTTTCCCTTAGAGTTATGCATACAGTAAAATAACATTAGGATGGTGTTTCTTTGCTGATTGCACTAGGTTTAACAAGAAGAATAGCAAAGTTACTCAAGCTATTTTAAAGGAATTTAATCTAGATATGAAACCGACTGCATATCTTCAAAAAACAGCAGTTGCATTATTCCGTTTTTCTTCCACCAGGCTGCCCTCTGGTGTTTTTATCTGATACCTGCACACACCCAGAGCTAGACCCACTCACACACTGACTTCATTCTACTTCACAGACGAATACGTCAAACTAAATGCAGCTAAAATGAAAAGGTGATTAAGTCATCCCTTTGTTTCTGTAGGAATGTCCCGGAGTCTAGAATCCCTCCTGGGGGGACAGCGTCCTCGGGCTCACACCGTCAGTGCGGTCAGAGTGGACCACCAGGGTCGACTCTTACCTCCAGTCATGGCAGCTCACTCCGTAATGATGCAACAGGACTTTCGACGCTTCAGCGAAGCCAGCATCATCCCGCCCCCCAGACCGCCACCTCCCAATTTTAAACGTGCGAACATGAAACCTCAGAGGAGACCAACCATTCACCCTGCTCCTGGTACATCATGGCCTCCTCAGATGGTCATCCCCCCTCCAGGGCAGACGCAACCTCCACCTCCAAGTCAACACCTGCCTCAGCAGGGCATGGGGGGGTCGAATCTGGCGAAAATGAGCAACATGGCTCGCTCGACGCCACAGCTGGATGATATGGACGGCAGAGAGAGGGAGCGGGGAAGAGAAAGAGACAAATCGCCGCACATGCGCAACACAAGAGACGCCCTCATCGCACAGGTGAGAGAAAAACCCGTTCATTCTTCTACTTGAGTATCAAATCTTTCTTAAAAAGGGTCTAACGCTTAATTTTGATGGACTCTGCTCAGGTTATGGAGGCTGTCCACGGAGCGACCACAGAGGAGGTTCACACTGCACTTCAGCGAAGTGACTGGAACCCCGTGAGAGCCGAACAACAACTCAAGGTAAAACCATGAGACGTTCGTTACGTAAGGCCTTTCAGCAAATTTGTATCCTCAGGTGCTCTAACAGGAAAATCTAGTTGTGCTTTTCTACATTTCTCCTGTGAATGAAGTCAAAAGAGCGTCAAATGGTTTAGGATGATGTAAGACTTCTTGTCAAGCAGATCTCAGGCTTGTACAGTTTTATTTATTTACTATATCGTAACTCAAAGCTTAGAAGTTTAATGGAAACACTGAAAGATGTTGGACTACAGCGCTAAGGGGAATTAGGTCCATAGCAGAGGAGTTTTCAATGTACGCCGATGTATTTTAGTTATCCTGACAGTAAGGTCACATAAAGCTGGTAGGATCCTGATAACTCAGCGTAGATTAACTTAAAACCCCCAGATGTTTTGGATTTGGATATTTGAATCATCTCCTCTGGGTTTGATCAAACTTTCTGTGGAAGTTCTAATGAATAGTCCTCATTTACCAGGCCTGGATTTTTTTTTTCCCCTTGTGGCAAACTTTTACGAGAAATGCTTGAGATCTCCTCGTGTGTTTTTCATAACTGTCTCTGACTTTTGTGTTTTTGTATTCACAGTTGGAGCAGCTGTACTCACTGAGCCTCTGCTCCAAAGAGGACTGTCTGAAGATCCTCACAAAGTACCAGTGGAATCTGCAGCTAGCCAGCCGCTACCTGATCCGATGGACGCGGGATGACAGGCAAGGCCCCGGAGAGAGAGAGCGACCCTCGGCAGGAATCGAAAGACGAGTGTGAAGACGCCTTTGAGACTTTTAGGAAATTAACGGAGAACTGACTTGATCAGAAACATGTTGACACTCTGTGCGTCCTATCCAGGGTGTACCCCGTCTCTCAACAATGGCAGCTGGGTTAGGATCCGGGCCCCTCGTGACCCTGTGAAGATAATGGATGGATGGATCTTAAAACACTCTGACATGGATTGACCCACTTTCATTGACCAACAGCTGGTTAAAAGCATCTTAAAGCAGAAGATGTTAAAATGTAAAGATAATTATTTGTAACAAATGAGATTAGTTTCAAAATGGCGTGTTTCTGACTCCTTTTTTCACACTTTTACGGTACACTGTCCAGCACATTATGTCTGTTCTTGCAAATAGTTTTTGTATGTGAATGAATTTGTAAATACTGTGATAGAAATTGTCATATTAAATAATAAAAATGACGATCTGGTCTTGATTTCCGATAGTATGAGAGTTTAATAACACAAGCTAAGTGCACCACAACTATTGGACCGTCTCCTTTTAGCACACAGCCTGTAAAAACACGACTAATATTAAAGTTATTTCCTTTTCTATGCTGTTAACACTTTAAAAAGTTTCCTGTTTAAAGTTTATTTGTTCATTTCAACAAGAGTATTTATAAAAATATTAATAAAAAATGATTTACCTTCACTGGGTTCTTTTTGACAGATCCATTGCAGAAGTCCATAGTTATGGTCTTTTGTATTTTTTTGTCCCCTCGTCTCTTAAGTCCATCTAAAACAAAATATTTAAAAAGTTGTCAAAAATGAATGTTTTTGAATCGACTCCAAATGTGAGGTAAAGGATTCATATTAGAACATGATAAACTATTTTTTTATATTTTCTATTTAAATTCAAGAGTGCAATTAAGGTAAATAGTTTTTGCTCAATTTTTACATAAACAGAAGTGCTGAAAAAGATACAAACAATATAAATGAATAAATTTAAATGTAATAATAATAAAATAACAATAGATAAATAAATAAATAAATATAAAAATTATTAAAAATTATTGTGATAAAAAAGGATAAAGGAACCCTATGTGACAAGCATATTCAAGTATTAATATTAAAACATTTTGACATCGTAAGTACGAACATGTATGTTACAAAAGTAGCTCCTACTACAGCATAGTACTTTCTTTACAATAGTCTAGCGGTCATTCATTTAATGGGAACATGTTTGCGTGCTTGTTGCTCCTCATGAAGATTCTCAATCTTAATTTACTTAAAGTGTGACGATTTGGAGTTAAACAGAAAAGAAAAGGGCCCAAATGCAGAACAAAAAAAAGGATTTATTTAAAAATAACTAAATAAGAAGCAACAAAAACTTACTTTAAATGTCCAACAGGAACAAAAAATCACAAGGAGCTGCTGGTTTAGGTACACCTTGACAAACACAACGAACCAACAAGGACAGAGGAGAAGACAGGGACTATATACACACACAGGGAAATGAGCAACAGGTGAGGCTAACGAGACACAGGTGAAACTCATCATGGGTGATTAACGAGGGAGGGAAAAGTAGGGAAGTAAAACAAGACTCGAAACACAAGGAATCAGCGACTACAAAATAAAACAGGAAACACTGAAAACTGATATAAAGAATAAAACACAGAGAACACAAGGGAAACTGGGTCAAACACAAACTGAAAACTCACAAGACAGGACTACAGGGAACAGAAACACGAGGGAAAATACACTCAAATCACCTTAAATCGCTTTAATAACAATTCAAAGCCTTAGAGGCCTTCAATTTCAATTTCAATTTTAAAAGAAAGGTCATGAACTCTTGAGCAGCTGAGGCATCCTCTCTTTTTAACCACACCTCAGCTCAACAGTGATCTGACTGTGTCGGCCTTTGCATTGTTGGTTTTACAGAACATATCTGTCTTTTGTCTTCTTTCAGCTGTTTGTGACGTGATGAAAACTAACAGACACTGTGCACACATGGACACACTAACATAAATAGTTTACACGCAGCTTTCTAGGTGCACTTGCATAACCAGTTACTGAAGCACTGACTTATAACCTCTACTTAAGTGTTAACATGAGGTGACTTCTTACTTGGAGGAGAGTAAATACCTCGATCATGAGTTTGTCAGGGACTTTTCATTGTTCATTGACGAATTTATAGGTGGGTGGACATGTGAGGACACAGGGGTGTGGTAGAGAATATGTCCCAGTGCGCTGCATCTAAAGCGGGGCATGGATGTAACCTTTGTAGATAAATGAAGCTGATGTTGACAGCAGTAAAACGCATGTTGTTTTCAAGTTACACAGTAACTAAATTAAAGCAGAGTTCAAGTGCAGATAACCCAGGACTGGTTAACATCACTCTTTCAAAGAGGAACATCCAGACCCTCCCAGAGAGAAAAAAAAGACAAGACAATGACACTGACATTTTTTTTTATTTCTGAACTTTTTTGATTCTGCAAAAAAGGGATTTACAACCACAAAACTATTACAAATACATGACAGAAAAATCAAATTGACAGAACAATCCTGCAAACTGCAGTTCAAAGCTGTAGGTTAACATGAAAATGAACTAAAGGAAAAAAAAAATCACATTTTTTGATTATGTTTTCCTTATAAAGAGGAGGTCGGATTGTATAGATATTTATTTATATTCAGGCACAGACAATAAGACAGTTACAGTGTAATAGAGAGCTGCTTTTTATATCTGAGAGCATTAGTGGAGGCACACCCAAGTTATCTTCATGAAAGATTAGTAAGTACTGAGCTGAGATTTGCATTCACATGTAATAGGCAGCATTTCGAAGCATTAAGCAGCAATCCAATGAGCAAAGGCATATTGCATTACAGGTTTACATTCAGTAAATTCAGTTCAACTAAGTGTTTCCTAAACCCTGTTACTTCTGGAGTTTCTCAGCCTCTCTGAGCTCACTGACCTCAGCTTCCTTTTACTCACAACTCTTCCCTCCTGTTTCGGCTTCACTCTCAGTCTCCTATCATTATACAAGCGCATGTTCAAAGAAGGCAATAGTATCTAAAGAAATGCATAGGGGGTGAGGTTTTACTAGGAACTCAGTCTCCATGGGAACCTCTAAACCACTAAACCACAGAGGGAGGAGGAAGAGAGCATTAGGCCACTTTCTGAGCCAATGCTACGGCTTTTTGAATTATGTTCAGAGACTCGGGGGTGTTTGAGGAAGAGAGAGGCCGCAGAGAGGTAGTGACGAAGCGCTTTGGTAAACACTGTTAGCATGTGTCAACTCCACCAGACACAGCTTCAACGACAACATTAAACATCCTTCCTCCTCTCCTGCACACTCAACTTTCACTTCCCTGTGCAAGTTGAATCAAGGCAGCCTGCTTACATAAAGTCTAATGTAAAGTTTTCGCTAATTTACGAGGCTAGGCGTCTACAGTCTCGCCAACAACCCAAACTTACACACAGTTAACTTACGATCAGTTAACCACCAGATTTCTGTAATGAAACCCAGGGACATCTGGGGGGGGGGGGGTTCACAGGATAGTAGGGGAAGGTCCCGCCTCCTTCGCCTCTGATTGGCTGTGAAACATCATCACATGCTCAAGCGGAGCACAGGCTGTCAGCTCTGTACATCCAACAGAACATAGCACAACATTATCGCAATTCTGAATCTCCTAACCCTAACCCCAACCCTAATCCTTACCTTAACCCTAACCCCAACCCTAATCCTTACCTTAACCCTAACCCCAACCCTAATCCTTACCTTAACCCTAACTCTTATCCTAACCCTAACTCTTACCCTAACCCCAAACCTAATCCTTACCTTAACCCTAACCCTAACCCTAACCCTACCGCTTATCCTAACCCTAACCCCAACCCTAATCCTTATCGTAACCCTAACCCCAATCCTAACTCTTAGCCTAACCCTAACCCTAACCCAACCCTAATCCTAACTCTTACCCTAACCCCAACCCTAATCTGTACCCTAACCCCAATCCTTACCCTAACCCCAACCCTAATACTAGCGCTTACTCTAACCCTGACCCTAACCCCAACCCTAATCTAAGTCTTACCCTAACCCCAACCCTAGTCCTTACTCTTACCCTAACACTAACCCTAACCCAACAGACGATGATGTTTCACAGCCATTAGCAATAACCAATCGGAGCCCAGCACATCTAGCCAATCAGAGACAAAGGAGGGCGGGACCTTCCCCTACCATCCTTCAAAAAAAAAATCCTTAAATCGGGGACATTTCTTGGGACAGCTTTAACCAGAGACAAGTCATCGAATACGCGGACTATTCAAGATTTCCAAGGACGTCTGGTCACCTTAGGTTACGCTATATAAGCTAGCGTTCTAAAACTTGCTAGCTAACATGGAAAGCTCGCCTGGCTACATGCGCACACAACATGCTAACATCTAATGCTAATGTGGATTAATACAGAGGGTGTAACCTGGCCAAACTTAGTAAAGATGTTTGACGAAGTTACAAATCAAACTTTCCTTCCGAAAACGGTGCTCGATACAAAAGTTAAAGGGTGATTCAAGATGGTGTGTTTCACCTCCAAGGCACCGTGGAATTAATAAGTGTTGCACTTACAACTTACATAATCCTGTTTCTTCACAAAACAGGAGTCAGAGAGTGATTACATGAGACAGTTATTACACATAAATATGAAATGTTAATGCCAGTGGTGTTTAAAGCAAATACAACCACACAAGTAGACATCCATGCTTATTTATCGCGATAAGACAAAGAGATGGAAAGAGTTGACTTTCTTTGGCAGGAGTTAAATCTCAGCTGGATAAAAAACAGACAACAGTCAACAAAATGAAGGGAGTGTTAGAAAAATTCTCAATATGGCAGCAAAAATCAGTCGCCGACTTTGGATATATTAAAAAATAATCCTTGGCTTGCACTGTAAAAAAAGTGTTGTTACGTGTGTAGAAAAAGATAGAACAGTATTGTCTGGAAGCAAAAATTAAGAAAATCTATAAAAAATGACAAAGACAACAAACGGATTGCATAACTAGAGAAAGTCCTCGCTGTGATGCCGCGGTTTCTCCTGTTTTATTGTTATGAAAACACAGTGCTGCGTTGGTTGGCCTCCCCGACCTTCTCAAAGAACATGAAATCCTGCAAATCGAAACAAAGATGATGTTCAAATATACCGTAAATCAGGTTTACTCTATTCAAAAAGAAAAAATAAATACATAAATGGACTTACGATGAGGAAGCAGGCCCCCATGAGCACAGCTTTCATCTTCACGTCCATGTCCAGCGGGAACTGGATGCCAAAGTTGTCCGTGTCGGTGAAGACTTCCTTCAACAGGCCGCTCCACTGCTTGCTGATGCGACCGATTGGCGTTTCGCCATCTTTACTTTTCAGCTGCAGTGATAAGAACGTAAAGATATATGAGTGATTTTATTTAGATGAAGGGAAGAAAAGGGAACTCTGGTTAGGTAGATTTTGTTGCTTTTGGATCAGGCTATTTGTCTCCGCCTGTTTCCGATCTTTGTGCTTAGCTACACTAATCATCTGCCTCCCATAACTTTGAGGAAGTAGGTGTCAACACTCTGCCTTAAAAACAGGTTATCCTTCTTAATCTTAAACTCACCTCAAAGTTGACGTCACCACAGCAGTTGCAGGCGAAGCACGGCCCTTCCAGTTTCATCACCGTCTCCTTGTTGGCTCCCTGGATGGAAAACTTGGGCACAAAAGGGTGCCAGTCTTGTTTGATGTATCCTACGGTGGTACCCGGCGGTGCCTGGACCTCCATCTGTAGATTACACACAAAGTTACATGAACATACCGCACCAATTAGAGAGTCATTACAGAGGGCATTAACTCCGACCTCGTCCCTGGACACTGGCAGCTATAAATAAAATAATCATGAGGTTTGCATGTCCCTAATGTCATGTGGGGCAGCTGAAACGATAAGGGAGCCTCTGACTGCCTCATTGTGGCACCGCATAACAAAGGTAATACGTCTCACATGGCTCCTGTCTGACGAGTAAACAGAACTGCAGTATGTGAGAGTGCAACCTTTTGGGTTTGTGCCAAAGGGAAAGTACTGTAGCCAGACTGCCGAGGATGTGATTAAACAGGAAGGCACAGAGAAAGGCCTCAGAGGTAGATAGATGGCAGAGGAGCGGGGGGAGTCTAGGAGATAGATTGGAAGGACAAAGAACCATTCATGGTCTTTGTGAACGCTGGCCTGAGCGGAGGGGAGGACAAAGACACTGAAGCATCACTCAGCAACTCAGCAGAAACCCAAGAGCAAGACATGAAAGCTGTGAGGCTGCACAATTTCATAGTGACGGACCAATTAGTATGAACATTAAATGCGCTGCTGATTTAAAGTGATACCAACACACTTGAAGAGTTAATGGCTTTGATTTTGAGATACACACCACAATCACGTCTTTGAATACATGGTTTTATACTAGATATACTTGATGGCATAAAAGTATTATTAATTCAGAATACTATAACAATAATTATTATTGTAATATGCAAGAAATTATAATAAGTAACCTACTGAGTGTTGAGCAGGTATCTTTGTGTAAAAATTGTATGTATTTATACAGATCTTTGTAATTTATAGAAATAGATTTTTTCTTTTTAAAAAAAAGGAAGGGTCAGGACTAGATAAGCTTTTTGCTTCATTTTGTTCCTTCTCAAACTGTTTATTTTTGACATACACATGTTGTGTTAATTTATCTTTGACATGTACGGTTGTTTGGCGTACATATGTACTATTTTGTTCTCTGTTTTTGTTTCCAGTTGTTTTTTTGTTGTTGTTGTTGTTCTTAAAGTTTGAGATAAATAAAGAAGAGAGAAAGAAAAAAATAAATAAAATAAAAACTTTTTTGTAACGACTTAGCTCTATAATTTTAACCAACTTAACCATGATGGGGGTAATTGTTGCAGTATTGGGAGCTACTTTCAGGAGCAGATACATTTTTGGTGCCTACAGACCAAATTTTGCTGGAAGGTTCAAAAAATTTAAAAGTTTATGTAAAAAAATTGGGGTTTTCTGAAAATTTCAGGATTTTTCCAGAAAATTAAAAAAATATATTTCATTACAATTTTTTGTGAACTTTGAGGTGAGTTTTTGAGGAATTTAGCTGAAATTAATATTAAATTTCCTGAGGCTTTCAGAAAGTGTTAATAAAGCTTTTGGGGAATTTTTTTGCTTTTCTAATTTGAGGTTTAGCTGGAATTTTCAATTGAAAATTACATTTAAAATTTAATAAAACGTTGGAAAAAAATTAAAGGATGTTTCAATGCAAATTTAGCAAAATTTAAGAGATCTGTTTAAAAAAAAATCAGAATCTTTCAGAGGAAATCTTCGGAATGGAACTTTTATAGTTTCTGTATTTTTTAAAGAAGTTTGAATTTTTGGTATTTTTAAGTTTTTTTTTCTAGAACTTTCATGGAAATTTTGGGGAAATTTAAGACATTTTTTCCCAAACTTTCCTTTTTTTAGATTTTTTTAAAGTAAATCTTGAGAGACCTTGAAAATTTTAAAGCATATTTTCAGAATTTTTCTGGTTACACTGAACATGTAACGTTCAAAAGTCAGGTTATGAGGCATCAATCAGGAAAAGCCTGATTCTGTGATTTTATTTTTAAATTTACAACCTTATCTCACTGCGAGTTTAAAAGATATCGCAGTAAATGATCATTATTGTGGTTATTTCTAAACCAGAAAGCTTTCCTAGAAGTCAGCACTTTGAGCAGGTGCTAATGAGTTCTCCTCCATCAGAAATGCCCCTCACAATCACTACAGTTAAATATTAACAAACATTACACAATATTAACAATGGCACATGTAATCTAGGCGCACTCTGGGTAAACATTCTGACACATATCAGTGTTTATGGACAATCACAGGGAGTTATTGAGATGGATAGCGACTGGATAAATTAAAAAATCCATATAGCATTTGTCTTTGAGAGGTAGTCGATACAATAAGAGGCTATTAAGGAGCGCTTTCATGAGGAACTAACTCATTAACTTCACGCGTACAGACCTCTTGCAGGCAGCAGGGACACCAGCAGGAAACGCAGCGGAGAGGCCGGATGAGACGGATCACCTCCCTGTCCGAATTGTCCTTTATTTTCATGTCAAAGCTGCGCAGAGAGCCGCAGCAGTTCCTGGTGCAGCAGTCGTTCTTCTCTTTGGCTTTGTAGATCTTTTGGCCGAGGCTGTTTTTAATCTCGTACTGGTTGTTGGTCTCGAACCCGATGAATGCTGGGTGGGGTTGGACGGAAAAATAGGTGGAAATGTGCAAAAAAAGAGTGGATAAGGCAGAAATCTCAAGGACAAATGTTGTTTTATCATTTAGATTTATGTTTAGAGGTTAAAAGTACAAAGATAAGCTTAAAGTTACTGACAGCTGAAGATTATTTGCTGCTAACAACGTGGAGAGTAAACATGTCAGACCTTACCTTCAAGGAGTTCCACTTTTTGATGGATGAGGATCTGGTCGATCTTAAACCAAGAAAGAGAGTCAAAGCTGTGACAAATACTCATTCAAGAGCAGGAAGCAAATGACACTTATTGTGTTTTTGTACTTTCCAGAAGAGTTTGGCTTTGCTCCTTTGGCACCAAACACTTCAGTAAACTGATATGTAACAGAGAAATATGTCACCTGAGGATAATCTGAGAGAAAAATTACAAATATCCACACAGGGAGCATTTTTTTAACTAAACCAGCCCTACTACCCCTGTCAGTCATACGCAGGTAGATAGCAAGAGCAATTAGATGTTCATTAGCACAAGCCATCTTCTAAACTAGACGACGCACATTGGCCTCTAAATGCAAACTAGCCGTCATTTTGTCTAAAGCATAAATGCAAATTCTCCCTACGAAATATGGTGGAAAAAGGAAAACAAGATAGGACAGTTCTGTTTGTTTTTTGGATTTCCATAAAGCCACAAACAACAAAAGCTGCATTCTGCTCTGACTGCCTAAAAGCCCTCAAAGTTTGTTGTAGTGTTTGTTTAAAGCACAAGAATCCAGAGCAGCGATGATGATTTCAAAATGAGAGTAAAACATTTACAGTGTGGTAAATCTAGATCAGCAGACACCTGTTTATGGCTGCTTTTTACTGACCTGAAACAGTTTTTATGTTACGGTTTACGCACTAACAACCCAACAAGAGCCACAAAGACAGCTGCTGAGAAGTCCTACCTGTGTGAGGTACTCCAGTCCTGGTGGGACCCCGACAGCGACCGCTGGAGCAGCAGCTGGTGCAGGGGTTATTCCCGCCGGATGGCCGCCGTATTCCTGTCCCGGAGCTGGTCCATGTCCTACCTGACTTGGCTGAAACATGACAGGGGGTGGGCCTTGATTGTACGCCATGTTGAAGCCCGGTGGAGGGGCTTGACTGGGGTCGCCGTACCCTCCCGGACCGGAGGGATAAGGGGCTACGGAGTGACCACCAGGATTCATCATGGGGTAGGGTGGCTGGTGAGGAACACCTGGATAACCTAGAAGGAATCAAAGTGTTTGAAGTCAGAAGATCATCTTCTACAGCGATATGAAGACTTCTTATTTAGATAAAAACAGTCAAAATGGAGCTCGAATTCAACAACCAAAATACAACAGAACTGAAATCAAACTTCTCACCTTTCAACACCTAAAAAAACCAAAGTTCAATCAGCTCATTGTTCCTCCATTGTGACTCAAACAGAGTGAGTCTTGATCTGTGTGCGGGGCTAAAGGCAGGTCTCTTAAGTGTGGGTGTGTTTGCCGTGGATCATCCTACTTTTCCATGTGGGGTCGGCAGAGCCAATAAGCTGCTTATTAGCACAAGCCACAGCCCAGGAGAGCGCTCAGAGGGGCGGGGGGTAAAAACCAAACACTGGACTTTGAGAAATAGATTCAGCAGTTTGTTTGGAGGTGCATGTTCTCTATAGGAGTGTTAACTTCTTCTGTGATGATGACAGAGTTTGTTTCCACTGTTTTTTTACCTTAAATGTTCTGGTTAGGACACCTGACGGCCACTACTCTCTTTGCAAATAAGAAAAATTCCCTTAACCCTCACATACTGTTCAAATCCTGTAAATCAAAATTGACCCGGACCAAGAATTGCCCGTGTAGCAAGTATTTTCACCAAAGTTCTACCTATTAAACCTATTCATAATGTTTAAATGACCTCTGCTACTTCAAAAAATTATTGATTAGTCCTTCCTAAATGTTTTAAACAGCAGGGAAAGTGTATTTTTTCAGTTTTAACACCACTCGTTTTTTGGTGAAATATATATATTTTGGAGAAGAACATCTATTACATAATTCAATTCAACTGAATTCACTATAGCTTTATTCATCACCTAAGGGCAATTGAAAAGCAGCAGCTGAGCAAACATTAAAATAGAATAGAGAAAAAGGAGAAAAAAGTGTAAAATCATGTCATCAGCATAAACGTCAATGTAGTAAATATGTCATCTAATATTATGTAAGACATAAAAATATAAAAGTCATACTGATTTGAATATATTTTTTTGAACAACAAACTTCATAATGAACTCTGTTCTCACTGTTTGTCCTCACTGCTAGTCTCTGCATTCAAAGCAAAGGTAGGACACTTCACATGAGTGGATCTTGCACATGTGTTTGACACTGAAATGGCCGCTCTCTCTACTCTCATAATGTTACGCCTCCCACCGCCTCCCTCCCAATCAAAACAGATTCCAATTTGTTACTTTGTACATTATATTGCAGGAGCAGGTGCACATGTTACATCTGTGTCAGTGACCTCCGGATGACTTCTGATCCCTTTGTACTCCATCTTTGATCACTCATGTGTTGTTTGTTTACTATTTCTATATTTTAGGATCCCCCTGCCCCTTCAAAGAGTTCAAAGAGCAGCTTTATGTCACAGAAAGTTCTTTTGACCTCCGTCTAGATGTGTTTGTGTGACTGTATGTCTGTGTGCGTTTGTGTGTGTTTCTGTCAAGGTAATGATAGTTTCATAATGATTTGAATATATCTTTTTGAACAACAAACCTTATATTGAACACTGTTGTTGGTGTTTGTCACTTGTCCCACATTAGTAGATCTAAAATCCATCTAAATAGATCAAGTCAAATTTGACCCATAACAGCCTTAGAGGGGAAAAATGTGTAGCACATAAACAAAAATACACATGAATGAGTTTCAGGCTTAAAGAATGACGTTTAGGGTATTTTTACTGCTGTTAAAAGTCAAAACGGGTCAAATTTGACCCGAACGGTATGTAAGGGTTAACTACTCGAGTAGTAAAGTTCATCAACAGAAAACCGGATGAATCACTGAAGAATCTCAAATGTCACCCAAACCGCAGAGATAATCCCTCGTCTAAGTAAAGATGAAGGTGTGACAGAGGAGGAATGCTCGTGATCCCACGGTTTCTTTTTCCTTCACTTGGGAAACAATCATCTTTCCTCAGGAGACAACATGTGTCAACAACATCAAACACCGCTCCCGATGACACATGCAGAAATCACTCACTTCTCAGGAAAAAGGGAAACAATAACGGGCTCATGGTTTCTCATTGGTTGAAAACCCCCCAAATACAAACACTCAAAGACAGAAAGGAGACAGAGAGGGCAGAGAAGGCTGAGCCAGGATGAGAAGCTTGTTTGGGCTCGAGTTCAACTCCGCTAGGTAAGGCTGTATGCCAGAGATATCATGTTATAATCCCAACAGGCACAGATCTGAAGACAAAGATAATGAGGTGGGCTGAACATTTTCAGTGGCATTTAAGTATTGTGGAAGAGAAACGAAAGTATTAAAAGTTGAAAAAATTTGCATGTGTAAATGTGTGGAGGCACGTTTGAAATACTTCTGTCACATATTTGGCAGAGGAACAGTGTTATCCTCAAATAAACTCACTTTATCCTCAACAGCCAGCGCACATTGTCTCACTGCTTCTACTACTTGATTGAGTGTGCTTTTCTTACAAATATATTCCCTGTCTGACCTTACCAAACATCAGTTATTCGCTAGAGGTTCAGCTGAAGTGTCTGTAACTGTGCATAGATGAGGCAAATAATTACGCAGCAGGAAGGAAGAGCATGTTCTTGTACATTCGTGCAGAGATGTGGACGTGTGAAACAGTTCTTACTTGCATCACTGTCATGAAATGATTAAAAGATCACTTCTTATTTTTTAGTTTCAAAGATGTGTCATAAACCAGCACTCTCTCTCTCTCTCCACTCTATCGCAGCTCGCTCTATCACTTCCTGTCACTTTAACATGTCTCATTTAATCAGTTATGCTTATGTGCAACTTCCGTCGAAGATAGGAATGAAGTACGATAGATCACTCAGAAGCAACTTTCAGACAACCTTCATATGCTGTTTATTTATGTTGACATGTGTCCTACCTCCTTCTACAGGAAAGAGGACTTAAGAGAGAAGACACACCAACACACCATGTCTTCAAGCAGTGGTACAGGAAAAGTCTGCATCTTTCAAGAAAACCATGATTTTTATGCAGGACAATGCTCCATTGCATGCAACGAAGTACTCCACAATGTGGCTCGCTAGTAAAGGCCTTAAAAACGAAAAAATAATGACATGGCCTCCTTCCTCACCTGACCTAAACCCTATTGAGAACTTGTGACTGTTAATGAAAAGAAGGGTGGCTATATTGGTCACTGATTTTTTTTAAATCTCAAACGTTTTTATCCGTAAACTTTGAGGTTTTTTTTTTTTATCATACTTACTTTAACAAGTGAAAACAAACAAGTGACCAATAAGATTCTTGGAGTTTGCCAAGAGTCATGTCTGGATCTGTTGAGCGTGTCTTCAGTTACTTTTATTCTCCATTGACCTGAGGTCTAGATTTGTCTCCACCTTCACAAACAACACTTTTGTTTGGGGTTAAGTGGTGTGAGAATATATTTGACTTGATTGGGATCTCTGTGGCGCAAACAGGTGTCATGTTTGAGTTCAACCAATCAAACTGGTTTCTGTTTCCATGGTAGGACAGTCCAGCCGCATCTATAAATAGCTTGTTTTGAGGTCATACAGAGGACTACTTCATAATACACTCTACCTCTTTTTAAAGCCGATTTCAGGTCATTTAACTTCCACTGAAAAGTGAAGTCAGAAGCCACTTCTGCCTTTTCAACAAGAGTCAGATGTCAATGGAGGATGTGGGTAATTTGTTTTGCGAAGACTCTGTATTGCTCCACCTCTTCCCCACATTCCTCTCTCTCTCCACTCGCAGGAAACAAAATAGAAAATGTTAAAGCAGCGTGTTTGCTGGAAAGCTTCCCTCACGTCCGCACGCAGCCTTGCCAACACAACGGCACCTTTCACCCCCTGAACTGCTGGTTTTCCATCCTGATGGAGGAGGAGTCATACGCTGAACTATCAGGCCTAATCAGATTTTGTGCAAGGATCCCAGCCATTCCTTTCAATTTTCAACGGGGAGGAAAAATTCCTCAAGAGAGCTGAGGGAGGAGATGAAATCACTGGAAAACAACGCTCAGAAAACAGAAAAGCCTTACACTATTATATATGTTAGTCTGACATGTATCCAGATACTTTTCAACTTTCTTGTCGCCCACTTTTCCAACTTACCAGGAGCAGACATGTCTAGAAGATGGCTGAAACTTGTGTGGATGCTTTCCTGAAGTTTAAGAAAAAGGTCCCCACTTCCCGGTAGACTCCGAGGGTCTCTATGGGAATCTGAAGGAATGGGAGGGAAAGTTCAAAAAAGGGGGGTGAAAGAGGCGTGGTGAAAAAACCAGAGCCAAGGGAGGGGGTTCACAGAGACAGACACAAAAAGAGGTCAAGGACAGCAACATCTGGCTTCATTCAACATGTTAAGTAACTTCTACTGTTGAGTGATCACATGTTGTGCTTGCACCAAAAGGTTTGTCATGTTGTCAAAATGCATCACTAAAGTCTACTGTGCTTATATAAAACAAATCAGGTGATAGAGGAGTCTTAGGAGCAGCATGTGGGTCTATTGTTTTGATGTTTGAGAGCTGAGACGCATGAAAGTACAGAGTGGGTGTGGTATTTTCAGCAGAGGAAGGGGGCTGGTCCTTTAATTTTCCACGGAAACCCATGATATTCATTTTCTCTGCTGCTTTTATAAACATTACAAATAACTGGACAACCCCGGGGTCGTGTGAAAAAGCTTACAAACTCGTTAAGTCACGAGAAGTTCAGTTTACTGGCTGTGCGCCTATCTCTGTCTCAATGTGTCTGGTTGGAGATAATTAGAGAACCCCTCTCATACATGTTGAGGGTACGAGAAAAGACCCAGAAATGACAGTGAAATCTCACCTCTTTGAACTGGTTTCTTCTCGGCTCCAATGTAGTGGGAATAAATGAAGGAAAACCCCGGTCTTCAGAGCAGAAGAGACGCTTTACATCGCTTTAATCCAAACCTGTTCCTCGGTGCTGCTCCTCGGTCACTCCTCCCTCCCAAGAACACTTTCTACTTTCTCCTCCCCTTTCAGACGACCTGATGATGAAGGCCACCATACACAGCAACAACACACGAAACAGCGATTTTTCACTGTGAGACACCCCGTCAACTGGTGGCTGAAACTGTTTTCTAATCTATTTTCTTCGAATTTAACGGCAACTACGGCTTCTACCTGCTATTTAACTGACACAGACACGCTTAAACGTTCAAACACCAACGGTCATAACGAGAGGAAGAGATTGGGCTCCTAGCAACAACCACCAGATGGCGCCAAAACTCCAAAAATGGCGGAACGACGTTGGACCATAGAATGTATGTAGAATGGACGCCGTCTGCCTCCTCGCTGGGTGAAGCCACTCCGAGAACAGCACCCTCTGGCGACAGGCTGCGGTACAGGTCCTAAATCCCACCTCCTCCAGCAAAGTTTATGGAGCTGTGGACAAACTTTAGAAATTTGTTACACAGAATATGCATTTTTCTAAAAATTCTAAAAATTGCCTCAACACAAGTTGTTCAAGTCTTAATTTTAGTTTTGGCAAAGTTTAGAAGTGAGCAGCAAAATATTCACAGAGTTTTCAGCTGGTTTTGAAACACACTGATGCTACCAGCAGGAGAGAGAAAACACTTTTTATGGCTTATGCTGGAACACGATGAGGAGAGATATGAGGCAGATCTCTTTGTACACAAGGATGTCAGAACTGACACAAACAGAAAGTTCCTCACAGGAGCTTTAAAGTATTTAAATATGATGTTTGAGACATTTTATTAGATTTTTTAAATAATGGAAGCAGCATTTAATATTCAGCTAGTTCAGGGATTAGGACCAAACAATTTGCGGATCCTTCTATATATAAATCGTATTGTATTACATGAACAAATAGTTGACAATCTTTCTATTTCAGCGATGTCAAAGTGAAAGCTAATTATGTATTTAGGGTAAAAAAATAAAAAAATAAAAACACTTTCACTTTCTTTATGTGTTTTGGTTCATTCTATTCAGAAGATCCTATCAGCTATGTTTGTAGTTACCTTAATATGAGCGTTTTCTTGCCCTTACAACGATCTTGTGGAATCCCTTTCTGTAATTTCATCCATCTGCCGGTGTATGTGCGTGTGTTTGATCAACATGAAACAGACCCTGAATTGGTATGAAATTCACATCAAATTTAAATCCTTAAATTGTTAACTTTATTTCCTATTTCACTGTCTTCCATGTAAATCATGTCACCGGTTGCTCTCACTGTGGAGGCAACAGTCTCCCTTTGGTCTATATTTGGCACCTGCTGTAATGTCTGGTACTTATAGGGCACTGAACCAGGGCGGGGTGTGAGTGGAGTCATTCAAGCACACACACAGACACACAAAAAAACAGAAGAAGAATTAAACCACAAATGACTGAAAGTAAAACGTTAGAAAAAAGTACTCAAATTGAACAGTTAATATGATACATATTGTAATGACAATGGTGTCACATAGTATAGCCTACTATCATGCCAATTGATTATCACTGTCGGTCTTATTGACTATTTATAGTTTATGAATGCTGATTGGTTCCAAGATTGCTATCAGTTACACAAAGTGACCTACTTTTAACACACAGATATTATCGTACAAGATTCAAAATGGTAAAATAAACAAAATGTGACATTAACTTCATCTCAAATGACTGCGCGTTTGATAAAAATTGGTACTGATGGAATGTAAGATGCACAAACCAAAGTGCCATTGTTGTGTTTACCACAGAGAAGATTCATGCTGGGTGACATTTTAAAAGTTAAATGGCAGCCTGTAGAGAATTTAGCCTTAAAACAGCTCTACTCACAAATGTGAAGGACAAGATCAGGATTGCTAAAGTGGCTAAATCAACACAAACTGAGGGCTCCCTGACAGTGTATAGATTCACTAAGTACAACATGTAAAGAAATACAATTTGCATAAAGAACAATAAAACTAGTTCATATAAATACATTAATTTTTAATATAGTTATACAGGTATATTTGATCGGAAGTTTTAGTGAACTTGTCTGGTCACAAGCATCTCAGAATTGGTAAACTTAGACTTTACCTCTACCTTAAATACGATACAACAGGACATGGTACAACACAAGAAGAGATGACATGTCACTAAATGTTACAATACCACACACCACATTATGGCATGATAAAATCTCATACAATCTGAAACAACACAATATGATGCAATAGCGATTTATATAAAACTGCCTTAAATTTGATTTAAACCCGACCCTCAAATCTTCGTCATACAGCCCACACTTTAAAATAAGATACTCATCCATATTAAAACTATACAATACTTAGGGCAAGATGTAGGGCAAGAAAAGCACAATAGGATAGGATATAAAAAATACAGTACAGAAGGTTATATACTATAATATATTTTCTTGATATAAACCTAAACTTTACCTCAAAGCAATGCAATATATGATGACAACATAGACTTTTTTGTTGTCACGTTTTAAACTATGTACAAACAAAATGAAAGAGGACTTCTCCAAAGTATTTACTATATTACCTCTAATGAGAGGACATTTGGTCCAGTGTAACAATAAATTAACACACACACACATGGTCACACACCCAGCCAAGGCTCTTAATGAGGCCTGACTCTGATAACGAAGCTAATCAGTCCAGCCTATCTGGCCTCTGCCCCTGCTCACATAAAGCCAGCCTTGCCTTGGTTTATTTATACTCGGCTGATCTATCAGCAGCAGCTCTATGTTTGGTGGGCCTCAGCGTACCAGAATAGACATAATTAGGACAGGGCGGGAAAGGAGGAAAAGTGAAAACGTGTCTGAATGTGCATACGCTGCATGCAGAGCCCCCTACCCGCCCTAACCTCTGCCAATCTCTCCATCCATCCCTGCTACACTGTCTCCTCTCTGTTTTGGCTTCTGCAGACGGGGGCAGCAAGCAGGCAGTCGTAGGAGGAAGGAGGTGGAGACTGATGTGTGTGGTCTGTATTGGGTGGCAATCTGTTGGTGAAGTCGGGTGAAGCGGAGTGTTTAAGTTTTCTAGATTACCACACACACCCAGACCCTGATGCTATCTGTGATCTCTCTGTCTCTTGACCATCTATCAAACCCAAACAGATTTTGGGAATATACTAAATCTTCACTTAAAAAAAATAGACACTGAAGATGTCAAAGGAAATATTTTTTAAACTTTTCTCTTGTGCAGTACGTGTTGCTTGTTTGCTGTGGTGGCTTTGGTCTTCATTCCCTGTCAGGGTGAATATGGGGTATTGCTAGTTTTTATGATATTTTATCCATTGATATAGACAAGACAAAAACTTGTATTTCATCAAATCATAAAATACTATCATATCTTATCAAAATGTTTTGAATCATGTATAGAATCATATCATATTCTATCATACTGTTTGATATCATATCATATCATATCATACTTTTTCATATCATATCATATATCATGTCATGACATGTCATATCATATCATATAATATCTTTTCATATCATGTCATGTCATGTCATGTCATGACATGTCATATCATATTATATCTTTTCACATCTTTTCATATCATATCATATCATATCATAATATCCTATTATATCTTATTATCCTTTGTGGAATCATATCATATTCTATCATAGTGTTTGATATCATATCATATTGTATCATAATTTTTCCTACCCTACCCCTTTGAATCATATCTTAATGCATCACATCATACTCTATAACACCGGATTAGTTTTTATCGTATGGAATTATATCATTTTGGATCGACACAAAACGCCTTGAGCTGAAATTATCAACAGAGTGGAAACAAAGAGATACCTTTTATCTATCTATCTATCTATCTATCTATATATATATATATATATATATATATACTTATTTCATTCTACTGTTATCCTGTTTGTACAGTTGTCTTATGAAGAATCTAACACATACACTGAAAATCTTTGCAATTACAGTAAAGTCTGTTTCTGTAGCAGTCTGTCTGACTCTTGCCAGTACTTTCAGACATCACAAATAACAATTGAACGTAATCTGTCTTGCCAGTGATCATCTTGTTTGTTTTTTAGTTCATAGGGATATAAATTATTGTTTGCGTCAAACTGTTTTATGACTACCTAATAACTCCTCACAGGAGCTTTAACGTAGATTCTACACATTTCTTAATCCATTTTACATATCTGTACGTTTTCTAGCAACGTAATCTGGCAAAATTTACAAAAATAATTTCCTGAAGGCAGCTGGAACCAGCCCGAGGGTCATGTATCACTCCACTGCATGCCAACAAACAACAATGAGCTTATCTCAGTCACATCTCTCCTCATTACAGCAGTAAGGAAAATATATGAGGGCATTTGGGTGGGACAATGTATGCGTACGTGTATGTGAATGTATGCATCTCAAGGCATGCTGTCATCACGTAAAGAGTCAAACACACCAGGGGACGAGGCGGCAGATGTAATTGGACTGTCTGAAGTCACACACACACGCACGTTTAGTTAACCTAAACAGCCTCTGATGCCCGGACATGATATAAACCCACCCTACATGCACGGCTACAAATACCCGGTACAGTCAGTGGTCATCAGATCAGAAGAGGAAGACCAGGCTTTGAGACAGAAAACCACAAACAGAGAACAGACGCAGAGAAGGTCAGCTTGTTTTCAGTTTTTCTCTTCAACTTTTAAATTTAATGTGTGTTTCTTTTATCGACTCTCTTGTGTTTTTTTCACAGATGCTTTGCTCCAGGTGTGTGCTCCCTTTCTTGGCTCTCTACTTTATCCTTGAAGAGATTTCTGCTGCTGTGCTTCCCAGAAGAAACAAAAGGGTACGTCACATTCTGAACACAACCTATTTTTTAAAATCTTTTTACTGTATATTTATTAGTGTTTCTCTACTCTCAGGATGTGAGCTGGTTGGATCAAGATCTGTTCCACCGCCTGCCTGAGCGCATGGACGAAGGGGACCTCTCTGTGGGTGACGCCGGGGAGATGAGCCGAGACTTGGATAGCCGTACATCTCATTCAGAGACCGTTATCGTGCCAACAGAGAACCTGTCGATCCAGCGCCAGAACCAGCAGTACCAGTACAACCGCAAGGGGAATGAAAAGAGGTGAGAACCACATTACAGAAACTCTGTCTGATGAATTTTGTCAGTGTGTTTAATTAAACAAATACAGAAATAAGTGTTTTTTTTAATAACATATGGGTTGTTGGATTTTTTTGTGGGTTATTTATACCATTTGTTTGGTTTACGTTGTTTTGGGAATGTTGGATGCTGAATATTATGTGTATTTTTTTTTTAATTTGAGCCACTGTACATTAAAATTAATTCATGTTTTTTTATTTTTTCCTTCTTTATTGTGTTTACAGGAGGAAGGTTGCTCCTCTGGATCCCATTGGCAGCTTTAAGATGTCCAGCTCCAGACAAAGAAAAGTGAGTTACAAAGAATTTTAACTATAACAACTGCTAAAAATGCATTAAAATTAAATTCAAAAACAGTCGAGTAAATGTATTTTTAAAATTGATATTTTAAGAGTTTAATTTAGATGATTGAAATTGCAATTTTGGGAACATTAACTGTTGTGTCCTTGGCAAATAACAACACATTTGTTTCGTGTTGTTGCAGGATGAACCCGACAGCGACTGGGAAAATTTCATGGAATAGACAAACTCCACAACAGAGCGCTTCATTTTTTAATATGTCACTTTTTATCTTTGTTATTTAACATTATATTTATTCATTAACTCCTATTTAACTCGCTGCTGTACTTACAAGTGAGATGTTATTGACTGGCTCCCTCTAGTGGTGGAAGACTGTAACATGACAAACACTGCTGTGTGCAAAAAATCTAAATAAATGTTTCAAAAATAAAAAGTTTCAAGTGTTTTTATTCCCTCAAACAATAAAGGATGGAATTAAAATGCACTTTTATGTTCCCAAAGACTTTTATTTTGTCAAGCTACAGTTAAAGAAAACAATATCAGACTGCAGAAAATATAGATTTTGCTCGGGTATTTTCTCTTTTCACTTTCACATATGTACAGTTGTCAAAGAACAGGATATGTACACAGAATTAAAGTTAAAGAGAGAGTGCAACTGCTACTGGAGACTTGCCGGCACTCCCGCCAACGAAAAGAAAAAGAAGCACATGGTAAAACCAAACAACATAAACGAATGCCACAAACCTACGCAGCGTCACTTATTTTCTGTACACTACAAACTTTGTTCTCCATGTGAGACAATCTTCCGTTCATTCTCTGATGCTGGGCGGCGACTCTACCCCTGCCTCTCAGAAAAGCTAAGAAATAAACGCTTACATGAAACAGAAAAACAAAGATTTTTTTTTTCTTTTACAAACAAGCCTCACAGCCAGTGATAATGTAAAGCGCTGCTAAACCTCGAGTCTTACAGCGACGTTAACCCCTCGTTTAGGATGAACATGAAAACCACACATGAAACAAAACTTTAACAGCTTTAAATGTAAATGTTGTTCATGTAAAATAAAATGGCTATCGATGATCGGTTAAACAAACCAGACAGGGAGAAACATTAAGCGCTCAAATATGTCTACTACATGCTAACCAAGCATAGATTTGATCAGCTGTAGCTCATATTATGACAAATACCAACCGTACACGCACTGGGAATGGTATCTGTGTTTTTAAAAAGTGCACTGCCCAAATAATTGTCTGTGTGCGATTTGAAACAGATTCTAAACGACTGATATTGAAAGACTTATCAATTCAAAGATTAATTTATCTAGAAAAGAGAGAGAGTATCTCTGTGTTTTAAACTTCATCGATTATCGCTGATGACCAAAACGAAAACGCCGACTTGTAAATAAAACACGAAAAAATAGACTGAAATAAAATGAGCTGCCCACCTCGCATTTCCACAAATAAAAAGGAGTGACGTTTTCCCTCTCTTACACTTGCATTGATTTTAATTGAAACTGAGGATATTACTCTGAGACACTTAAAAAGAAACTCACTGATTCGTCGTTACTCTTAAGAAATAAACGAGTCGAACGCATCCTCTCGCCACCACGGTCTACAACAAGAAAGCCAATTGATGTCGGAATTAAATAGTAAAAAAATGAATGATTCTCCGCTGTCACTGTTGCCTTCTGTCCAGTTCTTCACAGTAGCCAAAGAAAACAAAAAAAAAGTGAGGGATAAATAAGAACGGTTTTGATTGTCGAAAAAAGAAATCTTAAAAAGTGACAATACAGTCGCCATCCGGGTGATATTTTAGGCTGTTTTGGCTGTAGGCATCAAAGAAAATGAGTGTCAGAAGACAGCAAAAAGAAGGAGTGCGTCATGTCCCTCCTGTCCGCTTCGTCTCTAGGTGTCTTTTTTGTGTCCCGACCGCCGCAAGTCCCTGCACTTGTGGCAGTAAAAGATGTCGGGGACGTTGGATTTCTTGATCTTCGCACACGATAGGTGCACCCAAATGCCGCACTGGTTGCACTCGATCATCGGCCGCCCTGCGAATGGTTTCCCGCAGTAACAGGTGATCAAGTCCCACGAATCATCCCCTGAGATGACGAGAGAGAACAGAGTTAGAAAATCAACTTAAAAGTTCACAAGAAGACAAAAATCAGACAGTTCTGTGAGGAAAATTCGGACACATTATAAACGTTTTTCCTCCTACCTGATTCCACCATGATGTCTTCATCTGCGATCCACGTCTCACCCTCACTCGAACTCATCTCTGCGTCCCTCATCGCTTCATCTGGCTGCATCTTCCCCAGCCCCTGCATGCTTGGGTTGGAGCCCCTGTGCCCCGTCAGCTCATCTCTGACAGGTCGTACCTCTGCGTGCGTGTGCCGTGCCTCAGAGTCTGTCTCGCTTTGAGCAGCCGAGCTTTTGAGCTTTTTGGGTTTGGGCTGTTTTGAGTTCTTGCTGCGCTTTATACGCGCTCTTTTCTCACCCTCGCTGCTGCCACTGTCTGCTGTCGTCATGGCGGAACCCAGTGACAACTTTTTCAGTTTTTTGTCCTTCTTGCGCTCTGCCTTCGAGCTGCTCTGGCTCTCATAGAGCGAGTCTTTCAGACGCATTTTGTCCAGTAGAGTGCTATCAGAGTGCATGCGCCGGATATTTTTGCCTTTATTCGCTCGGGCTTTACGAACAAACGTGTGGATGGTGTGGATGTCGGAGCTTCCATCTGCCCAAGTGTTGCCTGTGGAGCTGCTGCCTCCACCACCTCCATCTGCTGACAACCCTGAACTGTGTGCAGAGCTGGATGATGTTGGTGACCATGAACTCTCCTATAAGCAATAAAAAGATAAAACGTTGAGATATGTCTTCATAACAGAGTAATAATCAGTCATATGTAAAACCTACAGTGGGGTCATTCCATGAAACCGGTGTCTTTTCAACTTAGAAAACTTAAAATTTAAACTTTAATTGTTAATTTTTAAGAATGTTTAAAATGGCAGGAAATTATATTGTGCCATCTCAGGCTGTTTTTTCATATTTTATATATATATTTTATTTTCCATTTTTCTCCTCGCTGTTTTCATAATCTTGTCAACCCTGTTACCAACACAAACTTAACAAAATACAATATTTATAATTAAAAATATTTAATATATGGTACATATATTAGCAGTACTTTAGTCTCTCTTTCCATTGAGATTATTTTATTTTGCTGACTTTTTTCTCCAATTAGATATTTGTCATTCAAATGATCAAATATATGCTAATTTTGCATGGAGATCACATGTCTCAACGTGTATCAGATATCTTTTAGAAGAGAAATGTTGAAAAATGGCCCAATCTAAAATATAATGTAATTTAAAATATAATGGTGAGTGTTGAAAGCCCATTTGAGTTTTCATTTTTTACATTTTTATCAAATTAATGACAACAACAGGATTGACGTAGTGGTAACAGGGCTGACAAGAGTAAAAGTAACTGGACACAAAGTAACTGGCTCTCCACTGGTGTATCAATCAATCAATCAAAAATTAATTATTAGCTCAATAATGTTCGCTTGATGACCGAAAAATGTTTTAATTTTAAAAAGGTTAACCTTTAAAGAGAGTACAAAGAGGGTAAACACTATTCCATATCATCCCTGTTACTCACATGTCAAATCCTGTTTCTGTGGAAAGGTAACAGGGTTGACAGTATTAGGGTTGACGGTAACAGGGTTGACAATTTTAAGCTAATCTGCCTGTGGCTAGCTTAAATAAGCGCTAGCTAAAGTGCAAGCTAGGTACTTTGAAAGGTATTTTCTTGTAGATACTGATTATATTTTGAGAAATAGAAAATTGTTTAGGGTTTATATGTTAAAAAGTGGTAACAGGGTTGACGGTAACAGGGTTGACAATTTTAAGCTAATCTGCCGGTGGCTATCTTAAATAAGCGCTAGCTAATGTGCAAGCTAGGTACATTGATAGGTAATTACTTGTAGATATTGATTATATTTTGAGAAATAGAAAATTGTTTAGGTTTATATGTTAAAAAGCGGTAACTGGGTTGACGTTGTATGCTTGTTCCCCCTGGTTAAACTTGAAAAAACATAAAAAATAGCACATCAGAGATGAGAGAAACTTTTAAATTTTACTGAGCTGTTAGCATCCTGGCTCAGAGAGGATGCAACCTCCTGTCAATCATGTCAAATCTGAAATGTACCATTATTATTTTAAGGTTTTTTTAGTTAGGGTAACAGGGTTGACATGAAATCAGGGTTAAATATTTATAATGACTAATATATATTATTACAAAAAATACTGTTTCACAAGAAGATCATACTTAAAACAAAATGTAAATGTAATTTTTTTTTTACATTTTGCCAACATTTTACAAATTTGAAGTCCTGTATATGTACAGCAATAGTAATGAGGGACAAGCCAAAAACCCTCATCAGCATTTAAGTAATTTTAATTATTTTAAATGTTATTTAATTGACTTTAATTTGACGTTACATTAAGAAGAGAAGACATGGTAATGTTATATTTTTAAATTACATATTAATTTGGTGTTATCATAATTTTATGAATGATTACTTCTTGGGGACGCAAAAAGGCACAGATTTCATGGACTGACCCAGTGATATCTTCAGAAGTTTACCTCTTTAGGGCTGGGGATGTAACCGGCATATGCGAGGACAAAGCTGCAGAACTTGTTGAAGTCCTCAACTGTCCTCTTTTTCCTCTCTGGGGGCTGAGAAAAGAGAGCAAAGACTTTAGTTTGAGGCTAACTATATATGACAGAAAGCAAGTATTAGGAATAACATCAACAGTTCTCACCAAAGGTTCCGTTTTGCACGTCAAAAGTGAATCTGTTGGAGAAGAAAAGAGAAAACATGAAATCACTCAGAACTTGTCCAGTCCTTTTCACACACACTTGAAGACCTTATCAAGGACTACAGCTGCTACAAGCTCACAGACTATTCAAAGATGAAGCTAAGTAGTGAGAGATAAACACGAATGGCTTATTTTAGGGGCGTGCATTGTTAGTTTCTTCATATAGTCGAGTGCTGACCGTTTGTGGAAAAGATATGACAGTTTGTCAGCAGATATGAACGCGGCTGAAGGCAACCGGTGTCACTTTGTCTCTATCGGAACTTCGATAATATTGTCAAATATGTAGATAAATTCACGCAATTTGAAGTAGGTACATGTTTTAAGCAAAAAAATGAATAAACAGAATCTATTTTACCGACTGTTAAGCTGTTAATTTCTAATTTTGCATTGTTTGGACGCTAACTGCTAACGTTAGCTGACGCTCGGAGGAGACGCTAACGTAACACGATGTGAGGAGAAGTTTGAGACAAATAATGCGTCCACTTTGACATTTTTTATCATTAGGTTTGCATTTAACTGCTTGAAGATTAAAATAACAGCTTAGTCGTGACTCTTAAGAAGTTAACTCGTCCTAACAGTTAGCCATTCAAACAGTTAGCTAGCCAAGCTAGCCGTCCGCTGACTGAAATAGAAGTGGGAGGCTCGTTAGCAAAGTTAGCTTCCCTCTGAATATGATTTATACGTGTAAACAGCTTTGTTGTCAGCATTGAATTTCGAGTAGATATTTAAAAGCCTGTGCGTCGCTTACGTGTGAGCCCATTTAACTCAAAACTGACTCGTTAAAAAGTAAAAGGTTGTGGAGTAACGTCGGCTATTAGCGTGTCACGTTAAGCTAGCAGGATCGGCGCGTTAATTTAATTGTAAGATCATTAAAGACAGTGATGTTAATATGTTAACATTCTATTTAACTAGAATAGATTACTACTTTTAGGTGACTTTTACGGTATTCTGACGGTAAACAGAAGTGAATCGATGCAAAGTGGTGTTATTGATGGAGCATACGCCACCAGTCGTTACCCTGACGTTAACTTAGATCGACTCTTTTTGTGCGTTAAACCGCTGATGTGAAGCGTTTGATACCACATTACACTGATATTTCAGTAAAAAGATCATATAGTGACAAGAGTGAGACATACCTTGATGCTCGGACATTATGTCAAGCATTGTCGCCTCACCGACAAGGCCTCGATCCTGGAAACAGGAGCAGCAGGCGAGCTAGCCGGAGAGCAGCGGCCGTCGCGCTGTGCCTTTCCCCGGCGTGGCTGCACCCTACCGCCGGCCAACTTCAACCAGCGGTGACCCAAGGGCGCGGGAGACCGAGTAGATTCTTCCTAGAAAACTTTACACTTGTGATCAAAGTTGAAATGTTCCCCCACTTCTTCACCCGCCTCGCACCGACGATATTAACCCGATAAAATACTAATTCCTCTGTCGCTTAACGTGCTATACTTAAAGCCCCATTTTCTCCGTCACAACATTTATATAACCCTCAGATAAGTACGGCGAACTGCGACAACTCTTCACACAATCGCGATTGCTTCTTCGTGTACGTCCATCGTGGGAACTCCTCCGGTGAAGTTTTTCTCCGTTTCTTCACTGAATGCTCACTAAACGACGGGAGTTTTGACTTTATTCCGCACGGTCGTCTCGGTGCGCGGCAGAAACCTCTTGAGGCTGCCAGCGCAGTGTTTCGCGCGGGGCATTCTGGGTAACGTAGTGTACTGTATCGTCTTTCCCAGTGACTTTCTCTGAGGTCGAACTACGTATTCCACTCGGCTTCATTACGCTTCAAGGCTCATGGGAAATGTAGTTTCTCCACCTTGGAACTCAAAACATGCCGTCGATCGAAACATGTTGTACTGGATTTAACAGAGAGAGCGGTAGATTTCGTAAAACTTACGATTTTCATTCATTCGGCGCTCAGCATCTAATACTTTGAAAGGTTTCATACGTTTGCTGGGAAAATGGCGTCCTTCTTCATTGTGTGGTTGTTTTAGCAGCAGGGTAAACAGACGTTAGCTAGCCAAGGCTATCTGGACCTATCACAACTTATTCAGTTGCACAATGTTGACAGAGTTATTACACGGCGCTGACACTGGAGGGTTTCTTGTCATACAAGGTAAAAGCTTTAAAAATGTCTTATTTTCTATGTTGGAAACAGTGACAGAGGGGCTATTTATGAAATTAAGCAGTTCCAAGGCTACAGAAGTTAGCGTCTTATTCCTAGTTTCTAATGGGGAAGGTAATGGAAACCAGGACCTGATCTAAAATAACATCAGATCTTGTCTAAATTATCCAAAAGAGTCTATTTTTGAAATATTGATTCTGTGTTCCCTTTTTCTTCATGACCAGCATATTTAATCTTCTCATATCTCCTCTATTATTCCAGTTAAAATGATAAAATACAGTTTCAGTTGTAGAAACCTTTTCTCTCTACTGTTTCAAAAAATGCAAGATAAGGGATTTAACTGTTTTATTTTCTTCTCTTTATTAAACCAGATCCAAAACCACAAAACCCAGGCTTCTTAGATGAGTGCAAGATTATCCAAGAAAGTCTATAGATTTTTTCAAATTCAAATTCAACTTTATTTTTTATGGCACTTTTCAGACAAGAAATGCAGTTCAAAGTGCCTCTCAGAGGCTAAAAATCGGGCCCGAACGATTTATCGGCTTGCCGATTAAATGAAAATGAAATGAAAACGCTTTTCTGGACTGAGTTTTCCTGTCGATGTGAAGAGCAGTACCCTATGGTATATCTAAAAAAAATATTTAATCTAGAGTGTATATATACTATATCTATAGTATATATATTTTTTAATAACTTAAAAAAAAAAAAAAAATTAATTGTCCGATTAAAAGGTAATCGTCTCCCCCCCCCCCCCTTATAATCTGCATCGGCCCCAAAAAATCCATAACGGTCGGGCCCTACTGAAAACAACAGTTAACAACCTCCCACCCAACCCAAACCTCCCACCCACACACCAACCCATGGACCCACACGCACACAAAGACACACACTCACCCACACATACACACACAAGCACGCAAAGTGTGAGAATTTAAGATATATAGTTAAAGAGATATGGCCTGACACAGAGATATTACATGAGGAAAGAGCTACCTTTCGTAAACACTGGAGATAAAGATAAAAAAATAGAAAGTGGTAAAAGGAAAGAGTAAAATCTGGTGGACGAAAACAAGAAAATAATCTTAAATGAACAGATGAGTAAGAGCTCTTTACCATATAAAAGGGGTAAAAGAAGTAATAACCTCTAAGGCAGGAGTTAAGAAAAAGACTAAGAACAGAGATAATCCATAAAATGAACAGTAAGAACTTTGATTAAAATGAACATTTGCAATAAGAGAAATATAAAAAGGCAGTGAGTGAAAAGCCTGGTTAAAAAGGTGAGTCTTGAGCCTCTTCTTAAAAAACATCAACCGTCTCTGCGGCCCTGAGGCTCTCCGGCAGGCTGTTTCACAACCGGGGGCCATAGAAACTAAACGGCCTCCCAGTGTGTTTTTGTTTTGACTTGGGGTAAGGTTAAAAGACCTGTGCCAGAGGACCTCAGGGTCTGCGAGGGTTGATATGATAAAAGTAAGTCAGATGAATAAGAGAGGCCAAGACCATTAATACATCTAAAAACGAATAAAAGAACCTTAAAATCAATCCTGAAACAGACGGGGAGCCAATACAGCGATGCTAAAACTGGCGTTATATGCTCTCGCCTTCTGGCCCTCGTCCGAAATCTTGCAGCTGAAAGACACGGTTACAGATTTGTAAAACCCTTATTTTACTTGTGAAGATAAAATTCCCTAAATATATGGAGTTTCACTTTTTGAATTTTAATTTTGGTGTAAATTTAACCTTTTGGTGTAATTTTTGGAGCTGAACATGTACAAAGACTCCTCAGATGCAAGTTACTTTAAAGAGGCTACATGCCTCTAAAAACACAGCTTTAGATCTGTGAAAAATCTTCATTTGTTCAAATGTAAGACAGAATGACCTCAACATGTGAAAAAGCTGGAAAATTGAGATCACAAAAATCTGAACTTGTGTTTAAAAAAGTCACAAGTCTAGTCAAAGCCTAGTCATTGTGGTTCAGGTCAGGACCTGGTCTTAACAACAACAAATCAGTGAACTCGCCCTTTCTCAGATCTGAAACTATGATGGTAATCTACTCTGGGTCTAAGAAGTTGAGGTATAGTGGTTTTAGATTTGAACCTTGTTTCCATAATCTTCCCGAATGGAAGTGTTTTACGATAATGTAACCTCCAATGTAGTTACCCCAGGCTATCTATCTTGCATTTCTAGACTCTACCAGTTGTTCTGGTCGACACCTCCTGGAGAGCTTCATCAGTGCTGCACTGAACAGGTATTTTAAATGCAAACTACAGTAACACAGTCATACAGAGTGTTACCCATAGAAAGCCTTTCTGCTACAACAAAGGAGAACAACAACATTTACTTTGCTCTCTGATGAAAGCTCATATTATTGTACTAGAATAAAGTTGATCTCTTTGTATATGTTACTCTGGTTTTGTGCTTTTTGTTGTTAGTTTGGCATTTAAAAATAAATCAAAAAGAATCATTGCTTTCTACCACTGTTTTAAATGTATGAATCTGTCAGAAACACTCATCTCTCTGCTGATTTTATGAATGTAGAGAAGAAGCCGTCCATGTTCTTGGCTTTGATGTCAGTGAGGAAGAGCTGACAGGCGGACTGAAAGGATCAGCCATTGAGAGGTAACAGTGAGTGAATAACCACTTGTTTTGGCACATGTTGAATTCATTAAACCGATTTTGTACTTTTTTTATTTTGGCACCTCAGGCTCCACTTTCACAATGCCTACACAGACCCCCTCGGCTGGACTGATCAACCATCTCTCACACTTCATCAGTTCTGCTCGGAGGAACTTTCACATCTACTAAAGCCAACATCTCACTCCAAATCCACTATCTTGGTGATCGACTCTCTCTCGTGGATTTTGAGGCATGTTAATCCACCCGCTGTCTGCAAGACTCTCCACCAACTCAGGAAAGGTGATGGATTTTACCTGTGATGTTACCTGGTGTCCAAGATTTAATGAAGGAGGAGTTTTAGCATCTTTGTAGATAAAGTCAAATATGAAAATATTCCAGAAATGATGTGACAACTTGTCTTAAGTTGCGGTAAAGTGGGACCTTGAACAATGCAGTGTTTCCCCTGTTCAACGGCCTTTTCTCTCTTTTTCATTAGGGGGAGCTGTGAGAGCTATTATTGCCCTGCTCCATGCTGATATGCATCAGAGGGGGACTGTGGGAAGTGTATGCCACTTGGCGTCCTCCGTCATCAAAGTAGCGCCTGGAATGAAGGGTGATGAAACGGTGGCCAAGATAACAAAGCGCTCAAAATCCGGGAAAGTTGTGCAAGACGTGAGCAGATTTTTCTACTTAGATGTCTGTCTAGTGAATCTTTGCTGTTTAAAGGGACTGATTACTTTATGTTGTGTCTGCAGGAGGAGATTTTCAGCATCAAAGAGGATCTATCAGTCACAGTACACAGCAAGCGCAGCCAACCTGGACTTAAACAGACTGAGACGGAGGAACAGGAGGTGCAGTATGACCCACATTTAACACAGATGCAGCAAAAACTTTGAATGTCCCTAAAAAGTTCATTTTTTTCCCCCATTGAAACTTGTATTTATTCTCAATTCATAAAACTCAAAGTGAAATATTTCAAGACTTGTTTTGGTTTGAATCTTTGTGATTATGATTTACACCAATCCAAGAAAATAGTCAATTAACTTTTTTCAGGACATTTTAAATTTTTAAGCTATTTTGGCACCATAATTTGAGGAAAAGAGGTAACATAAAGCTACAATGCAGCAGGACTAAAAAATGTCCTTTTTTGTTTCTATAGGCGGACCCAACAGCCAACCTGACCTTCAACCTCCGACTGTCAGACACAGAGCGTGAAGCTAAGGAGAAACTAGCTCTTCCTTTTGTCTTCAGTAAAGAGAAGTTGGGAAATTTTCCTCTGTTGTTTTGTTTTTCTGGTTTTATTTTAATTTGTTCAGACCTTAAAATTCTAAGTCTTCTACCTTTCTCTCACAGGAAAAGCGCTCTGCTCCACTCAGGTCCAGGTTCAGGACGGATTTTGTATGAGCCGGATGCCAACGATGACTATGACCAGGAGGATCCTGACGATGATCTTGACGTATAACCTTGGAATATTGAACATATTGCATATAAACAAATTTGGGACTCTTTCAATCAAAGACTCAGCGCCACCTCATGGACTTTTACAGACAAATAGCTTGAACAGTTTTTATTTAAGTTGTTTTTCAGAGTGTATCTGTTTTTGTGTTTGGTTGAAAAAAATGTACATGGTTAACTTTTGTTTGTTTACACCACTTTTTTTTCTACAAACTGAAGATTTGTTCATGTAAATTAAAATTGTTCAGATATCCACAGGAGTATTGTGCATTTCCTCAGCCTGCACCAAATTATGTAGACTCCATAAAACCGGCACATCCCTAATGGTAAATAAGAAACAATAGTCAGAAAGTAAACAACTGGACATGTCTGTTGGATTGTTCTTGATCAGATTTAATCTCTTCACCAATATTGACTGATTTACTTGATATTATTTTTAAAAACAGACATAACTCATGTTAATTATGTCCTTTCCTTTCTCATAATTTCTAAAATAAATATTTGACTGTTGTCTTTGGAGTTCTAAGATCATTTCAGTTTAGCCAGAGGCAACAAGTAAAAGAAGAAAAAAGAAAAAGTGGCGGGGTTCAAAGCTAATAGACTTTTTACTGCACTTTATCAGTGCTAACCATTGCACTGACATGCAGCTCTGCAGAGTTTCTTTCTCAACTTTATCTACTTCCCATCATGGTCATTCAAAAACATGTTCTTCACTCTTGTGGGATTAGGGTCATAAATACTTTACAAAAGTGATTCAGGTAACTGTCAGGTTACCTTAAAACCCAAATGATAGTACGATTTCAATCTATTCTCCACTTTTCATAAGCTATATTCTGTAAAATATTCTATAAAGTCAGTAACTCATAAAACAGAGTTCTATCATAATTATCCACCCAGACATAAGGGTTATTTGCATGTGTCAGTTGTTTAATTTTTCACAAGTATAGAGAAATGAATGAGTTTGTAACTTTTCCCCGTGGTCACAACAGAAGTTAAGCGAAATTAAACAATAACCTTTCCACTAACTTTTTTGCTTGTCTTTTCTCCGTCATTTTCTGTGCCTAGATCATAAAACACCAGTATATCATCATTGTTGGTCCCCAGCAGCTCACTTCTTTTGTGGCTTTTTTTCTTTGCATCCTTTTATTTTCGCAGTCAGTAACTTTCTTTCTTTGCATCGCAATTTTTTTTTGCGTCGTTAATTTCTGTTTTTGCATTGGTAACTTTCTTATACTTCTTTTTTTGCATTCTTTTTTTATTTGCAGCAGTGGCTGTTCTCGGCCACTGTAGAAACAAAATAACCTTGTTGAATAATAACATATACAGTGCTGATAAACCCTTCCCCTGACGCCCTATGACTCTTTAAAGCTGTGTTGTTTTATAACTTAAAGCCACGGTGGAAGCATGAGGTTTAGTGACCGTCGAAGACAGTCCAAAACTTTATGAACATACAAACATTTAAACATTAAGACGAAACACAAACACCGACAACGTATCTGACTTAAATTAAAAGACAAACTTATTATAAAACTGTTAAATCTTTACAGAGTTAACAGTCTCCTGCTCGTTCCCGGCTGTTTATTTTCCATCCACGTGGACGTGCTGCGCGCGACCACAGGATTCCTCGCGGAAGTGACGGCAAGGCGGCGATGGCGGCTCGCAGTTTCATTCCGGATTTCCACTGGACTACAGACTGATTTTAACCGGACCGGTTAGACTTTGGAGAACTTTTGTAAAGCCGTCTCTCTTCCAAAGCCGTGCAGAGTGGAGCCACACTGACTCGGTGCTTGACAGCGAGTGGTCCCACAGCTTTTCTGGGGTATTTTTGTCCAAGGTTCAAGGTGGTCACCCTGTCGAGCTAGCGGTAGCTCGGCTGCTAAGAGCTAACGTTAACGTTGCTGCACAGTTAGCTCCGGAGCTAGCTTGTCAACGAGCTGCGTGCTAAGGTCCACACAGCAGCAGCAGCTTTCTTCTTCCACGTCTGTCTTTTGAAGCTACAATGCGGATGGACTTTATTTCATGCTAATCGTGCCACAAGTGTGCAGAGCGAGGTACTCACACGTTTGCTTGGCCTCTGGGTCCGTTTGAATCGCTAGTTTGGCGGCTGTGGCTAAAGACGGATTTTGACTCTCACCAGCCGGCAAGTGGCCGCAGAAATTGACCCAGAAACTTCGGACAGAAGTGTGCCATCAGCTGAGGACTAAAGTCGGGCTCCGAAAGGGTCCAAGCGGGTTTATCATCACCATGCTGAAGACCCGGCAGTGTTTACTCGGCATCCGCACATTTCTCGGCGTAACGTCGAGATTATGGGGCTTCATCATGTACATCCTCAGGAAGCACCTACGAACGGTGAGGAGGGTTTGAAACACATGTGGCAGCTAGTCCTGATGTGTGTCTGTGACCAGTGTGTCATTGTAGAAGAAACAGTCCACATGGATGCTAAGACTACCTGTATAGTTCACCTGTGCTTTTCCTATCTGTCCCCTCATCATAACATGATGCAAATACATGATGAAATCCCACTGTTAGCTCTCAGTTAAAAGCAACAACAACAGTGTCAAATTCATCTAATTATCACTCAACATAAAGACTGCAAGGAGTGCAAAGAAGCAGATATACTTAATGTAGGAGAAAGAGAGGCATGAAGGATGTGTTAAGATTAGGGCTGGGCGATATGGAAAAAAGTTTATCACGACTAGGACTGGGCGATTACATGATCGTGATAAGTTTCAGTTCGATCACGGTGATCAGCTGTAAGGTTATTTACTTGATCAAACATAGCGGAAATGTGCGTCACAACAGCCAATCAGAGTTGAGCTTTTCTCACTTCTGTAAGTTGCCGCAGAAGTAAACAGAATGACCGAAGAACGGGAAGCTAAACGCGGAGCTGAGGGCAGCAAAATAGATGTCAGGCGTGACTTTGAGTCATCCTCCGAAGATCTTATTGTTGAGAACGAAAATTATTTAATGTCGGTTGTGTGGCAGTGGCTGTTGAGTTGCCGGTTTTTGAGGGCACCCACCACCGACATACCTTACACATCGGCGGACTGAATGGTGGGCTGTTTTGGCTCCTTGTAACCTTTGCATTGCGTGTGCTCCGCCATGTGGCACTGCTTTAGGTAGTAAAAAAGATTTTAGGTATTTCCCGACTTTGCGAGAACATGTACTCGACATAATTTGCAGTGCGCATTACTCTGCTTCATGTCCAAACTCAAAAAAATAAATAAAAAAATAACGTATTTTTCACACTGTAAGGCGCACCATCAATTAACACGTCTATTCGCCTCTATTTTCATACATAAAGCGCACCGGATTATAAAGCGCATTAAGCCAAACAAAACAGTTAGATAAGTCAAACTTAATTGAACTCATTCAATAACTCCGCGAGGCTACGGTAGCTGCAGTTCTCCGACAAGCCAAAAGGATTTTAAGTGCGCCTTACAGTGCGAAAAATAGGGTACCTCCACACCACTGACGTTTTCGTTCCAGTATTGTCGACAATGTCGTCATCCCTTGAGTCTTCATCTGCATTTCTGCCAGGGTAACACTCATTTTCTTTTTTCTCACTGTCACTGTCAGCTTCATGTGTTAAAGTTCTATGGCTGCATATAGCTGCTGCCTTTTACTACGCAGTTGTTCACTACTTGGTTCTAATTCAGCACATGATTGGTTCAGCGCGAAGTGAACCCAGAGTATCGGTATAGTCTACCTAAGCATGGCAGAAAAGCATATTAACCATGTTTTATATTGATATTGAGGGAATTAATTTTCACTATATATCGTCAACATTTTATCGCCCAGCCCTAGTTAAGATACAAACTATTTTCTATCCAGGAATAAACAAAACACAAAAATCCTTCCAGTCTCTTTATAGCCACAAATTTATTTGCATTTCATCTGATGCTAAATGACTGAAAACCAACTTTACGATCCTTGGAATAGCAGCAGATTCATTCCTCACTTAGTTGTTTAACACCCACTAACTGATCGTTTCAACTCCATTTAAGTAATAAAGATGCAAGGTTATGTTTTGCATGTTGAGGTAGTCAAAAAAAATGCAATAATAGTGCGAATGAATATCTCAGTCAACAAAAGTACGAAGAGAAAACCACATCCAAACACAACTCTGCAGGTCACCTTCGATCGCTTTTTAGCACCCCACAATTAACCCGGCATTTAACAGAAGCCACCTGCTTGTAACACACACACAAACACACACACACACAGGTGTTTTGCTGCGACGTTAATAGACGTGCATATGTGTTGTAATATGAGTGGACTTCGACTCCAGCTCTGTAAAGGGCCAACAAAGCTTGGAGGAGTGCCCCGCGTGTTGTAATCAACTCGCTGCCCCGAGGTTTGTCTGCAGTTTATTGTGAAGCAGCAACACTTGCAGGGTTGTGAATGAGAGAGAGTCGTCCAGTCCATGTTGTGAAGTGAGAGGGATTAGGTCAGCACAGAGGGCACACTGTTCTCTCCCTCGCTCCCTCCTTCCCTCTGGTTTCTCTCATTCTCACTAACATTTTATTGCTGTTGTTTACTTCACGTGATGCACAGGGACGTTGCAGAGATCCAGGAGCAAGCAGTATAATGTAGGTGATCCTATAGATGTGGGACCATGACAGGCCAACTCAGAGAGAGCCTTGGTTTTCTCTTCTAACAATGCTAAACCTTTAAATCAACCATCTTCTCCTTTTATTGTTAGTAAGGAAGGGTCCGAAGCTGTTTAAACAGCAGACTGCACGACTGCAATCAGAGATGTTATTATATCAATCAATAAAGCTCTGTTTGAACATGATTATCAGGACCAGGTCATAAAGGAAGCTACTCTGACTCGACAGAACATGAGACGCTCAGTTATTGTTCGGTATGGTGCTTATCATCTCCTACATGGAGTCACAACAGCATGTAGCAAGGTAGTGTATCACTGCAGACACACTCAGTTTTAATAGAAGATAGTAGAGCTGTACTGCTACCTTAAAGGGATAGTACAGTTTATTAAAGTGGGGTCATATGAGGTACCTGTCAGTTATAAATGTATCAGTTATAGGGGACTTGAGTAGGGCTCAACCAATATGGAATTTTTGGGGCCGATGCTGATACTGATTATTGGGGGGGGGACCTGATTACCAATTAATAGGCCGATTTTTAAATTTTTTATGACGTTATAAATATATATATATATCTGTAATCGCCCCTCCCCAATAATCGGCATTGGCCCCAAAAAATCCATATGGTCGGGCCCTAGTAAACACATACTTTGGAGATAGACTTAAACATTTTCTCATTAAACTTCTGAGTATTGAAGAAAGTCAGAAAAACAGCAGCGTTAAGTGGTGCAGGCTTCAGCTGTATGTGATCCACTTGTATCCTCTGATTGCAACAAAGTCCCACTCCCCCACCTGCCTTCACATTTGTGTTTCCGAGTCTTGTTCTTCCTCTGGAAACCCTTGTTCATAAAAGTGTTCTCAGTAAACGTGGCATGGCAAAGTCGCTGACTGAATCACTTATTGTTTTACTCGCTGTGTTTATGACTTATTAAAGCCTGTTGACCCAAACAGCAAATCAGAGCTGCAGGCAAGGGGACACATATGTGAATGGGCTTTTTGATGCTGAGAACTTCCAAGGAGAGCGTACACTTAAACTGAGAATAGTGCTTTGGTTGGAGTCGGTTAAAATCAGCTGGATTTCGTGGTGGAGTTACCTCGTTTGCAGTGTCTCATGGTTGATAGCCAAGCCTCTGGTTTGGTGCTTCGGCTGCTTTCTAAATAAAGATGCTAAAATGATCAACATCCATTGATCTATTAACATACTATTGACAAGTACCTCATATGACCCAACCTAAAAAACAGTGTTGTTTTCATTGACGATGAGTTTGACGAAAATACTCCGCAACGCCCCTTTTTTCCACGACGAAGACGTGACGTTGATGAACTAAACATAAGTCTTAGATGACTAAATTGTGACGAGACGAATGTGCGTTTACGTTGACGAGATGAGACTAGACGAAAATGTTAGTGGTGGACAATGAACAGAGTTGCAAAATTCATAAGCATTTCGTCAGTCAAATGCTAAACATATAGCAGGGTTGTTTCCGTTGACGATGATGTTGACCAAATATTTTCGTCATCGTCAACGAAAACAACACTGCTAAAAAAAAACTATTCCCCTGAAATGTTAAGTGTAATTTTGTCTCAATCTTGACGATCAATCAATCGTCTACGCGAGTTTTAGCCTGAAGTTGCTAATTTTGTAGTTTTTGCTTCACTGTGGTGGAAACGGGAGAACAGTTCGAACATGTCAACTTGTGCTCTTCACCGAAATATCAATCAGCTGATCAATGGAAATAAGTGTCACCCACCCTGTATTTTAAATGTGTAACCATAGCAACGGCAATACTTTTAATGCCTGTGTTTAGAGTTTGTTGCGACTTATATTCAGGTTAACATCTCAGCAGGGAAATATTATGATGAATTTTTCTGTCAGCCTATTTTGAAACTACTGCAGAGAGAACTTTCCCCCCGCTGTGAGTTGGATGATTCTGGCCTTCACATCGTCCATTAATTTCTAAGTCAGGATACATTAAGGGCCATTATTCTTCACGGTTTAATTGCAGATGTCAAAGAATCACTGGTAGTTTTCCTCTGGAGTCACTCTCAGCTGTAGGAAAGAGATCCAGATGAACACTCTTTGAGGATCAGAGTTCTGCCTCGAAGGCGAGGTGTCCCCCTGCGGTGCCCAGCAGCTGCTTTCACCAATAGGCTTCCCCCAAGCTAACCCTGCCAGGCAGCAGAGGGAGGGAGGGGGCACAGAGGGATGGCCCCCCCTATCCTATCCTATCCTGTCCGAGGGTTTAGGTCCCAAGCAGCCAAGACCCAGTCAAAGTCACCCTGCAAGTCTCCCTTTCTATGTGTGCCCCATGCTCCACTGACACCCACCGACAGCTGAGGGGATAAAAATAGCCCCGTGAAGAAAAGTGCAGAGCCCTGGGGCAAGAGCAGCACTGGAAAGGATCGTCTCTTAGCAGGGCAAGGAAGTTAGAGAGAAGGAGTCATGGGGTGGACGTGACTAGGTTTCTGAAGTTTTTCTCTGTAGGGCGTCTCTCTAGGTCCTCTCAGAGAAGAATAAGCATCCAAAGTTTCACATATAAGTCGAGGTTTTTCTGAGTCTTGAGGACCTCGGGGTAATATGAGCTGCACCTTTTGATCTAAATCATCCCTGGCCCAGATATGTTTCAACCATGACGTTCTTTTCAAATTGGATTCAAATTGCAGGCAATATAATGACATAAACCCACTTTTGTCCGTGCCCTGAAGGATTATGAAACGCTAACACTGGCCTCTCACAGAAAATGTTCTGTAAGACTCTTTTAGAGCTGAGGAAACAACACCCTGTGTATCAAAAACAGAAAAATCCCTCCAGAGAAGAAAAGAAACAACAACGACACATGTTCGAAGTCCATCCACAGTGATTTACACGCTGTAACTTACATTAATTTTCAACAGCTACCTGAATTCTTGTCTGATTGAATATTTTTCTTTCTCTATCTGCAGATAATCCAGTATCAGACGGTGCGATACGACACTTTGCCACTGTCACCCATCTCCAGAAACAGACTCAGTGAGTACACGTTTGTCCTCTTTGTGTGAGACTTTTGGAAGTTAAGCAAATTGTCATCCCTCCCAAAGCATACTGGTCGGGTATTTTTGTGATACAAGAGAGGAGACAACTTTTTTTTCAAAGTTGTTTAAAAAAGTAGGAGGGGAACCAGTCGGTCAAGGAAGAAGTTATAATGCAGAAAAGAAAAACATAAGGACACACATCCAGCCTCATTCCTTTCTCAGGACTTCCTTTAAATCCGTGTGAAAGATCATCGGTAATCCTGAAACTCACACTTTGCAAAGGTCGATGAGAAACTAAGATCATAAGCCTCATACCAGCAAAGTTGAGAGACAGGAATTCATATTACAGCAGGGAACTGAGGAAGCATCAGTTCTTTGAAGAAGATCCCAGCATCATTTTGCATTGCGAATGGAGATTAACACCAGACAGTGTGGTCTGACACTGCTGTAAGGGCCTGTGTCCACTAAAAGCTTTTCATACACTTGCTGCCCAAATGACCTCAATTTCAAAGCTCCTCTCACCGTACCACTTACAAGGGTATGAACGTTTTCTATGCCTCCCTGTAAGTTTGTTTAAATTGCTCTTTATGCTTCATATTTTTCTTACTGTAAGGAAGTTTTACAATTTAAAGGTCCTTTCACACCAGGAGCGTTTTTATTGTGCGATTATTTCGGACGTCAATATTTTTTTTGAAGCGTTCACATCTGCGTTTTCCCATCCTGTGATATTGCGGCATTTATTTTTTCGTATCTCAGTCGATTTTTCTAAAGTTTCGCATACTGTGTGTCCACTTCTGACTAATCAGATTGTGTGTTGTTGTGACGTCTGATTCACCGGTATATCCAACATGGCCGACCGGCTGATTGCTGAGAGCAGAGAGCTTTTTGATAAAAAACACAAACATTACAAAGATAACGACCTGAAGGACAACTTGTGGAGAGTCATAGCGTCGGATCTCTCATATGATGATGGTTTGCTAAACGTCTTTGTTTTAACTTTCATCTGTGCTAAGTAACTTTAGCTCGTAAGCTAACCTGTTCAGATACAACATACCATATGTATTTTCACTGTCTGAAACTCAACCTCGTTGCTGTCACAGCACCATTAGGTCTCGGTTGTTACCTTACGTTTATGGATTATGGTTTAATGTTCTTATCTGGTACTGGCCCCGACTCAGTACATCCTATCATGACAGACAGACATCTCAACACTAGTGTCTAATCAGAACTGAAAAACAGTCAGTCTGCTGTTGAGTCAGTCTTCTCGCTTCCACCCGGGACGCGTCTTTTTTTTCCCCGGGAAAGTCATTTGCGTCGTTCCTGGTGTGTAAGGACCTTAAGGCATGTTTACAGCCTGGTTTGAAACGGCTATAAGCTTTGCCTCTTGGTAGGTTGACCAGAAGCTAGCTTGAATAAGCATTTCCAATATGGCCACTACTGCTAAGAGGCAAAGTGTGTGATGTCACTGAGACTAGGTCCAAACGTTATACAGTCTATGGTAGTGACAAAAAAGCAGAGGTTGTTTCTCTGCTAGGATGAAGAGCACTGAACCTGGATGGGTTTTGTATAGAAAAAAGGTACTGAGTGCAAAAAATATGAACAGTGGACACAGGCCCTTAGACAGGGAACAATATGATTGAACATTTAAGGCTTTTCATCATTATTATTTAACTCTTGAACGTGCAGAAAACCGCCTGCTTGGCTGTGATACTCTGCTACACGTGCTGCAGACAGTTCTTACAGTATTAAAGAGTACTCACTCAAGGTCAGATGGGGCAATGATTCCTGCGCAAGTAGTGTTTTTTGCAGTATGTAAAACAGATGTTTAATATCTGCACGTATAGTCAAATGTATATGCAGATATTGATTTATTTCGAAGTGTTTTATAGTCTTACAAAACTTTGTGATGTGTCAGTCGGGCTGTAATTGATACCTGTCTGTACGATCAATTCAAACACTTCCAGAACCACAGCTGCAACAGCAGGCTCCATCTTCAGAGTATAAATTACCAAGGTTTAGTATAAATACTTCAAAATATAAATCCCATTTAACCGAAGTTACACAGCAGGCCTTTTCTAAAGAGCCGACATACAGGCCATAGTGTTTCTCCAGACCATAACCAGAAGGCTAAAATTAAAAGAGTTCTTGATTTTGGCTGCAGACGGTCAGCCACAGAGCTCCATAAAAAGCTCCTTACCCCCCAAAAAAGGCTCTTGAGTAAAACTGTGAATTACGGCAGAGGGAAAATGTCAGAATAGAGCTCGACACAAACGTAGTTTCCTGCTCCGACTCTGACTGTGGCAGGTCTGGTTTGTTGGTGTGGAAGTGAAGAGGAAATGCACAGAGTTGGTTCGTCTGAGGCAGCAAATGCACACACACACACCAGCATGGCCCTGTCTGTCTATGTGTGTGTGTGCGCGGTGTGAATGGGCTTTCCCCCTGCCCGTCAAGAGCTCATTGAACAGCACACTCTTCTTGACTTAGCAGAGAGATTGTATTTCAGTTCCACTTTCCTCGCCTCTCATTCACTACGCTGACCTCGGCTGGAGATCTCAGTCCTGTCTCAAGAATAGACTGAACCCTCTCCGCTCTCTCTCCTCACTTAGTTATCAAAGGCCACTCTTACTGCTTGTATCGACTTGAAGGACTTAGTCTACATGATAAACATTTAACATATTTAACTCGTGTACTTCAGACCTGCTTCATCACACAAAGACAGCTTTTCAGCAAACTGCAACAAACGTCCCCGCTTACAGTGTTGCAATCGTTGTGTAACTCCTGTATTAGAGGTCTACTGTTCTCTACTGTGGTGTGTTATAATGTTCAAGTTCGAGGGGAAAGTCTTAATGCTGACCTGCTGTGTGTACATGAAGCGTCACTTTAACCGTGTCACCACAGGGCATGTAAATGTCGAGCAGCTTCCTGTTAACCTTATTTCTCCCCGTAACCCGCTTTACCATGTGCTGACTGTGAAATCTCCCACTTTTTATGGTTCATTTGCAGATGCAGTAAAGAGGAAGATTCTGGTTTTGGACCTGGATGAGACGCTGATCCACTCTCACCACGACGGGGTCCTCAGACCCACAGTGAGACCTGGCACCCCGCCAGACTTTATCCTCAAAGTACGAACTCTCATCCTCACAAACACACTCTGACTCTGCATGTTTGAACACGGATTAAAAGCCGTTATCTGAATGAACCGGGCGCTTCTGTTTCTGTTTTTTTTTTTCAGGTTGTAATTGACAAACACCCCGTCAGATTCTTCGTACATAAAAGGCCACACGTGGACTTCTTTTTAGAAGTGGTGAGTTTACAATAGAGCCCGACCGATTTATCGGCAAGACGATTAAATCGGTCATTATTAGCCCGTTTGAGACTAATCGGTAATCAACTAAAACTTGACGATTTTTGCTGATATTTTCAGAAATAAAATGCGGAGAATACGATTCGGTTTCACTTCGAAAATGTTCCGCCATTTGAAAAGTTCCCCAACTTATCCTGTAGATGGCGCAGCGAACTGTGCTGTGAGGTAGCTAGTGGATGAAGATTGTCATGAGGTCGCTGCGCCATCTACAGGATAAGTTGAGGAACTTTTCAAATGGCGGAACATTTCGAAGTGAAACCGAATCTTATTCTCCGCAAAATAAAGGCGAAAATCAGCGAGTTTTGGCCAATTACTGATTAGTCAATTTGATCGACTCGCCGATACATTGGTTGGTCCCTAGACTCTAGTTAGCTCGGCCCCTTTGCCGAGACACCAGCTGGTTAAGAGGAACAGAGGCTGGGATATCAGCCACAGAATCGAGCTCATTTTAACAAACTCCATAGAAAGTGTTATCCTTGATTCAGAATGTATGTGCCAATAAACTTCTTCTATTCTATTCTACTTTGCTGTCAGAGAGCCCACTTATTTTTGCACATTTTTCTAAATTCATTTTCACCAAATTTGGATATTTTTGCATCTCAATTTGGCATAATTTGAAGTTGTGAATGGCAAAGATTATCAGTGAAGTTTGCGATTTCAGCTACGTTAAGATTTCGTGCAGACTGCGAGTGTCACCATGTCATCATGCAACAAATAAGATGTAAACACTAGGGCCCGACGCTTTTCTGTTCCAAGTTTGATCGATCTTCCTGTCGGCGTGAAGAGCAGTAGCTTACACTTAATCTACTTTCATATTTATTTTTCATCACTTTATAAAACATTTAAATAATCAGCCAATTAATCAGTAATCAGATTTTTCCCCCCCCTTAGTAATCGGTCAGGCCCTAGTTTACAATCACAGCGATTGTGTGTTTGAGAAAAGTGGGCTGTCGTCATCACGGTCACTCTCAGCCGTGCTCTCCTCTGACACAATCGGGCGTCATAAAACTGTATTTGTTTTGCAAAGTGATCCTCTGGGACTGACTCACTTCTTCTACCCTCTCTACTCTGTGTGTGTGCGCAGGTGAGCCAGTGGTATGAGCTGGTGGTTTTTACAGCCAGTATGGAGATCTACGGTTCAGCAGTGGCAGACAAGCTGGACAACAACAGGAACATCTTGAAACGCAGATACTACAGACAAGTACTGACATCGACTCTGTTTATTAAGCAGTTTGTGTTGAAGTGGGAGAGATCAGGCTGTTTGGCCTCCTCACTGACTCATATGCTTTTTTTGTCTTCTTTTGCAGCATTGTACATTGGATCTAGGTAGTTATATTAAAGACTTAGCTGTAGTACACGATGACCTGTCCAGTATTGTCATCCTGGACAACTCGCCTGGTGCTTATCGAAGCCATCCAGGTAAGGATCAAGGACAGATTGACCGCTTTACACACTGGAGAGGACACAGAGATTTAGGGTGCTGTTTATAGCTTTTGTTCGGATGGTTTAGGCTGATTATGGAGCTCCAAATTTCATAAAGGAATAGAGAAGAGCATCTGCACAGAGACGTCAGAGAGGATGCCTAAATGCTTTAACAAGGACTTTGTCTTCCTCTGTAGTTTAATCTGATTCTCCTCATCATAAATAACATGTTTGAATCGCCCCACTTCTGTGTCTTAAAGTAGCGAGACTCTTTGTTATTCATAGATGACAGCTGGTGCATTCCCACGACTTCTAAGGAAAACTGGCGCTCGAAGATTTCACTTCTATGTGTGTCAACATATTGAGGCCGTACAAGGTTACAGGGGCATTTTTAACAGAGGCGGTTCCATATGTCACATAATATCCTGTACGAAAAGATGATATATGATGACACTGCACTGTTACTTCCTCTTAACCGTCTTAGTTTTCTGTATATATTCATCTATAACATATGGACCTTGTGATGAGGGTAAATAACTGAGCCTTTTAATGCCCTCCACAAAGCTCGTATTGTACATTGAGTGTGCCGCCTCTCCAACAGCATAAAATCACAAGCATGACTCTTTCTCCGATCCGACTGACTGCTGTTTTTCTGCCCTCCAGACAATGCAATACCCATCAAGTCCTGGTTCAGCGACCCTAGTGACACAGCACTTCTTAACTTGCTGCCTATGCTGGATGCACTAAGGTGAGAAGAGGCGTCGGAGAGTTTGCATAAAAGCAAACAGGCAATCCAAACACTCAAACTCTCTGGTTAGCGGTCTGTGTGCTTGATGGGCTGTGCTTATTTAAGAGACGAGAGTTAATGTCCTCATAGTTGAAGATGGTGTTATTCATCATGTCCTCTTTTTTTAAATTTCTTTTGGCCTTGTGTTTTTAAAAAGGAGAACAAAGTCATGGACGGACATTATATAGTTTGTTACATTATTCCATTCATGTAATATAATGAACAGCCTGACTGAAAACCTAGTGTAACCTTGGTATCTGTTCCCAAGAGGAGAGCAGGTGTGAGACCCTGTGGGTGCAGTGACAAACTGTCTTCACAGTGTTTTTTAGAGGCGACTTTGAGCCTACTTCCACTACAGAGCCATGCCTGTTAACCACTCAGTGCATTAAAGGGATATTCAGGCGTATAATCCATTTCGGGTCAAACACACTGTAACACTAAGTTAGACACCCCGTCGAGAGATGAATGTTGCCGACCGCTTGCTTCTCTAGTTATACTAACATTAGTAACGACCGCACAATAGCAATACACAGCGGTCTGTGGAGCCATAAACAAACCTCAACCAAAACGCCACTCTATAGACACAAATAATGCTCAGAACAGCACCTAACTTCATCAACAGTACATACAGGGTCCTAGCCACAGCACTAGCCACCAAACATCTTTTTAACTTTGGCTGATTTCTTTAGCAAAGAGACTAAACACAACTCACCTACTCTCTTCCAGCAGCCGCTTGTTTGAAACCTCAGGCCAGTCCATTGACTGCAGCGGGGTGACACAGCTCAAGGAAGAACATTTATGATCATTTCTTTATCATTTCCTTGAAGTTATAATCACCATATTAATCATTTTGCACTCCAGACTCGGTAGTTCTTCTGCCGTAGTGTCTTGGTCTGATTGCATTTCCATAAAGAAATTATCATAAATTTTCTTCCTTGAGCTGTGTCACCCCGCTGTAGTCCGTAATGGACTGGCCCGAGGTCTCGCTACAAACAAGCGGCTGCTGGAAGAGAGTGGGTGAGTTGTGTTTAGTATCTTTGCTAAAAAAATTAAGCAAAGTTAAAAGTAAGTCGTCTTGACTCCATATTGTCCTTTTTCTTCACACTTGAGACAGAAGATGTTTACTTTGTATGTTATTCTGTGTGCTCTGCAGGTAAATGTGAGACTCTTTGACTTTGACAGCCTGTTTCTTTTTTTTTAAGCAGAGCTAAACTAAATATTTTAAAATCTGTCTTCATGGTTCAACCAGAGGGTTGAGTTTAGAGTCGTCGTGTTCTTGATCACAGGAAGAAGCAGCACAGACACAGAATCCATCCCTTCATCCCTCCTGTTTCTTTTTTTCTTTACTTTCCAGGTTCACCGCTGATGTCCGCTCTGTCCTCAGTCGAAACCTCCACCAGCACCGGCTCTGGTGATTGGCTGAATACGGAGGGGGATGGGCTTGTTGACCAGCCCCTTCCTGTCCGCTGCCGGCTTCCTTCCTGCCCTCCGCACCCGCACAGACGACCGACCAGCCCTCTGCGAACCTCTCAGACGTGTCCTGACGAGACGAGGGTTGGGGCGACCGCCTTATGCGGGACGAACAGTATAGTACGGGATCACCAGAGCTCCCCAAAAACTACTGAGGAGGGCGGGGGAGCCAGCTTGTTGTTTTTTTTTCTTCTTGAATCTTTATTTGTATTTTTTTTTCCAAAACAAAACGGAGCCTCTCTGCCTTATCGCTCCTGATACTGACTGTGTACGAATGAAGGTGAGCTTGTGTACGTGAGTCGGGAGTGTGCTTGCTGACTTCGTTAGTCCTTTTTAAACTTTTTTGACAATTGGGAGGGGAGGGCAAGTGGAGGATCAGCAAAGCAACAAAGACAATAATTACATTATTATTTCTTCTTCTCCTCCATCATTACTGGACTTTGCACTTCAGCAGACAACTCATCAGTTTCCTGTCTTAACCACTCGGAGGGTCTGAGTGGGGGGAAAATAGAAAAAACGTCCCCTTTTTAGATTATCCTCACAGCTCGACAGTGATTCATCGATTCCTGAGGTACGTTTTCGCCCCCGAACGAGGACTTGATAATTGATGGACTGCTTGCAACATGCCATCCACAGGTGTATTTCTGGACAAAAAAGCCGCACAGCCTGATGTATTTTTTCTCAGCCACTCTTTCCTCAAAGCTTCTCATGGGACTCAGAGTTAAACACGGCTGAAAAGTTGTGAGAAAAAAAAGCTCGTGGACTGCCGTGCCGCCTCTCCATCTCTGATTGTTTCTCTCTTTATAAGATATGATAGTACCCCTTCTGCATACCATGACATTTCACTCTCCCACTTCGCCATTTGATGCCATCCTGATTTCATGGAATAGGAATTGCACTTAATTTCCCTCCTTCTGTTTTTGTTGCAGTTTTATATTTGATTCAAATTCGCAGCCTTCCCTCCCCCCTTCAGTTTTTACCCGCTCCGCTTCCTGTAAGGGTTCGACTATTAGACCCTCCGTCTTTAAATGCCTTCTGAACAATGTCAGTCTTGTCAAGGCTCACAGCGGCTTCTTATTGGCTCTGTCTCCAGGTCTGTGTTACTAATAAAACACTTGTCAGTATCGACCAGTTACTATCTTCTTCTTTTCTTCAAATATTATTCACACTTGTTGAATCAACGTTTGGGATGAACACCACCTCAAACGGAGTTACACTTTTTTCCCCTCCTTGATATTCTGCTGCCACCTCGTGGTTCGTTCTGGAACTGCATACAGTGGGAGATCCTCAAAGTGTGTACACAGTTTGATTCTGGTTCAGGCTCATCCAAATATGTTCAGCATTAAATTAAAAATGACAGATTTTTGTTTGTACTGATGATTTCATATTTTTGGATGGTCTCTTTGCGTATAGAGTAAGGAAACTGGTGAATAATATGAATGTTTGCAAGCTGCATAGCATCATTTAGGTAAATGTCATTAAAAATCTGTACATTTGTTCTAGTGAGTCAAATTTATATGAATGAGGATGGATACAAAAAATCAGAAACACCTGTCCCCTCATGTTTTACAGGACTTCTTTATAAGCCTGCATTTATTTGCAACATGTACCTGATACATTTTGTAAATGAATGTCAATTCCTCTTCTTTTTAGGCAGCTGTGCAGGTTGAATTCTTCTGATTTTCATCCCCGACTCTCACTTTTATTTTATTTTTTCAACAGTTTTTTTTTTCCAGCACTTGCACCTCTTCTTAGTGAAGGTTTAAAAGTAAAACCAAAAGCAGTGTACTGTGGAATATTTCCTCTTAACACCTGTTTTTTGTTGCTTGACAGTTCCTTGGAAGAAAAAATGACTTTTAAGAATAACTCGTATCTCTTTTTTTTCAGCTCCTATAGAATAGAATATTCCTTTATTGATCCTTCATGGGGGAATTTTTTTTTGCCATGGAAGCAACACAGACAAAGAAAGTGCAAAAATGCGGCTATAAAAATAAAGATCATAATATTAAGAACTTAAATGTTACAATTAAGAAAAAAATTTAGAGAAGGAAAAAAGGAGAAGAAAGGAAAAATAAAACTTTATACAATATACACAATTTAAGTACCAGAACTATGTCTCCATTTCAGCCTAAGCCAACAGCTATGTGAACAGGACGTATTTCAACAATCATTTGTAATCGTGTGTTTGTATATAGATAGCATAAAGCTACCACATAGTAATTGTAATGTGGTTGGAAACATTAAGTGACTAGTTGCGTCACCTGGACCCGTCTGACCAGTCTGCAGAGCTTTTTCAAAGGCAGGTTAAAGAGGCGGTATTATGCTCTTCTCGTTTGCATATTCAGTTAAAATGCTAGATGTCAATACTACATGTACGCAAAGTTTCAAATTGTGACTATCACCACAACCGGTCAATCTCAAAAGGAGTGTAATAAGTGTAACACTAACCTGTTTTTGTTTCCAGGTCAGATTAGATATATGGTGATATTTCATAGTTTGTCATTCAAGATCGAAAAACACAACTCTGGAGCATGGCAACAGTGGAGGAGGGTTCAGGAGTGCCTCAAGGAAAAGGACAGTATCTAAAATGAAGGTGCCTGAGATCCTTTTTTTTGAACATTTAAGACACTAAATAGCCTAAAAATAAGCAAACACACCCCTCTTTTAGGTGAATGTGGCCGACTCTACTCAGATTTGTAATGTATGATAATGAGGCGTTATTTATTCTCACCATATTAGCATGACTCCTGTTGTCAAGTTTAGATCACAGACCTGAAAAAAGTCACATCCCTAATGACTCAGCATCTATTTATTTGTTTCTAGAGTGATTTAACAACCACAACCTTGAAACAGCTGATCATAAAAAGCTCACCTCACACTTATTAGAGGTGTGCACTGTCCCTGAATATAACTAAACCACCATTACACTTTTACATTTGAAGTGCAGACAGGAATCTGAGTGCAGATGTCACATGAGCAAAGTAAGCAGAGTGACTCATACAGCTGTGGGTCAGTTGCACAATAGACAGGTTAGCGTATTTTCCCATGAGTGTTTAAGTGGAATGTGAATGAAAAACTGTGACTTAAAGGTATTTTCTTTAATTGTTAATCGAATTGGGGCGTTTTCTCTCTCGTGCCAAAATGGTGAATAAGAGCTGACTCCATATTAGTATGATATCATTCATTTTCTGTTGTGGCAACCCTCAGATTTAAGAAACTTCTGGTCAGTTAAGTCCACAAAAGAAGAATAGCCCGGTTAATGACACAAAAAATAATGTCCTCCATTTTGCCATGAACCTTCTGAATATCTCAGGTACGTCTATTCAGGGCTGTGTTGACCTTTTTAAAGACAAATATCAGTTTAATCTCACACAGTCTGAGCTGCTAACCGCTGGGCCTCGGTCATATGACAAGGACAGCTGCCTCCTCACTGCCCTGCCCTACGTTGTTACGCACAGCGGATGATCAAAATAAAATAGTCCCGCTTGAATCGTTTCCTATTCTCTCAGCTAACTCAAGAACTGATCACTCTATGTGATTATCCTTCTGTACTTTACATGAATGGTTAAAAAGCGAATAAAATATCTGCAGTTGGTGTTAATTTTAAGCCTGCCCTGTGAGTAAGACTCCCCACTACGTCATGTTGTTATTGTATCCCTCCGCCGCGGTCGCACTAAGGAAAACAGCTGTGCCGTCGTGCTAGCAGCTAAGTTAGCGCCGTTTGTTTTTGTCGTGTGTGTCAGCCAAGTCGACTCGCTTTTTCTTGAAGCAACTCGCTCAATTTTACAACCCAGAGTGACCGACGCGTTGTCTGTCATCTCTCTTAACGATGAAGTTTCAATACAAAGAGGAGCACCCTTTCGAGAAAAGGCGGTCCGAAGGAGAGAAAATAAGGAAGAAGTATCCGGATAGGGTACCTGTAAGTAGCTAACGTTTGCTAGCCTGTTAGCACGATCCGATGGTAGTCTGATTACATTCAAATGCGGGTTCTGACTTAGCATTTCACACGAATTACACACACAAGATAGACGTAATTTCTAATCCTTATTGTCATTTGAATTAATAAAACAATACAGTAGCTAGTTTACGAAACCAGCTAGAGGTTAACTGAGAAGGATTTCGGCCGCAGTGAACAGGCCACCCAGTCCCAGCCTCATGTAATCCTTCCGGGTGTGTGTTTATTTTAAGCATTTACAGGTTTAAAAAGAGATATTTTTGCTAAGAGAGAATTATAATGATTGGGTGGTGGTACATAGAGTGTCTATAGTCTGCAGTGTGTGTGTTAAAGGTGTGATCATGAAGCTGGTGTTGAAACACACACACAGCAGCGCACCTTAAAATAGTCCGTGTCAACAAACAGGACACTTGTTTACGTCCTTCTGCCTCTCCAAGATTGATTTATTTCATTTAAATAGATATTTAGTTCCTTTACGCGACGTTAAAGAGCTGTTTTGGACAAATTGTACATTATGTTCAACTTAATATATTCATTTAGCAATCCCATTGTCTAATAGACCTCTAAATTATCCAAGTAATACACCACCTAATCTGTATTTCAGTATCTTTAATGACACTATTTTCAAGAATCAATGAGGACACAATCAAGTGAAGAGGTTTGCTCAGTTAAATGTAAAAAAAAAAAACAACAACATTATTTTCTCACTGTCTTTGTAAACAAAGATTCCTTATCAAGGCCAGAGACACTACATCTTATCTATTTTCAGGAAATTAAACTAATAGTAAAGGATTTTTGAGACATACTCTCACTCAGTTGACTGAGCGTTTAACCCCACACAGCTTAATAGTGTGTTGGCAGGTAGGATTTTTTAAGTCCTATTTTTAGACCCAAGAGAAGAAGTACCAGAAATAGTTTCATTTTTGCCACGTCTGAATCTGAAGCAGGCGTGTGATTTGTTTAACCTGTTTTCTAAAGGATATTATAGTTTATTTCAGCCCCTGTTTTAAAATTTGTTACATGTTTCTCTTGTTAAATCAGGATAATAAAGCTTTTTCCCCCTGGATAAAAGGGTCACTATACAATAGGGCCCGACCGATATGGATTTTTTGGGGCCAATACCGATTATTAGGGGGGAACAAAATCCGATTACCGATTGATCGGCCGATTTTTACAAATTTTTATGAAGTTAGAAAAATTATATATATATATATATATATATATATATATAATTTTTATATATATTTTATATATATATATATATATATATATATACTGTAGGCTTCTGCTCTTCACGCCGACAGGAAGACCAACTGATTAAACTCCAACCAAAAAGCGTTTTCAACTCTTCTGCGCCGATCGGTGCCTCGGCGTCTTAACTCACGTTACTTATTTCCGGTCCGGTCTCATCTGGAGACATGCAGCTGCCTCAGTAAGAGAAGTAGCTCGATCACGTAATGTGTACTGTTGTTTATTCTACCGTTACTGGCACGGCTAACAGTGTAGCAAGGCTAATAGCAGATGGCTAACTCTAACTTTAGCTTGCATATTACATGGTGCTTCACCGTTAACTTGGTGTGACCGAGACCAGCACAGTGGGGAACATTGTGAAGTGGGTTGAACTGAAACTTGTTGACTTATTGTGTACTTCACAAACTGGTTTATTTACCGTTGAGGCGGACCACTCTCCTCCAATGGTCGCTGCACCATCTACAGGATAAGTCAGGGAACTTTTCAAATGGTGGAACATTTTCGAAGTGAAACTAAATCTTATTCTCCGCATTTTATTTCTGACAATATGGCCAGTTTTGGCCGATTACCGATTAGTCTCAAACAGGCTAAAATTAGCCAATTTAATCGGCTCGCATATAAATCGGTCGGGTCCTACTATACATCCCCTTTAAGATGAGTAGAGATGTTGGGAAAACCCTGAAAATTAATTGCATAGGAAGAACTGTTGCTATCTTAAGGAAACCAGAAAATGAGGTAAATCTGGAGAAAACAACTTGTTTTGTTTCATAGGAAATCTGGGTAAACAAATGTATGAGTGGATATCATCTCAGTGCCTCTATAGAGTCTTTCTGTTGAGATATAAAACATTTTTGTGAAGAATGTAAAAGGATACTGAGATTAAATCAGCCGCCTTCTTGCTTGGTCAACCATGCACTTTCATATCCCTTTTCTTGAATAGGTGAAACTATGCGTCACTGCTTTTGATTTTTACGGGCAAACTTTTCATTATCATTTCAGGTTATTGTGGAGAAAGCCCCCAAAGCCAGAATAGGAGACCTGGACAAGAAGAAATACCTTGTCCCCTCCGACCTGACAGGTAGATATTTATTATGTCCCGCACATTGTAGTGGAACTATACTATACGACTTTAACACCTGAAATCTGATCATTTCTTTCATTAGTGGGCCAATTTTACTTCCTCATCCGGAAAAGAATCCACTTGCGAGCTGAGGATGCTCTCTTCTTCTTTGTAAACAACGTCATTCCACCCACCTCAGCCACCATGGGACAGTTGTACCAGGCAAGAGTCGCACTCATTTTCTACCTCGCTGATCTGTGCTCAGTATTTATGTTACACTCTGGCAGGGTAAAGTAAAAAAGAGCCTCCTGTAAATTTTTAATCTCTGTCTGACATGTTTTTTTCCCCTCACTCTCTCCTCCAGGAGCATCACGAAGAGGACTTTTTCCTCTACATTGCCTACAGTGATGAGAGCGTGTATGGGAGCAGCCAAAGGGAAATCTGATCCCGCTACCACCCCCTCCTTCAACCACTACCCACCTCCCTGAGACCTCCACCATTCATTCATTTAAATATTAAAAATCCAGCTCAGCAGCCTAGAGTTCCCAGAGTAAATATGTCAAACGCACTTTCACCACCCTTTCCCAACCGTTTCTGTCTTTCTTACTCTGCAGTCTGAATTGTATTCACCTCCGCTTTTCTTTTCCAGTAGGTTAAAGTGGTCTCCGGCCAGTTATTTTTCTAGTTGCAATAATTGATTGTTCATGCTTAACGGAAAACTCTAAGGAATATTGACAAAAAATGATAGAATAGATTGTTAAAGTAGTTAGCTTGTGGTGAAGGGGAAAAAAAAGGCAAAGTATGTGAGTTCAAATCAGCTCCTCTGGACAATGAAGATCAGTTTCGGTTGTCTGCTTTTGATGGCTTTCAGGAGAGAGTTTCGAGTTTGAGGAAATGAGTAGCTTTTACCAGCTGAAGGCAGGTTGTTTTTGTCTCTGGCAGAAGTAAAAGATAACTATTGATGTAGTTCTTTTCCTGGAAAACTGTTTCAAGTTAGTTTTTTTCAAATCCACCAGGTGTAGAAATCTTGAAGTGAAGTATCCGATCTCAACCCTTATCAAGGAGTGTAATAGAATTCAGACTAAACAATCATCCCTGCTTTCAGTGGTAAGAATATTATGTTGACTGCTACTATGATTATTGTTGTTATTACTGTTAATTTTAGATGGCTTAATTTCTAAAGGTATTGTAAAGCTGAGTGCAATTTTCTCTTTTTTAAGTTTGTTTCCTTTTTTTAAAAAAAAAATTTAAGATTTGAACTCTGTATACAGCTGCATTACTGGCTCTCTCTCCACTCATGACCATACATGATAAAATGTGATAAAAGCTACACGTGTTCCTCGTCTTTATTGAACTCTGATAATCGTGCTTGTGTTTTATAAGTTATGATTTGGGTTTCAAACCAGCTCAAAAAGTCAGCTTCCTTCTCGGAATGTAAACTAAGTCTTTTATTTGTCTCATAATCTGAAAATCCAACATTCTGATAAAGCATGGCCTTTGCTCCTGTTTCTGCATGTGTTTGCTTTATCATATCAACTGCTGTGACTCAAATATATGTCAAGAGTTGTGCAAGCTGACACGGATATGTTAACCGGAATAGATGGACCCAGCGAACCAAGAGGTCCATGTTTCTTAACAACTTACAAAAAACATTCAGACAACTTATTTGATTTAATTACATACAGTGGATATAAAAAGTCTACACACCCCTGTTCAACTGCCAGGTTTTAGTGATGTAAGAAAATGACGGCAAGATAAATATTTTCACAACTTTTTCCACCTTTAATGTGACCTATAACCTGTGCAATGCAATTGATAAACAAACTGAAACCTTTAAGGGGAAAAATAAAAGATAGAAAAGTTAAAATAACCTGGTTGCATAAATGTGCACACCCTTAAACTAAGACTTCTTCAGATCACCCCACAAATGTTCGATGGGATTCAGGTCTGGGCTCTGGCTGGGCCATTTGTAAATCTCAATCTTATTCGGGTGAAGCCATTCTTTTGCTGATTTAGATGTGTACTTTGGCTCATTGTCATACTGAAAGGTGAAGTTCCTCTTAGCAGAAGGTCAAAGGTTTTGTGCCAACACTGACTGGTATTTGGAACTGTTCATAATTCCCTCCACCCTGACTAAGGCACCAGTTCCAGCTGAAGAAAAACAGCCCCAAAGCATGATGCTGCCACAACCATGCTTCACTGTGGGTATGGTGTTCTTTTGGTGATGAGCAGTGTTGATTTTGCGCCAAATATACCTTTTGCAATGATGCCCAAAAAGTTAAACTTAGGTTTCATCAGACCACAAAACATTTTCCCACATGTGTTTGGGAGATTTCAGATGTCGTTTAGCAAAATTAAGCCGGGCTTTGATGTTTTTTCTTTGTAAGATAAGGCTTCTGTCTTGCCACCCTACCCCATAGCCCAGACATATGAAGACAGCGAGAGATTGTTGTCGCATGTACTACACAGCCAGTACTTGCCAGAAATTCCTGCAGCTCCTTCAGTGTTGCTGTTGGCCTCTTGGAAGCCCCCCTGACCAGTTTAATTCTTGTCTTATCAATTTTGGACAGACATCCTGTTCATGGTAATGTCACTGTTGTGCCATATTTTCTCCACTTGATTATGACAGTCTTCACTGTGATCCATGTTATTGGTTAAATCTGAACACAGCCACATCCCCAGTTATTTAAGGGTGTGCACACTTATGCAACCACATGATCTCAGTTGTTTATTTTTACTTCACCTCCCTGACAGATTTCTGTTTGTTTTTCAATTGTGTTGTACAGGTTATAGGTCACGTTAAAGGTGGAAGAAGTTGTGAAATTATTTATCTTGATTTAATTTTTTTACATGAAAAAAACCTGTCAGTTGAATAGGAGTGTGTGGACTTTAACATCAAACATGAACCAACATTTCTCTTTTTCAAATTATTATTAGTTTTCTGAAGATTAAAACATGTATCATTGTTTTACTATCATGTGTCGTGTCTCGTTAAGGTTATCAATACGTGTTCATACAAAGTACAAAGACAAAAAATAAATATTCCAACGAGATCGTCCAAAAACCAAAAAAACTACATTTCCCAGTTTCGAGGAGGAACTGACGTCACCTGTGGCACAGGAAGCGCTACGGCCATCACCCGGGATGAAAACCTTTATCGTCTGTTTGTATTTTATGCATAAGTTCAGATTTGAGCTTTTCTACTCCTTCTGACTCGAAAAAGCCGCTTTATTGTCCAAACCGCAAGACGGTCAAGTTCTTCTTAAACGAAACACAAAGCAATAAAAGTAAGAGTTTTAAAGACCTAATAGAATTGTAAGGAATAGTAAAACAGGAATACGGCAGCGCTACTGAGCTAGCATGCTAACTATCTGATGTTATTTTACGGTCCTGTGTGAGGGATAAATCTGCTTCAGCTAGTGTGTGTTACTGTGTTATATATATATATATTAACCTATAATTTGAATGTGAAAGTTGATGCTATACGATACAAATAACCAGGAGTAACGTTAGTTGAACCTAGCAATGATGATTTAGGCCTGAACCCGCTCCATCTGTGGTAACTGTAAAGGTTGTTTTTCACTGTAGGGGCGTAGTTAACGAGTAAAAGATGAATCCTGTGATTTTAAATGAAATATTGTCGACATTTGTGTTCATCCAGCTGGCCCCTCCACTGCCTGTCACCATGCCCGCTCTGCTGGAGAGACCCAAGCTGTCCAACGCGATGGCCAGAGCCCTCCACAAACACATCATGAGGGAGAGAGAGCGCAAGAGACAAGGTGAGAGAGAGAGCTGAGGGCTTTAAAGGTTACCAGCTTAACTAATACTTCAGCAGCAAAACAATCAAACTGATGAGACAGCACTCAAATGTGCGAAATACAGAATGAGAGTTTAGATAATGCTTTATAAACAAGGAGAATTTTAACATCAATCCGGGATCTTACAGGTAGCTTATAGAGAGATTTAAGAACTGCTATGTACGAATGTAGACCTAAGATGAGCACTAGTTTTGTTTCTCTGAGTTCTTGAATCAAAAATGATAACTTCTGTTTACATTGCAAGAAGTCTTCTGTCATACACCGATTTAAAGGAATATTCCGGTGTAAATTAATTTGGGTCAAACACATCGTGACGCCGAGTGAGACACCCAGTGTCGTTTTGGTTGAGGTTTATTTATGGCTCCTCAGACCGCTGTGTATTGCTATCCTGCGGTCGTTATTAAAGTTGGTATAACTAGAGAAGCAAGCGGTCGACAACATTCATCTCTTGAGGGGGTGTCTAACTCAGTGTTATGGTGTGTTTGACCCTAAATTAATTTCACGCTGGAATATCCCTTTAAATCAAGACCCTAGCTGAGGGAGTATATGGAATTGTGGTCATCTGGAGATAGTGATATGTAAACAGAACAGTGACTGTAGCTGTGAATTCAGAACCCCACTAAACATGCATTTTTTCTTTCAGAGGAGGAAGAGGTCGACAAAATGATGGAGCAAAAGATGAAGGAAGAGGAGGAGAGGAAAAGGACAAAAGAAATCGAGGAGAGGATGTCTTTGGAGGAAACCAAAGAACAGGTGAGCAGTTTGTGCTCCCATGCCATCATAGGTTACCTTTTTTGTTACAAGAAGGGGAAAAGTAGTTCTAGTTTTCTTTTTCTTGAATTTAGGTGATGAAGATGGGAGAAAAACTCCAGGGCCTCCAAGAGGAGAAGCACCAGCTCTTCTTACAGCTCAAGAAGGTTCTCCATGAGGAGGAGAAGAGACGCAGGAAGGAGCAGAGGTAGTAAGGACACAGTTGGTTTTTTCTTTTTTCACACGAATAACAGATTTATTCAGAGAGATTTCTGGTTGTCGTCACATTTCATGGCGTCTTGTTCTCATAGCGACATCACAACATTGACCTCCGCCAGCTATCAATCCAGCCTGCCGATGCACGCAGGGCAGCATCTCCTCAGCATCCAAGGTGATGGCTGCATTCAACTGTTTCCTCCTGTAACCTTTTCTGGTTTGTGTGAATAAGTTACTTTTGAAGGCCTTTGTTTCAGTCAGCTAATTTTTCTCCAATGTTTTCTCAGGAAGTCCAGTCAGCCACAGTCGACCCGGCGCTCTTCTCGGAGAACGTAGCAAACAGCTTTTCCCCGCCGCTGTGATTCCAGTAAGTGAAGAAGTCGACCTTTATACCTGATGATGATTTTCGTTTGCATTTCCTAGTCTAACACCTCTTATTCAGTCAACAGAGTTAACCCCTCCTCATCTCCTCTATAAGGCTCGTCACTATCAGACACCGGGGTTCAGCTCGGGCTCAGCAGAGCACGGACAATTCAGCGGGGGGCAGGGGGTCCACGAGCCTTATGGGGTGGCTCAGGCTCAGCACCCCTCTACTTACGCCCCCGGACCATCTGTACCTGCAAGCTTTGCCAGCAGCTCTCAGATCAGAGGTAAAGATCTCAACAATCTTCAGATGATCAACAGTCTACCTGAACTGTTTATGGCACTCTTGGAGAAATCATTTCAAACTGAACCGATCTAATCTTCCAGCAGGTGCATCAGCATTTCAGGCCATGCCGTATCTCCCCCATCAGCAGCCTGGATACCCTGTCCACAGTCACTTCACCTCCCAGCCTGGTCAGTTCCTCAGGGCCTTACAGGGATATTCTGGCGTAAGATTAATTTAGGGTCAAACACATCATAACACCGAGTTAGACACTGCCTTGAGAGATGAATGTTGTCGACCGCTTGCTTCTCTAGTTATACCAACTTTAGTAATGACCGTACAATAGCAATACACAGAGGTCTGAGGAGCCATAAACAAACCTCAACCAAAAAGAAACTCTATATCCACAAATAATGCTCAGAACTGCACCGAACTTCATCAACAGTACATATAGGGTCCCAGCCACCAAACATCTTTTTAACTTTTGCCTAATTTCTCAACTCACCCACTCTCTTCCAGCAGCCACTTGTATGTAGCGAGACCTCGGACGAGTCCATCAACTGCTGCGGGGTGTCGCAGCTCAAGGAAGAACATTTATGATCATTTCTTTATCATGTCAACATGACATTGACATTTCCTTCAAGTAATAATCACCATATTAATCATTTTGCACTGCAGACATGGTAGTTCTTCTGCCTTAACGTCTCGGTCTGATTGCATTTCCATGAAGAAATTATCATAAATGTTCTTCCTTGAGCTGCGACACCCCTCTGCAGTTGGTGATTGACTCGTCCGAGGTCTCACTACAAACAAGCGTCTGTTGGAAGAGAGTAGGTGAGTTGTGTTTAGTCTTTTTGCTAAAGAAATTGGGCAAAGTTAAAAAGATGTTTGGTGGCTAGTGCTGTGGCTAGGACCCTATATGTACTGTTGATGAAGTTAGGTGCTGTTCTGAGCATTATTTGTGGATATAGAGTTTCTTTTTGGTTGAGGTTTGTTTCTGGCTCCTCAGACCGCTGTGTATTGCTATCCTGCGGTCGTTACTAAAGTTGGTATAACTAGAGAAGCAAGCGGTCGGCAACATTCATCTCTAGAGGGGGTGTCTTCCTTGGTGTTAAGGTTTGTTTGACCCTAAATTAATTTTACGCCAGAATATCCCTTCAAGATGTCAAAACGCTACAAATACAAGTTCATAACAGCAAGAAAGCAACTGTGTATTTGATGTTGTGATTTTAAGATATGTCTGGATGTCTTTCCTGCAGGATACATTCCTGGAGCGGGAATCCCTCTGCAGAAGCAGCTGGAACATGCTAACCAACAGTCAGGCTTTACTGATGCAGTAAGAACATTTAAATGAGTAAATTAAAGATCCATTTATCAGTAACCTGGAAATGCCAACAGTTTTAGGATGCCTTCTAAGCTCTGTTTTGGCTTGTAAATGATCAATGTTGTTTTCATAGGGAGCTTTAAGGCCGATGCATCCACCAGCCATGCATCCTTCTGCCCAAGGACTGCTGCCCACACCATCAATGGCGGTTCAGATCCCCACTGCAAAGGTGAATTCCTCCCCAAACACACTCTTTAGCTCCCACCTCTGTGTTTACATTCAGCTTTAGAGGTTTAAACATTTCCTGGACATGTCCATGTGTCGTGGCCCTTGATGCTCTGACTCCAGCCTCTGTTCTCTCCTTGTGAAAGTCCCCCTCAGCTCTTGAATTGCCTAACTTTCCCTGTAACTTGTCCCACCACACTTTTCACCAATGTTCTTCGATACGCCCTCTGTGAACAGCCAGCCTTTTCAGCGATGACCTTCCTCGGCTCACCCTCCTTGTAAAGGGTGTCTATGATCATTGTCTGGACATGTTTAAAGTCAGCAGTCTCCCTTGTGACTGTGGTTGCATGTTCTGAATAGCGATGAGCTCGAACTCAGAGTGAAACGCTTTGATTTTGTGAGGTGTCTGCTGTTATTTTTTTGAGCTGAAGGTCATAATTATCAAAACTGGATTGAAAAAACACTCAAAAACAGATGGGAATATGAAACTTTTTCACAATTATTTCTGAGCTGTATGTGAGAATAATTTCACACAATGATCTGGCGCCACCCTGAGGCCTCACTCAGGCAAGATAAAATAGTTGCCAGTTTCCCACAAGGTGTAATTTCTTCATTTCTTCATGTCATGTAATTTTGTATTTTTGTGTTTCTGTCTCTAGTCTCCGTTCCAGAGCTCTCCTCAGGGCGCCCCCCGTCATGGCTTCCTCCCTCACAGCCAGAGCGGGCAGAGGTTCTACCACCACGGGAAGTAACTTTAGACCACATTCGTCTTCGAGGTGTCACGGCTTCCTTAACGGATCTGGAGAACTCCTGGAAGAACGGATCGACCCCCCTCCCCCTTTTAAAAAACGTTAAGTGATTTGTATTTTTTTTTTTTTTTACCTGTTTTCATTTTTGATTTTAATAACATAAACCTGCAGTCCTCTTTTGCTTTTATTTTTAATGATGAAAGACTTTTACTGACACTGTTAAGCCGTTCTGATGGTGCTCATGTACACTAAAATGTGAATATGTTGTATAAAGAAAGACCGCTTAAGCCAGGGCTTATTCTTTGTAAACTAATGCTCATTATTAGGGCCGCAGCTTGGTACCTGAAACACGTTCACTTCAGGGGAAAACCTCATTTTCACTCAGTTGAAAATGACGGAAAATTTCCTTGTTTTGTTTCCTACCTTGAAAACAAGAATCAAGTCTCTGCAGTTGAAGGCTCTTATGTCGCTAAATAAACAAAATCAAAATACACATTTTGACAGTTTTTTATTTGTCTTTACATGTGACCTGAAATTTGAGCTCATTATTAAGGTCCTTTCATATCTAGACCGTTTTTTTGTGCGATTATTTCGGACGTCAATATTTTTTTTCGAACTTGCATCCTGTCAATACAAGCGTTCACATCAGCAACGTTTTCCCGTCCTGCAATATTGCAGCATTTATTTTTTTCATATCACGGTCGATTTTTCTAAAGTTTCACATACTGTGTGTCCTCTTCTGACCAATCAGATTGTGTGTTGTTGCGACGTCAGATTCACCGTTATATCCAACATGGCCGACCGGCTGATTGTTTAAGTGTCGGAGAACAGAGTGCTTTTTGATAAAAAAACACAAATATTACAAAGATAACGACCTGAAGGACAACTTGTGGAGAGTCATAGCGTCTGATTTCTCATATGACGATGGTTTGTGTGCTTTAACAGTTTGCTAAACGTCTTTGTTTTCACTTTCATCTGTGCCAACGTAAGCTACAGTTGTTACCATAGTTTCGTGTGCTTATCTTATTGCCTCTGATTGGCTAGAAGTGCTGACCATTTGGCTTTAGCGTGTGATGACGTTTCCAGCTTTTCTAGCCAATCAGGGACTTAAGTCTTCTTCCCCCCGGAAAGTCGCACAATCGCATTGGGCTTGATGTGTATAGTCAGGCGCGTCAAAATTGACCTCTGAATATTTCGTACTTTCGCGTTCTATGTTCGTGTTGGCCCCGGTGTGGAAGGACGTTTAAGGTCTTTTCACACCCGGACCATTTTTATTGTGCGATTATTTCGGACGTCAATATTTTTTTTCAAACATCAGCAACGTTTTCCCATTCTGTGAAATTGCGGCATTTATTTTTTCGGATCATGGTCGATTTGTCTTAAGTTTTGCATACTGTGTGTCCACTTCTTACCAATCAGATTCCGTGTTGTTGCAACGTCAGATTCACCAACTGAAGGACAACTTGTGGAGAGTCATAGTGTCGGATCTCTCATATGATAGATAAGGGATGCGTCCTTTCTTCCCGGAAAGTCGCAAAATCGCATCAGTCTTGACGTGTATAGTCAAGCGCATCAAAATTCGCCTCCAGATATTTCGTACTTTTGCGTTCTATATTCGTGTCGGCCCCGGTGTGTAAGGACCTTTAATCTCAAACCAAAGAGCAGCGATCTCGTTTCACCAAACTGATCATTGCGGGAGACAAAAAGAGAGACGAGCCCGGGTGTGCCTTGTTTGTAACCTTTGTTTAATAGACAAGTTCCAGGTGATAAAATAAACAGCAGAAGGAGGAGGGGCTTGTTCAGATGACTCACCAAAATAAAAGCGCCACACAGGAAATGTCATGTATGGCACATAATGCTGAACAAGCCTCAACAGAACAATGCGGATGTAGAGTTGAAGCCCTTCATAAAACAGGGGAACATGTATAAAAAAATAAACAGATGTGACATTACCACCCCCTTTCTTTGCCCCGATGGCAGGAAGTTACAGAATATTTCAACTAGACACTTTCCTCTGTGACCTTTTCAAACCTGAAAGTCCAAACTGGTGTGGTTTTTAAAGTGTGCGTGTACGTAGAGAACATTTGGCGTTTCCAATTATTTTATTAAAGTTCTTTTCTAAATGAGCCCAAAGAAGGGATCCGAAAACAGAGTGAGGGAGAGAGTATGAAAAACAGAGACGAAAAGAAAGAAAAAAGAGGGAGAGAAGCATTGACGAGGCAATATCCCCCTCCTTTTTTCCCAGGTCCAGTGCATCTCGTTTGCCCTGAAAGAGATTACAAACAAAGAAGTGGAACAAGAAAGAAAGGAAAGTGAGAAAAGGAAGATGCTGAAGGAGAAAAGAAAAACAAGAGAAATGTGTTTATTTGTGTGTTCATTGCACATCTAAAAGTTTAGAAACTCTTTGTTTTGTGGACATTTTATTCTGCAGCCCACAGTCTGCAGGGAGAGAAAGTGCAAAAAAACGAGGTTTGACCCAACATTACAAGAACGCTACAAGCAGTTTCCTTGGAAATACAGGAAGAAACAGGCTGTAAAATTAAGTGCAATCCACAGAAACAAACAAACAAAAACCAAAACCCTGTTGCATATGGACAAAAATGGACCTTAAGCTTCTGCTGCTGTGCTTCATAAAATGATTCACAAGTGCATAACAGTGTTAAACATGAAAGAAGAAATACATTAAAAAGAGGACAGGCAAATCCAGACTGGCACCCTTCAGACTAATCCAATTAGTTCTGCCTCTGAATTTTAGCTGAAATTCAAACAAATATATACACACAAACAATTCTTACGTAATCAATAATGGGACAAACATGAATATTTTCAGTACCGTTGATATGCGTAATAATCTATATTTTATTCTGAGCGTCTGATCTCAAACCCCTCAGGTTTTCTTGACTGGAGTTGCCTTTTCCTCACCCCGCTGATGAACAATAAGCTGTGCATGATCATAACATAACACACAACCGCACTTAGCGTGGCACATGCTGTTGGTGTGGCGCAACACCCAAACATACACACAGACGTACAGACACAAACACACACACTCTTCTTCAGGCAGGCTGGGTCAGGTGGTGGTTGGGGTTGGTGGGGTCGGAAAGCAGCTGCATGTCCACACAGCTAGCTGTAGCTCTGTATTTACCTGCAGTGGCTCATTTACCCAGGGCTTTGATGCCGATCGCAGCCTCTTCATCCATAGCGTTAAGAACGGTGATCTACAAGGAGACACAGGGTTTCATTTAGACCCTCTTTTTTTAGTTCTTTCTTCGTATTCATTAAAGAGCTCTGCTTTCATAAACATTTTTACTTTTAACTTCAACAATGACTCAAAATTTTCCACTTTTTCTAAATCATCTAAATCCAGAATCATTACGGAAAATTACTGCCATGAAAGATATGTAACTCAGGTCGTGTTCACACCTAAAGGTCCGTTTCCTGATTCGAATCCAAGGCAAGACGATACATTTGTTTTGATTGTTTAACTGGTCCAGTTCGCGTTCACAAAGGACAAACTCAATCACTTCAGAAAACAGAACCGGAAGTCACGTGACCACGCATATCGTTCAGTTATTGGTCATTAGTTCATGCGGGAATACAAACCCCGCTCTGCTGTCTTCGCCTATCATGGAGCATCGTAGGCTGATTTTGCTTTTGCTACTCATCTGGAGCGCCTATCAAAAGACGCTTGTCGATCGCGCATATGAACCGGTGGTTAGCCAGCGAGCGTGAACAGCGAGACGGCGACGTGTGTGGTGCGTCTCCTGTGATTGGTGTGGATGACGTTCACACCAGAAATGAACCGTTCCAGAGTTCACTTGATAGCAGTCCGAGACCACCTCTTCAGGCAGACCAGAGTTTGTTTATTTGGTCACACCAGAGTTCGAGGTCAGCGTTCACACTGACACAAACGAACCGCACTAAGGGGGTAAACGCTCCAGGGTTCGGTTCAACTGGACTAAACAAAGGTGGTGTGAACGCGCCCTAAAACATATAAAAGCTGTTATAGAGGAATTTTGACACTAGTAAAGGGAGAGCACTGACTGAGATCTCCTCCCCGGCGTCATGCTTGCTCTCAATTTCTCTGCCCAGGTCCCCCTCAGGGATCTTCAGGTCCTCCCTCACCTCACCGCTGTCCTGGAGCAGGGACAGGTAGCCTTCGTTGATACCAATAAGCTGAGGGAGGAGAAAGCATATAAAAAGAGTGAGCAAACGCAGTCCGTACAGACAGAGAGACTGGTTTAACAGGAACACATCATAAATGACTTTGGGTGTGTACAGAACCTGTCTTAATCCAGCTGGTTTGATCAGTAGTGTTGGCATGAAGTAGTCTCTTTAGCAGCATATTAAGTTTCAGTCTCTACAAATAGACTGTAATCAAGAGGATTCAACAGACCTACATGGACATGTCTAAGATTTCTGACATTCATTTGGGTTGATTTATCTGAATTACATTCGAGATTTGAGTTTAGACAAGGGGAAAATCGTAATCAGTTGCCACAACTTGGCTTAAAAACAGTAAGTTACTGTTTTACAAGCCATGTTTTGGCCAATCATTTATATATGTAACTAAATAATCACAGTAAAAGAAGACATTTTCTGTACATGTGTGCCTAGAGCAGCATGACTTTATGTTGATAAAGACATATACTGTATGACCTCCCCTTTATGGACTTTAGTTCACCAGATTGATTTCAGGCCACCGTTTACAGATCAATGCTGTCTCTTCCTTTGTCAATGTCTGTCTGCAAAGCTGTTCTTTTCAGAGAAATTCTTGACTAATAATCACGCGGATTTGTAAAATAATCATTTAACTGTCAATTATCCCCCGGCAGGCCCGAAGAAATACATCTGAAAACCAAGTGCTTTTAAAAGACACTGGGTTTTCAGAGTCTTACAACTGCGATAAAAGACACATTCAACTCTTTCCCCAAAGGAAAACCAAACCAGAAATCCCTTATCAGCTCAAAATGACACCCTCACAAAGAGAAGATAGTCCCTGTTTTCTGCCTCATTAACTTCTCGATAGCGAGTAAAACATCTGACCGTGATTGGAAAGTTAATTTTGTCGCCAGTAGTTTAGATATTGAGTGGTCTTGCGCTTCCCTTGGTTGGCCTAGTTAATAAGAACTAGACTTTTACAATTAGTTCATGATTAACAAGCTAATTTTCCAGTATTGCACAGCGTCTCACCTGGTAATCCATTCTCTTGATGTTGGGGACGTCCATGTTGTGGGTGGAGGGACAGATATCTTCATATTTCTTTCCAGAGAAGATGTCAATGCCAACCAAGTGGACCTGCCCGAGCCAAAAGCACACCAAAAAGTTGAGCTCTTAACTTCAGCATGCACCACAATTTCACATTAAAAAGGAACTTTTTCAAACCATACATGAAGCAATTTCCTCTCCTTCAAAAACAGTACTTTGTCCCGACTCAGTATGCCATTAGTATGAAATTGAAACACCGGTAATTCATAATACATATGATTTTCAGTATGATTATTTTTGGTTAAGTGGAAACTGTAACCCATCAGGGACACATTAGTGATCTTGCACAGAGTGAAGTGTCCATTATTGTGCATTAATATTGATGACAGTGACCCTGTGTTATTGCAGAGATAAATGGATAGATAGTAGAGTGATAATTCACACACACTCCCTCTGCCTGTAAGCGCCCTTGTGACTCCACAATGAGAGAAATATATTTATCTGAACCACTTCACTTTGTAGTTTCTTTTTCTTGCAAAACAACACAGCAAAAAATACCTTTTGTCTCTGCTTTTATTTGGAGTTAACTCAAGGATTTTCTGACCTTGGCGTGACCGTGCTTGCCAGTCTTGGAGGTGGACATTTCAACAATCTTGCAGGGTCGGTTTTTCAGGACAACGAAGCCGTTTTTACGCAGAGCAGAGCACTGCTGGGGATAGGTGGCGGATGCCCCGGCATCACCTGTCTGGAAGTCGAGGTCTGCATCTGCCATGACTGCTGTGGAGGCAGAGAAACAGCACACAAACACACAATACATTCAGTATTGACCGATAAATATTACAATGAAGAGATGCACAAGAACGTCAATAAACTGAGAACAATATGTAAAAGAAATTATGTTTTGTAAGGATTGATATTGAAACAAAATCTTCACTCTTCGTCTTTCATCTCTACAGTTAATGACACCTTATTTCCCCTACAACTATACATAAAATATTGATTTAACAATCTAACAATAACTACTGCATAACATATTTTTACCACTACGAGATAAATACAGGTTGATCTTATATTCAATCCCCTTCATTGATACAGTTTCCACCCACTGACTGGTGTTAAATGTGTTCACTACTCTTTGGTCAATCTAAACTTCACTGTGGTGAATATACTGGGAATAAACCTGTATTTGCAGCTGGATTTAGATCAATTTAAATACAAAGGGGGTTTAGACACCCAACTGAGCCTGGTGGTGAATATGGGGCATGCAGAACAAGGTGGAAATGTGAGAGTTGGCTGGTGGCACCAATTAAACATGGGGGTGCGGAGCTCGAAGCAGACCAGACTGGGGCTAAATAAAGCAGCAGAAACATGGCACCTGTTAGTCAGTCCTAATGTAAAAAGTGGTCTTAAAACTAACACACTGTAATAACACCAATAGTCTTTGCAGGTAGCTCATGGAAAAAGTTTGTGTCATTTTCTCAACTTTTTGTTACTGTAATGTCACACAACTATTAAGAGTTTACAACTACTAACGCGCAATATTTAGGGAAATTAACAAATCTTAAAGTTGAAATACCGTAAAATGATATTAAGTGTGCTTTATCTGACAGTTTGAACGGCTGTCCGTTGGGGAAACGGTCAACCGGCGAACTTATTCTTGCTTATAACCGCTTGAATCAAAGTTAATCAAGAAGTGGGATATTAGGAAAGCTTAAATGTTGTAAACTGAGCCTAAAAAAGCCAAATTTTAAGCTATAAGTCACACCCCACGGGAGGCAGTGGGTCGAACAGTTTGTCCGCAGTGTTGAAAAGAAGCTGACTGCGGCCTAGTGCGTACAGAACGTGCCACGGCCCGCCGCCGCCGCCGCCGCCGTCGTCGGTAACGTACACCAACGGTCGGTCTCCTCTGCATCCACGCGCACCGACTCCACGCTGCCCGAGGCCCCACTCGTGGAAAAAGAAAAAAAACACAGCTGCGAGGCGAAGTGACCGGCTGAGAGACACCCGGACGAGCCGCTGTGTTAATGTACACTTTACTTATAACGACGCTAATTAATGAATCATCCGTTTGCTAGCCGTTAGCACATCACGAGCAGACATTGAAGTGTATTGAATTTTGGCCCGTCTGTGTTCTGTAATGACTAAGCTAATACTCGTGATGGCTTCGGCGTGCACCGGGTATACCGGGTATACTGGTTTTATCACCCTGTGTTGGGAGTAAGATGAGTGGGCATGAGTGAGAGTGCAATAGAAAGTTATCAAATCTTTAATGCCAATCAAATCTACAGAGGTATGGAAACTTAATACAATGATACAAGGCGAGTAGGTTATTGTGCTTTTATTCCATGTTAGCTGTGAATCAAATGAAGGTCCTGTTAGGATGTGATAACGAGGGTTTCTCTATACAGTGAGGCTGCTCGTATGACTTCTTCTTGAGGGCGTTTAAAGGGAATAAATCAGTTTCAGACGGACATGTGCATGGGGTAACTTTTCTGCTCAGGCGCACACACGCCCCGTTTATTGGATGTTATGATAAGAAACTTACCTAGAGATAACGGCTTCCCTCTTTAGTGTTCTTTATCAGCCTGTATCCCGGTAGTTCCCCCTCCTCTTTGCCTCCCTGTATCCGTGCTGAAGGGTCGTCTGGCCCGGGTATGTCTCCTCCTCAGTGTCTCGTTCACGATGTCGCTCCTTTTTTTTCTTGAGCTACGATGAGCTGTCTTTTTTTATTCCTCTCTCATTCCTGTCGCTCCTGCTCTCCTGTCGGCCCTGTGATCCAGATTGCAGTTCACCCCCTAAAGAGGGACACGACCGTGTAAGTCAGCCGCCGGGCCGAGAAGGACCAGAGCCCAGAAACCAGCTTTGTAAGTACTGTCTGTAGCCTCCACCTTCTCTGTCTCTCCCTCATCCAGCTCCTCACCACTGACAGAGCCTGGAGAGGAGATGACAGTCGACTTCCGGTGGGAACTGTCACAATAAAACAAATTTTTAAAGAGGACATGAAACACACCACATTGGCATCCTCGTGTGGTAAAAAAAAATCAATTTGGAGAGAGTCTGATATATTTCTTTTGTAAACCACTTTCAAGAGTGTATTTACGACATGCGCACAGCGCCATCTTGAGTTTACGACAGTTGTGACATCACCGGTTGTGCAGGAACAGAGCGGTGAAATAGTCATTAGTGTACATGACTCAATCGCTTAGCGGTAAGATGTCGGAGGACGAATTTGAGATGGATGTGGTAGAGGTCTATCCTGCCAACCCATCAATCCAACATTATTACACAGTCACTAATCACAGGAATATATTTTTTCGGTTTTTACGTTACAAATACTTTCTACTTTGTAATGTTTGACGATGACTACTTCTGTGTTAACAGTTAATTATATATAATAATTATATATAATAATTTGTACCAGTGTATCACAAATTGTATGCTTGTTCTTACTCCTTTTTTATTTGTTTCTTTGACTCCTCTCTTTATATTAGAAGAACAAAACTCCAATTTCATCAAAATTTCAAAATATAGACAGAACATTTTTTTTATTTAAAGAAATATTCGTAAGAGAGAGATATGCGTAAAACTAAGTTAGGGTCAAACTCGGGCCTGGGCGATTTGGCAAAAAAAATGATCTCAGTATGTTTTGTCATATTGTCCAATCTCGATTATTATCACGTTTTTTTTTAACTGCCAGTTTTAAAGCATCTGTACTACAAGCTAAAGAAACTAGAGAAACTAGTGATTTGTTTAAAATAAACAAATCGCTCCCTCAGGGATAATGAAGACACCTTAGAATGTAAACATTAGATGATGTAAACATAGATGATATGATTGGTTGCCGCTGGTTGTGGCCAAACTGCTGCTTGTGCCATCAGCAGCGACAGGCTGTGCAGTCTCCTCTCACATTTTCATGTTTTCCGCATAATCATTTGGGAAGTACTTCTTCAAAAGATTAAACAGATTTGATGTGTAGCCGGTTTTTGAGGGCGTTGACAGCTGACATACCTTGCTCATCGGCTTAATTACTTGACGTCACTTTGGAGATACCCGAACCACCGCCACACAACCGACGTTGAATAACTTAACAATACCATCTTCAGAGGATGACTCAAAGTCATGGCTGACATCTGTTTTGTTGCCCTCAGCTCCACGTTTAGCTCCATGTTTGGGCATTCCGTTTACTTCACCTGTTTACTTCTCTGGCAATTTACAGCTCAAAGTGTTATGGTGTGTTTGACCCTAACTTAATTTTATGCCGGAATATCCCTTAAACCCAAGCAAAGTAGGCAATGTTGTGTTTTGATTTGGCCTGTGAAGAAAAAAAAAGGTTTGCCATCTCTACATAAGAAAGAAATGTCGAGATCTGAAGAAAACAACAAAGATTAACTTTTACCATTTGTGTGCTGGTATAGTGACTGAAAAATAATTTGATACATAAACAAGATATAGTAAAAACAAACAAAGATTAGTAGAGAATCAAAAATATATAAAATGTATGAGTGTGTCCTCCTACAGTCTATGTCTTCTTGGACCCTGATAACTTGTATTTAATAATGTATTTTAAAATTAACTTCAAGATAATGACTGCAATGTTTGACTTCTTTATAAAAGCTGACATTAAACATGCTTTTACTTTGAAGCTAAAGGTGATCTGTTTCCGGTCATTCCCTTACTCAGGTACGGTTGCTTGATGCTACTTTCATCCGAGTGCCGAAGAAACAAACCTCGGCAATTTAGCAAATTCTGCGCATGCGTAGTTTCTCATTCGAGTGCAGCGTGGAGAGCTTTGCTTTTACGGAGTCCAGATTTTGTAGCCTTGGCTTCGACTGGAGCTGAGGTTTGTCTCAATGGATAGATGTCTGGTGTTTAGAGACATCAATGTTGAATTAAAATTTCAAATCCAGGGGAAGTTCACTGAAAATGTGGCACATAAAAGGGTGTGTGTAACACTTATATCCCATTTAAAACATGTTAAATGGACATTATCCACGTATATCTCTATGATTCACCCTGTATCTAGATATTAACTCATTGGATTCATAGTGTCAGTGCTCCTCCTCTCTCTATGTGCTCCTAAGTCCCTCTGCTGATAATTACACTTCTAATCAGAGACCCCATTTTCTGTCCAGACACTCATGGCTTCTGTGCACAGCGGATGGTTTCCTCGAACTTGGCTGTTGTAGGAGCTGCTGGGTTAAATTTAGTGCAGTGAAACTGGAGTCCTATGACCTATGTGCAGAGGGCTGTAGTTAAAGACACAGATACTGTCTAACTTGAAATTATTTTTTTTATTTATTACTTCCTTAATTATTTGTCAAAAGAGGCTTCACTGGAATTAATATAAAATATTAAGCAACCTAACTATCTGAACATAATGACAACAACTGAAATGATCATAATATGACCATCAGGCCTTCCCACTGAGTCTATCAAGCACATCTAATTTGGGTTCATGATTTTAGATTTAGTTTAAATCAGAGAAATCTAGTGTACTATGGTGGAGAATTTAAATGCATGTAACTAATGAAAACCCATCAGTGTAAAACACACATTGTAACACATTCTTTTGGCAATGAATTTATTTTTTTTTAAATATATATATACATTTGTTTTTCAAATCATATTCTCATATCACATTCAGTATAATGCAATAATGAGAATATTCTCTGGGCACCTCTTTTTTTCAAGTGCATTATGTTTATCTGTACTTCCCCCTGCTGGTTAGAAGCAGAACTTCTCTTGTCAGCTCATGCAAGTTATAACCAAAATGTATGACTGGTTATGATGGTTACAGTGTCAGCCTTTTCCACCCCAAACCTTCAGATGTTTCTGCGTGCACAACTATCAAAGCCCAAAAACCAGGGCTGAAAGCCGTCATCAAGTAAATATTACAGGATTTTAGAATTAATCTTGGGTGACAGATCTCAGGCATCCCTTCTAACAAACCCCGTTGATCACCTCTCAACCAGTCAAATATATCAAAAAATATAAATGTTGTATATTTTTCTCATAATAGTCTTTTTCTTAATCTGTACAAAGTTTGAATCTACCTAAAAGCTTCTATAAGGAACTTTTGGTTTTATGTTTACTTTGGTGCCCCCTGTTGAGGAAACAGGAAACCAAACTCTCATATCCTGAAGGAACAGGAAATAAATGTGAAAATGCTGAGACAGCACTCTTAAATTACTTGTGAAGTAGAGTAAAGGTCCAATGGGGGCCGACGCAAATATAGAACGTGAAAATATGAAATATCCGGAGGCGAATTTTGACGCACTTGATTGTACACATCAAGCCTGATGCGATTTTGCGACTTTCCGGGGGAAAAAGACGCATCCTGCAGAAGACTTTTGCTGGGGAAAGTCCCACCTCCTTCACCTCTGATTGGCTGGAAAAGCTGGAAAGGTCATCACACACTCAAGCCAAACGGTCAGCACTTATAGCCAATCAGAGGCGATAATATAAGCACATGAAACGATAATAACAACTGCTAGCTTACGTTAGCACAGATGAAAGTTAAAACAAAGACATTTAGCAAACTGTTAAAGCACACAAACCATCGTCATATGAAAAATCCAACGCTATGACTTTCCACAAGTTGTCCTTCGGGTCATTATCTTTGTAATGTTTGTGTCTTTTACAGTGTTGTTTTCATTGACGATGACGTTGAAGAAAATATTTCGTCAATGTCATCATCAATGAAAACAACACTGCAGAGTATATGTTTAGCGTTTGACTGACGAAATGCTCGTATGCTTCCTTACACTGACCCTATCAAACTCTTTGTAGTTCATACACTCTTTCCTATTTGGAAACAAACGAACAATATCGAAAAGCTGCACAAAGCTTGATCACCATGCTAAAAGTACTTTTGAAGTATAAAGGAAACGTTGAAAGGGCTCAGGATAAATAGCCTGGAATACTTCACAGGGAAACCCGCAACAAAATTTCAGGGTGCATAGGTAGAAGTTATTTGTCAACCCTAGGATCCAGGACATGCAGGTATGCCCAAATGATTCTCCCATGAAGCTAAGATCATTCATATTCTAGATATAGGTGCAAACAGAAATGAAATGCGATGGAAAACTGAGCAAAAATAAGGTATTCCAGCCATTTTTCATATAAATATGGGATACCTTACAAATGAAAAAACTCAAAAAAAGCATTTTGCACTATGAGGAAGTAATATTTTAGACAAGCAGGCAAGTGGGGCTGACTCCAGATGAGGTCAGGACTGTATAATGTGCCAAATATGGCGATTTTCCACCTAACGTACCACGCATTTTGACTGATCACTCAAAAAGTTATGGAATGCCCATCATGAAACTTGCAGGGATGCTAGTGGACATGATAGTCTTTCTTAAGTGTGAATATGAAGAAAATTGAAGGACGCGCGTTTTTTGCTATTTCCAATTTAAGTTTTTGGTCTTCTATAATTTTTTTCTGGTCCAATTTGGGAAAAAATGTTATGAACAAAAAGATAGTCACTTGAAGTGAGCTTTAAAATGACACCTGAATCAGCTCTCTAGGTGCCATACTTCCAGAGATATGGACACTTTTGTAACGCATGTCATGCTAGTTAGCCAAAAATTCATTAGCCCTTATCTCACTAATTAGATGGCTTTGAACAAAAATATTTGAGCTCTGACAGTTTCTCCTGAGGGCCAATCACTCCACCAAATTTAATCAAAATCTGTGACGTGAGTGGCGATTCTTGGTTGAATTGACATGGAATGACCCACCTTTAAGTAATAGATGGCCTGGGTATCAGATGGCATGAGATATGAAGCAGCAGCCTTTGTTCGAGAGGGGGCAGTAATGCGATCCTTAGGATACCGACGACCGCAACCCTGAAAGGAGAAGAAGAGGAGGAAGAAGAAAAGTTTCGGGAAGAGTAGGAGGGAGGGGACTCGGGAGTGCAAGTGTAGTAATCCAACAGCGAGCATGACCGACGCTGAGGCGCAGAGCGCTCCTCCACCGGCACCTGTGGAAGAGAAACCACAGCCAGAGAGGAAAGTCATAGGTGAGTGTGGGGAAAAAAGCGGTTTTGGTGTTGGTTTGACAATCTTTAAAGCTGTCTTTATAAGTTTGAAACTAATGTGTGGAACTTAAGAGGGGGGAAAATAAGCCTGACGTACTTTTTATGAGAAAAAATGGCTTTGTCATGCGTGGGAGTTAAAAAGAAATGCAAAGAATTATCAATGAAAACTGATAATAAAATACGACCATCTTGATTTTTTTCTTTTTTCTAAATCAAGATGGTCGTATTTTTTTCTTTTTTGAGCAGCACGTGTCCCGGTTTGACACTTTGGTATTGTTTGAAAGTGTTGAAAAGTTCACCCTTGACTTTAAAACAAATATCGTTTAAACTTTAATCGATGAGAAATTTTAATTCATTGATAAAAGTAGGTCAGTGGGACATGACTAGTTTCTGACTGCATCGATTTACATTTATATATTTTGTGTCTTCTTTTAATATTCTCCAAAAAACGTCATTTTAAGTATCTTTTAGAGTGTTAACATCTAACATGTCCGCTTTTAACTTTTTCAAGCGTTTGATTTGACTAGTAGTGGCGCGCGGGCCCTCACAGGTGCAAACTAATTAACAGAGAAGGTAACCAATTAGACGCATTGAACAACGTCCAGGCTAACCGCTTGTCTCGAAAAGGTTCCTTGTATTATTTTTTTAGTGTATTAATGATAATTTTTAAGAGCGTAAAATGTGTTGCTTTGTTTTAGCAACCCTCAACCCTCGTGACCCAGCACTGCCCTGGTTTCAAAGTCTTACTGTTAATGATTGACACACAGAGCTCTGATTTCTTGTTGTAAGCAAGGCTGTCATTGATACAAGCGAGATAACAGTCACCTATATTATGTCTGAATGGGGGTCTGACAAGTTCAGGAGAAGTGTTTAATCATGTGCTTCCTGCTGTCATAGCCACCTTGGTCCAAGGCACAGTGAAGTGGTTCAATGTGAGAAATGGATATGGCTTCATAAACAGGTGATATTTCCTCTTTAGTTTCGCTTTAATATTCCTTTTCAAGTGAGTTTCAACTTTGCCAATGAGTTTCTTTTTCTCAGAAATGACACCAAAGAAGACGTGTTTGTTCATCAGGTAAGAAAAAGGTGCATAGTTGATTGATTGAACATCGTACGGCTTGATTGAATCTTTCATTTAATATTAAATTTGTTTCCTCAGACCGCTATCAAGAAGAACAATCCTAGGAAATTCCTCCGTAGTGTGGGAGACGGAGAGGTTGTAGAGTTTGATGTGATTGAAGCGGCCAAGGTAAGAAGCTAAAAATTGCAGTGTGGCCAAACAATAACATTTTAGAGTACACTGAAGTTAAATTTAAGATCCCTTCCCTCAGGGCTCAGAAGCAGCCAATGTGACCGGACCAGGTGGCATTCCAGTCAAAGGCAGCCGTTATGCACCCAACAAACGCCGCTTCCGCAGACGATTCTTCCCCCGCAGTCCCAGGCCTGGAGACCAGAGCAAACCTGCTGATGGCCAGGCCCCAAGTGGCGAAGGCGAGGGATCGGGGGAGAACGGGGTAATGAGACCTCAGATGCGCCGTCGGAGGCCTCGCAGACCACCACCTGAGGATGTAAGCTTCTTGAATAAGCAGAAAACTTGGATTTTGACACATGGGAGGCCAAAATGTCTGATATATTTAGAGACTTCAAACTGTGAGGGAGATTTCAGAAAGTTTGAAACATTGTTTTAAGGTTAATGATGGGATACTTTTCTGTTTTTGATTCTATAGATATTGTATAGTTGACTAATCTGAGGTTTTGTCTACTTGCTCTACTCTAGGGTGAGGTCGGAGAACCAAATGGAGAGGGTGATCAAACACAACGGCCGCAGCAGCGTAGATTCTGGCGCCCATATCGCCGGTGAATTAACAAAAATACACGCTGTTGTCATTTTTTACGCCTTGTTGTAAAAAAACTAAACTAAAGAGCAGATTGATTATTGATAATTGACAGGCCCTTCCGCCCTCGCCCGCCTCCCGATCAAGCCGCAGACAGCCAGCAGGCCGAGCCAAAAGAGACCCAGGAGCAAGGTGAGGTGAAGCAGACAGAGACCTCAGAGGGTCCCCACACCAACGGAGAAACGGAGGAGGGACAGAAACAACGCCGCCAGTCCAGACGCCGCAGGCAAAGAAACTCCGAGTCCTCTACCTCTAAAGTGAGTCAGCCGGAGTTTAAAATTGTTGGACTGCTTAAAGTTTGTATGACTGCCAGATAAACTTCTTACAATCTTCTTCAGCGGTCTGTTTTCAAAATAATCCGTCCAATTTGCCTCAATTACAACATTCAGCTCTGAAACAGGAATTTATGTCGGTATTGAGAGGATATTGACCCCTGAACCAGAGGGGAGAGTAAATGTTTAAATAAGGCATTTGTACATATTTAAGGATTTCCTGGAAGTCATGTTTGACGTTGCACGCTTAATACAACCCCCCCTCCTTTTCAGAATGATACAGAGAAGTCTGCGTCAGAACCCGGAACCCCTCCTCAGACCTCAAAACCAGCAGACCTTAAACCCACAACAAAATCTCCCAAAGCCTCTCCAAAATCCTCTCCTAAAACGCCGAAATCAACGGAGGTAAAGTCGCTAAAAACGCCTCATTTTCCTGGATTTGCACAATCACTGTTGGATCACACCACAAACATGTTTCTCTTCTTGCAGCAGGCGGCCGCCACAACAGTCCCAGTAGCAACGGAGTGACACCAGGGAGAGGACAGTCACATGACCCTTGGCAAGAGGTGGGGACCCCACGGTCAGGTGCCAGGTCTTGGGTCAGACAGGGTGGGAGACTTGAGGGTATAAGGTTGCACTATCTGTCAAAGAGGGAAAGATGACGGAGGATAGCTGCTCTGTCGTAACTTCTCTCAGGGGGATGTTGGTATTAAAGGGACAGTTCAAGTTTCATGCAGAACTTTGGTTTACAGCTGGATGTAATCTCTTTTCTATTCAGGAGTGTCTTTGTGTTTTAAATTCTGTGTTTCTTTACCGTCTTCTCCCCGCGTCTCCTTTTGCCTGTCATTATTTGTTGTCTTTGTCTTTGTAGGTCCTAGGGTTGGAGGACTGGACCTATTTCAGAACACATGCACTGCTCTCCCCTCCCTGCACCCCCTCCCCACCCTCCAACCCACCTTGTCTTGCTGTCCTCCCCCTCCTCTCCCCTCTCATTTCATAGTGTTGTTGTTTGTGTGGACACTGACATTCGGAGAGGGTTTGGGAAGATAAAGAGGGGAGGGTACTTACAGGTGGGCGGTGGGTGAATATTTAGAAATTTAAAAAGTACATCTGTAGAAAAGAAAAATGGGAAAGAATGGACAATCTGCTTGGTAGCCCAGTTATTCCAACCCCCTTTAAAATCTAAGTTTCTTTCATTCCTAAATATGGGAAAGTTCGAGTAGTTTATAGAAGAACCAGCCTTGAGTTTTATTTAACTTTTTTAATTTGGTTGACGAGGGGAAAACCAAGCAGGTGTGAGGTTGGTGGTGCATTATGGGAGTCAGTTTAGTTCTGTTACCACCTCAAGTCTAAAATCTACTACTTCATCTCCTCATTTGGAGGATAGATTGAAAAGAAACTTTATTTTTGTTGTTCTTATTTGTGTGTGCTTTTCTTTGGAGGGGATTATGTGCAATGTCAATAATTAAACTGCTAATTAATAAATCCTATTTGCAAACCTCAGATTTAAATCCTTCATTCTTTTTTGAATTGAAATACTGAATGCAACAGATGGGGAAAAAAAAATCTCACTTGTGTTTTTAGTGATATCATTTACAGTACTTCAGTCCTTTTCATCTCAGTATTCACTCTTTACAAATTACAGGTCCTCTTTGAACAAACTTATATAAATCCTCAGAAGGTTGTTGTGCACACCGATAGAGAATAGACGGCAAACGACACAGAAATGGCAAGAAGATACACAAACGCAAAGCTTAATGTCAAAAAAATGAAACATAATTATCTTCTCTACAGTGAGCCCTTCTTAGAACATTTTTCTCCTGCTATTTGGGCGTCTGTTTACAAAAACCAAACACATACTGGAGTGCATAAAGAAATAAAACCTAAACCTCATACCCTCGACCCCCAAATTCACCATATGTACACATAAATAGACTTTGTTTCTTTGACCGAAGCATTTCTGCAGGTTGTGCAATGAGTTACAAGATCATAAAACTATTCGGTGATAGCACTTTGCCCTGGATTAAGCTGGGAAGACGACGGGGTGGAAAACCCAGTTTGACAATAGACATGTCTGACAAGTTAGTGGAACATGAAGAGTATGCTATGATATTTTCTATACCGATTTAACTCTGGATTTTTGCTCTGCAAGTGTGATTGCAGTCTTGTATTTAAAGATGTTAAAGCTCCTGTGAGAAGTTTTAGGCAGGGCATGGAACAGACTGAAAATGACCTAAAAAGAGGGGAAAAAAACATCAACATGATGAGTTATACATTTAGATTCAATATACAATGTTTTAAGAAAAAAATCAGCATAAACTACTTTGTCCAGAGGGGGGCGCCAAAGACGATACAAATCAAAAGTTTCTCACAGGGGCTTTAACGATATAAATCTGACTGGACATTTTAAGTACTCCACACTTCTCAAACCTTGAGTTATGGGAATATTGAAATAGGTCCAAAAATACTGTTAAATGTTTATTAATATCCTGCAGGAGTTGCAGCGTAATATGAGAGTAGTTTTATGATTTAAACCTTTAAACCACTTGGACCCACCACATTGTATTAAACCGTCTTTACCAGCTTTTGTTACATGATCTTGTTGATATTGAACGTCAAACTCAGTTGGATTTTCCCACCCAGAGTGCTCCCAGCTTAAGTACAAAACAGGAAAACCTCACATAACGGCGGTATATCTCTGTGCTTTAACTAAAAAAAAAAAAACTTTGTTGATAAAGTGCAGGAATTCCAAGTCTCTCCACCTCCTTCTCTCTGTCAATATCGCAACTGAATGCATTACCATGGAATAAAATCCTACCAAACCGGCAGTCAATGCCCCAACTGTCCAGACGTGTTTCTCTTATTTGCATCTTATTCCTTCAAACTCAGTAGTCAGCAGTCAACTCATAATTAAAAGGTTTGAAGCCCTTTTTGAGGCTTAATGCATAACTGTCAATCTCATATCGCAGTGGTACCAGCAATGGACTACTCCAAAAAACCCAAGTTGTCTTCTCATAACACTGCTTTGGCACCACACTCTATACGAATATAACAATTGACCTCGATGTACACCAGATATAAAAGTTTAGAGCCAGTTCACCACAAACTGTTTTCAGTCCCAGTCCTCTCCAGTCTGGAACTCTTCAGTTGATACTTTCGTCGCCCAAATAGTCCAGCTCTGTGCAAGGCTTGTCCAGGTCCATATCCAGGTCCATGTCCATCATTCCACCTGCAGAGCGAAGGTGGAAATTTGCAGAGATCTGGTCAAAGGTCTTGCCTCGGGTCTCCGGCACCCGGAAGAATGTGAAGATGAGGAAAATGAGAAGAAGGAAGGCGAAGATGAGGAAGACGTATGGCCCACAGAGGTCCTAAAAGAAGAGAGGATGGTATGAGAAGACCTTCAAAGTTTGTAGAAAATAACTGGACAACATACGAAACAAAAGACTTACAGCAACATATTGGAAGCACATGCCAATGATAAAGTTGGCAGTCCAGTTTGAAAAGCCGGCCACAGCCATAGCAGCCGGCCTTGGACCCTGAGAGAACAGCTCAGCAACGAAGAACCAGGGAATGGGACCTGGACCGACCTCAAAGAAAGCCACGAAGCCAAAGATAGCCAGCATGCTGATGTAGCTCATCCAAGGGACACTGTCCTGTGAGGTGGGAGACGAGAGCATTCAGAGCATGTAGAGAAACATACGTATGACCGTACGCTTGCGTGTTCGGAGGACTTACCAACAGAGCAAGCGCCGTGGTCATGATGACTGCGCAGATGCTCATCCCAGCAAGTCCAAGCATGTGCAGCGTCCGTCGACCCATCCTCTCGATCAAGAAGAGCTGTAGGTAACAGGATGAAGATGATAGGGTAGAAATGAGAGGTTAGTCTGGAGCGAAAACTTACAAACAAGAAACCAAATGACAGCAAAGCAAAGTTGTTACAGGCAGTAAGGTTATTTGAACCTGTCCTATCACAATAAACATTTAGTTTACTTTGACCATAGTGGGAGCATGCTAGCTTTCGTGAACTAGTGCAGCAACTCATCTAAAGTCAAAGTTCATGAGTATGTGAACACTTTAATAGACATACTGTATTTGAACAAGCATTAAACTTGTCAAATTCAGGTACAAATGTTTTTATCAAACATTTAACCAATCCAGTAGCGCTAATGCTGCTAATGGGTCAAGGGTCATCTATGCTAGCTGTGATAGCATCAAGCTACAAGAAATGAGATTAATATTTTACTTTAGAACCTTGAATATCAGCCCAAAAGAGTAGGTACTGTGTCTAAATAAATACACATAATCTAACTGAGGTAAATATTTCTGTGTTTATAACAAAATCAGGTTTTCTGGCGCTGAGCCATCTTGACCTGCCAAACCAAACTTAACCTACTTCTCTGCAGGAACGTTTGAGAGGAGGGTAGAAGAAAAGAGCTCCCAGCCTGTCATGTTATCTTATTTGCTCTAAGTTAAAAAATGTTAAACAGTAATCGTTGTTACATAACAGATCTGTGTCCTTTAATAAGGATTAGATGTAGAGGTGTAGGTTTGCTTACTGACCGAGACCACAGTGAAGGCGCAGTTCACTACGCCTGCTCCTATGGTGGCATAGACCGGACTCTGGACTCCAGCCTTCAGGAAGATACTGGTGGAGTAGTAGAAAATCTGTCCAGAGGGGTAAACAAATTGAGACTAAGTCAATATCAAACTGCAGTGATTTCCCTTTTTTTTAAACATATTGATTCTAGTTTTTGTGAAAACAGGAGCGGCTGACTCACCGCATTGATCCCAGAGAGCTGCTGTGAGAGCTGCAGCAGGATGGAGATGATGATGGGCTGTCGATAGAGAGGAGAGCGGAAAAGCTCCAGGATGGACACCTTCCTCTCCATCTCCATCTTTCGCTTCTCCTCCTTCATCTCTGCGAGCATGTCGCCCACCTCCTGTTTGCCCGTTAACCTCCTCAGACCTGCACAAAGGAGACGTGTAAGGAGTCAAAGGTGAGGATTTCTAATTTGGTTTCTGTCACTGTTTTCTTAAAGAGGAACTTGTGAAACTCCCAAAGCTTTGTGGAGTTATCTTGAGTTTTACCAAGATGTTTACTCTTGTACACTCAGCCTCGTAAATGTTACATAAAGTCATTGAAACCACTTGAGTCCAAGTTTTTCTTATTTTGGTAGGTGTTGGAAAGTTTTTTTGGTAGTAAACACACAATCGAATTGTTCTTAAAAGTGAAAAAGCGCCTTCAAACTAATGTATATCTGAACTCAACAACTGTGATTCCAGACCCAAGACCCTACAGATGTCCTACGTCTGGTCTGCGGTGCTCCAGCCCTGCTCACCTCTTTTGGCGAGGTGCTCCTGGCAGCGTACGATGTAGAGGAAGCGCGGACTCTCTGGACAGAAAGGGAGCAGAGCCATCTGAAGGACAGTCGGCAGGACGGTTACACCCAGCAGAATCGGCCACAAGTCTTCCGTGCCTAGTAAGACCTCCAGACCCAGGATCTGCAGAGGGAGAGAGTCGAGAGTGAGTGCGTAACACAAAAGGATGATAAAGATAGAGTAGAAAACGACTGTTCTTGTTGATATTATGGGACGTGGAGATAAAAGCAAGAAGAAGAATCATTTTTGTGGTTTCACACCTGTGCTATGAGAATACCGGTCACAATGGCCAGTTGATGCAGCGTCCCCAGAGCCCCTCTCAGACTTGTGGGAGCGATCTCACCTATGTACATCGGTGTCAAACCTGACGCTAACCCTGCACAGAGTGAGAGTTTAAAATAAATACAGTAAAAATACCTGAATGATATGTGAGGAAACTATTGTCTGCTCACCGCAGTAGGCCCCAATGATGAAGCGCCCCATGATCATCATCTCGAAGGAGAGGCACAGCTTGGACAACCCCATCAGACTCCCGCCGATGAAGGCAAACAAGTTGTTTATGAGCATGGCTTTCCTCCTGGAAAACACACAGACAGGAAGATTTGTAGTAATTCAACTTTCAAATAGGATGTGATCACTTTAAACCAAACACCAGTACACCACTAAAGAAATCCAGTGATACTTCAGCCAGCAGAGGGCAGCATCACACAAAAACACTGACAAACTTGATCAATACACATGCATACATGATGCAGAAAGGTTACACAACCCTCATATTTCTGGCAAAGCGACAGCAGATTTGTAGATAAAACTCTACCTGACATTTTCTGAACAAGCTCAACAACCCAAATACAGTCAATTCATATTATCCTCCAATGCATTGGATACATAAAACACTACAATAATAATTTAAGTATTTTTAACTTTCAAAAGCTGAACCGAAACAGAAAAATCCAACAATTAATAAGCATCAAAAAGTTTTATTTTAAAACTGTTAATAATCTGCTTCCTATCTTTTTCCTCTCATCCACCAAACAGTAAAGTCCACTGTTTGAAATGAGCTCTTTCTGCGCACCACAGACTTCCCTTCATCCAGATCACTCTGACCCCAGAGGTCAAAGAGGCCGCCGCCAGACACTCCGCTGTGCTGCGCTTTTTTTAAGAGGACCTTGTCCTTAATGCACCCAAGCTGAACGTTACATCTATACCCCTGTTTTACCACACAACCCTCCTGACCCAGTGCTGCCAGCTTGTTAAGCTCCTCTTTCAGTCAGTGGAAGCGGTGGGCTGCTGTCCAGTTTGCATCCCAGCTCAGGTTGCAAAGGGAAAAACGGGGTCTACGAGGAACATCCTGAGCAATATGGTGAGATTTAAGGATTCATTTTGGATCCATGTAGAGGATTTTATTGTTTACTTATCCTACCAAGTGCAGAATTAGGAAACATCGGGACTTTTACAGTCTAGAAAAAGTTTAATTTGTGTTCTACCCCGTTGGTTTTCTTAGAATAACAACGGACTGAAGGGTTGATCGTGAAAACAATCCTTCTTTAAATACAAGGAACGACTAAAATCTCATGTTGGATATGTGTTTGTGTCTTTACCTGCCGAGCCATTCAGAGACGAAGCCCACACAGAACGAGGACAGCATGCCGCCAATGGAGAAGATGGCCACGGACAGAGACCAGAGGGAGGTGAGGGTCCCTGAGGGGATGGGCATTCCATACCGGTGGATCCATGTTGCATTATACTCCTCTTCAATCAACTACACAGAGCACAGAGGTGACAGGAGACACCTGAATTACAACAGCAACAGACATTTGACCTGGTCTTAGGTTCTAGGAAAGCCTGAAAAGTTTCCAAAATAATCTTGGTAGATAGCCAAGAATAAAGTTTAAGTACAAGTTGTCAAACATACAGAACAGTTGAAATGTAAAAAAAAAAAGAAATACAGAACTTTTAAATAAATATTTACCATCAGAGAAAGTTTTCCTCTTGGAAAATCTGACTGATAACAAAAGCTTTAGTAAAGGTCCTGTAAGGAACTTTCTATCTGTGTTGAGTATGGCGCCCCTTGTGGACAAAATGATAACTCTAATGTTGTTAAAGGCATTAAAAATTACAATATTAGAATTATCATTCTTGTGATCAATGGTTTCATTTGCTGAAAGATATCATAGAGATACAGCAGATGCTTATTTCATCAAAAACTCCTCACAGAAGCTTTACAAAAACGAAAATCAAAAACAAAATGCTGCTCTTAGTCAAGGAAAGAAAGTGGAAAGTGTAAAAACAAAAAAAACTATAAAGCCAAATTAAGAACATTTCTGGTATGGTAAGGTATTTATTTTAGATGTAGAAAACAGGTATTGGTGGTCTCTAATTAAAGCTACTTCAATTGTTATGGCGTACAAACTGTTGAGGTAAAACATCCAATCTTACAGGTAAACTTCTATTTTGGTCTCCGTCTTATAAATCTTTAAAACTGTGCCAGCTGAATCACATTGGCATCGTGGGTCAAGGCTCAACACCTGATGCACACCATCAGTCGAGTCCGAAACCGCGCTAACCTGACCCGGCCTTGAGCTCTCTGCTCCTGTTGATTGGCTCTGATTGACTGTGAAAGTGTCACAGCATGCCGACGACACTCTACTGTTATGTCTAACGCGACAGATTAACGTGTTGAATGAAATGGAAAAATGTAGATCGTTTGAAATGTCTTTCTTTGTCGACCTGCATGCATATTCAAGTCCTGATAATAGAGCGGGATTCAAACTTGACACCGGCCATCATAAATCATACTGTACATTTCTCACATGCAGTACTCCAGCATGCCTTAACGCTGGAACAGAGCTGTGGGTGCAACATGAGCAGCTACATGCTCTATGGCTGGAGAAAGTCGGGATTTCTATCTATATACAGACACTTTTACAGTGTTAATAAAAGACAGCTCAATGAGTGTGCAGCCTCAGGCTCACAAATGTCATGATATATGTTCTAGTATTTAGTTTGGCTTTGGTCTTTTGAGTGTATTTTCTGTGTGTTTCTTCCTAGTGTTTCTGTGCGCTATTGTTCCTGTTCCCCTGTAGTCCTGTCTTGTGAGTTTTCAGTTTGTGTCTAACCCTGGTTCCTTCGTGTTCTCAGTGTTTTAATCTTTATATCAGTTTTCAGTGCTTCCAGTTTTATTTTGTAGTAGTTTCATAGTATTATATTATATATAGTTTTATTTTTCTTCTCCCTTTTTCCTTTTCCTAAATTTTTTCTTAATTATTACATTTATTTAAGTTCTTAATATTATGATCTTTATTTTTATAACTGCATTTTTGCACTTTCTTTGTCTGTGATGCTGCTGTGACAAAAAAATTTCCCCCATGGGGGATCAATAAAGGAATATTCTATTCTATTCTATTTATTTATTCCCTGTGTTTCTAGTCTTGTTTTACTTCCTCAGTTTTCCCGACTCTGTTTCTTTGTTGGTTCATTGTGAATTTTTGTTGCTAGTCAGTATCTCCATGTAGTTTTTAGTGCCTTTGTTGGATTTTGGATTTTTGTTTCTTGTGTTTTTGCCTTTGAGAGTTTTTCTGTTGGACATTCTTATTAAGTTTTTGTTGCTTTTTATTTTGTCCATTTTGGATAACTCTTTTTGTTTCTGCATTTGGGCCCTTTCCTTTTTGCTTAACTCAAAACCGTGACAACAGGTTTAGCACTTACATTATTGAAACAGCATCTATCTCCCTATAGTACCACACTGGGGGTGGTTCTTTTTCCAGATTTTAAGACGATAAAAATCCCTAAATAATTCATTAACTTCCAAAGAGAGACATCATGCTGTATAAGCTGAATTAACACGGTGACACTTTAGCTAATGTAAAAGGACACTAATGCTCAAATAAGCTTATGAGACCATTTTAAAGTGTTAATTGATTAAATTAGTAAGGCATTAATTCCTAGTTAACAGTAACATTAGCAAGTGAGCGAGTTAATTCTTATGCTGGCTGATTTATCTGGACCATATTAGAAATGCTGACTCAGCCTAGTTTTCAGTGTTTATGTTGCTGTAAAGATGGACTGAGTGTGTCACTAACCTGCATCAGTTTTTAGTTTTTGGACACTGTGTCTTTCTTTACCTTCTGCGGCGCATTGATGACTCCAATGTTGTACCCAAACGTCAGAGACCCCAGGACGGCGGTGAAGACTGAGAGCACAAAAGTTCCAGTCACCGTCTAAACACACATAAAGACACACAAAGAGAGTTAAGCAGCGTATAAAATCTAGATTATTCCTAGAACAGTGAGAGAGACAGAGAGCAGAGGGGATTTTGATGTAAATGTAACAATGGCGGATAATAAGAGAGCTTAAGCGTTCAGCCCTTCTCCACTTACATCAACTATATATAACTGTGATCCTAATAAGATACAATGTCCGCAGCGATGCTCTTTACTGATGACGCCTGAACTCTGACCTTACTTCACTTCCCATCAGGCCACTGGCACCTGTCTCCACGGTGACAGACAGGGGGGCCTTGGGGAGATGAGGGTTCACGCTGGCCACACAGAGCGTCATGTACCGCAGATAGACAGCTTATTAACTTCTTTTTATTCCATCTGTGTTCATTATTATGCACTTTTTTCCATCTGTTATCTATTTTAAAGGTTCATCACGTAAAGTTGCATCAGTGTGCAGAACCTTCACCGTTTCTGTGTCATGTTTTGTGTTCTTCAAGTAAGTGCTGTTTAGTATTCAGGAACCAAAACAAAGGGGTTGTGTGTGTCGGTTTGAGTTTGTCCTTGCTCTAGAAAAGGTATAATACCTGAGGCGGCCAGTTCTGCTCCAGCACACTTCTAACAAAGTCGATTTTATCGTAATTTACATTGTTGAAATCTCTGCAATTCATTAACTTTTCACCATAACATAATTAAATCTGCACATACTGGTGAGATATTCAGATAAAGTGACTCTCAAGTGATAAAAATGTCAATGATAGTTTGTATTGTTCTGTTCCTTGTCTTACTTGTTATGAGTTTAAGACATTTATCGGTGCACACCTTCCTGCAGCATCAACCTGCTCTGTCAGACAGTCTGACGGAGTTCCAGGAGTCATCGTCGTATTCCTGCCTTTACTTTGTTTCACTCTCATACTGTCAAAAACTCTTAGATAATAAAAACACAATTATCTGACCTAGAAATATTTCCTCAAACAGAGCTGTAAGGAGCACACAACACTGCCTGTGTTTATGAGGGTGATGAACCACTCAGACTCAGCGGTCTGTGACGAACCCACAGCACTCAAAGGTCTGACCTGTAAACTCAGGTATTTAGCTGGACAAGGTCACTGCTCAGGAATAAATAAAGGCCTCAGCTCGCTCAGATCGGAGCTGATGTTAGTTTTTATGCTGCAAAGAGTTTTGTGTTATATTTTCTCATTTGGACCCTAAGTAAGCGACGATTCTGTTGTTTAATGACATAAAAGTCTAATTTTTACTTCTATATTCAACCAATTAATAACGAATTTTGATTTTTTTTTTAACTAAATAAGTCAAACTAACGTAGAAGAGAAATAACTTGAATCTTCGTGTGTGTGCTACTTCATAAACTCAAATGTTTTCCAGGTAAAGTTAAGCGCTGCACAAGAAAATGAGCAAACAGAAAGGATTTTGTGGCACAACACAACTAATTTTACTTTAATTTAATCATTTATTTTTATTAAAAACTCTCCAAAGCACTTTAAAGTTATGTGAAGCTCTCAAGGAAAGAATTACCTCTCCTCCAAGTTGCTGAAACCCAGCCGGCATGACTTTGGCAGCTCCAGGCACCCAGCAGCAGTCGATGACAGATCTGTCTGGTGCCAAACAGAGACACGTGAAACTCCCTCAAAAGGACAACAAGCCGCGACTTAAACTTCTAAAACTTTGGCGCCGAAACTCGCAGGAGACCGTAAAATCCAACAGAGAAACCCAAACTTGATCAGTCCGGTGCGTCTTGTCCTGCAGGGTGTCCTGACTTCTTTAAACTTTGTGTTGTGTCCGCTCAGCTGGAGTTAGAGTGACACCCACACACCCTCATGCACGCCTCTCAGCGCAGGGTAAGGGAGGGGGGGAGAGAGAGAGGGGTGAGGGTACTCGAGTCCAGAGGGGCCCTCTGAGCTGATCTTGAGGTCCTGCAGCAGAGGTCGAGTCCTGGCAGGAAGCTCTTTTGCCCTTAAGAGCTATTGGCTGGTCATGAAAGGAGAAAAATGAGGCTGACGTTGGAGAAGAAGAGGGTCTGTTTTTTATTGTAGTGTGCAAAAGATGCAGCAAAGTTCGGGGGTTGGGTTTTGGATTCCTGGGCCAAATTTAGACCCCTTTCTGAGACTTGTTGCATAATGTAACTGACCTTCAAAAGAGTAGACACCTACGAAAGAACATGAGGTACAGCTTTGGCGTCACTTTGCTTCTACGATGCAGAATTTGCAATAAAATGTCGGATAATCGAAGTTTCGACCTTTAATTTTGGAGGAACTGATGGAGGTCTGTGGTTGCACAGGTGTTTGACCTCAGGTGAACTTGACTTAGAATCAAACACACCATCAACCATGACTCAACACTTCTCCTAAGAATCAAAGAGGGGCTCGTCTCTGCCACCATGGCTGCCATTGTCTGTCTTCCCAGCAGCTGTAAATCCCTTTCTATTTCAGATCACATGCCAAAGGGGTCACACACCAGAGTTCACCCCGTTCCGCAAACCCCTCCTCCGCTGTTGCATACAACAAAGCTTAATCGACCTCCAGCAGACGACAGGTGGACCCTAAATTTGGCGTGTGCCACCTGGGCGGGTGAGGTTAGGAGGCATTTACCGATGGAGAAATGGCGTGTTGGAGGCGGGGTCTACATGGGGGTGTGGCGGGAGGGTTCACTCGGAGGGAAAAGCGCAGAACTGCCAAAGAACTCAGTGGAAAAATTTCTGCTCCAGATCCCTCAGTCAGATGATACAAACCAGCCCCTTTTGCGGACACACCCCCAACCTCACGCCACTCTCCTCTCCTCTCGGAGATTGCGCTGGCGCCTTTTCCCTTTCCTGTCCTCGTACGCACATTGAGAAAGCGACAAAGAACCCGACACCCCCCATCTAAAGCCAGTCCCCTCCCCCAGCACAGTCATGTGCATGGCTCTGACTAAATGTAGAGAAACTTTATACCAACAGGACAGTGCCGTAGAGCGTCCGAGACATAGTTACAGGGTTCACGTCCGCAAGCAGAGGCATCATTACATTTCCAAAAAGTATCACATGAATCATACAGAGAGGGCCAAGAACAATGAAGTATCTACAAGTACAGACGTAGAAAATACTGGCGCTGAGCTGACACCGACAACCTCGCTCGAGGCAGCGAGTATATTCAACTGAAAACACCTGCTGGGGGATATTTTTACAGCGTAAAATGTCACCTGTGTTGTCCCCACAATGAAGATGCCAGTGAGTGTGTGTCAGACTGTTATCTGAAACAAGTCACACCATGTGACTGCCCTCCATTACTCACCAGACTGATCTGGAAAAACTCATGTAAATATTGTCACATTGTGTGTGTGTGTGTGTGTGTCTGCCTCTGTGTGTGTGTGTGTGTGTGTGTGTGTGTGTGTGTGTGTGTGTGTGTGTGTGTGTGTGTGTGTGTGTGTGTGTGTGTGGTTGACGGGTCAGCCGGTTCAAAATCATGTTACAGTAAACTGAGTCGTGTGATGGACGGCAGGTGTTGTACTGTGTGGTTGGTGTCGGCGTGTGACATACAACAAACTGAGTCACACTCTGGGATGAGTGATGACTGAGGAGGAAGATTTAAAGAAGCTGAAACATGCTCGTCGCTAACACGTGTTGTTCAAAACAAACAAACTTTCGGATGGAAAAAAGATGAAAAATTCCCCCAGGAGAGTTTACACTAACACTGAGATGAGTGCTTGGGTCGTAGTCTCTCAAATTAGCTCAGTTAAGTGGCATACATCTCCACAAACTATATATATCTATATCTATATAACTATAAATATCACAAACTGTAGCCTAGCTTGTGTGCCGGCTATCTTCACAGTTTCTCAGAGCCAGTAAGTATCTAACACTTTAAAAATACTGAACTATCCCTTTAAGTACATTTTTTACACTAAATTTATTCCCAAATCAAGCAGCTGAGGAACTGATTTATATTGCAATAAATAAAAACATACACTATAAATCCTGGTTAATCATTTAAATTCAGTGATTAATTGTTGTTTTGAAAATAAATCACTTGGCAGCCCTGTTTTTCTTTTACCTTCAGATGGAGCCGGGTCACCGGTTTCCTTAGTTCCAGTTGCTTTGTTAAGTTTAGCTAACTATCTGCTGATTGTACTTTAACACTTGTTGGTGAGAGGGGATAGGTGTCAGCTGAGCAGCTTTAGAAACAGCCCTTATTTTACAATTTAAACCACTCACAATAAATGATATATTTAATGGTGAAAAGTCAAGACTTAAAGGGATATTCCGGCATAAAATTAATTTAGGGCCAAACACACATTTCCTTGAAGTAATAATCATCAAATCAAATCAAATTTTATTTAAATAGCACCAATTCACAACAGACATCATCTCAAGAGGCTTTTCAAAGAACAAGAGCAGGTCTAGACCACGCTCATTGTTTGATGATCAAGAACCAACCTAAGATGGGTTTTGGCCCATCTCATCTAACATGAGTAGCAGTGGCAAGGAAAAACTTCATCATATTAATCATTTTGCACTACAGATACTTTAGTTCTTCTGCCTTAGCGTCTTGGTCTGATCGCATTTGCATGAAGAAATGATCATAAATGTTCTTTCTTGAGCTGCGTCACCCCTCTGCCTCAGTCATTGATGGTTGAGGTCTTGCTACAAACAAGCTGCTGCTGGAAGAGAGTAGGTGAGTTGTGTTTAGTCTCTTTGCTAAAGAAATTAGGCAAAGTTAAAAAGATGTTTGGTGGCTAGTGCTGTGGCTAAGACCCTATTTGTACTGTTGATGAAGTTAGGTGCTGTTCTGAACATTATTTGTGGCTATAGAGTGGTGTTTTGGTTGAGGTTTGTGTATGGCTCCTCAGACCGCTGTGTATTGCTATTGTGCGGTCGCTACTGAAGTTGGTATAACTAGAGAAGCAAGCAGTCGGCAACATTCATCTCTCGAGGGGGTGTCTAACTCGGTGTTGCAGTGTTTGACCCTAAATTAATTTTATGTCGGAGTATCCTTTAAAGCATGTAGAGTACAAGATAAGTACAGACTGTTTTGTCCACAAGGGGGTGCTGAAATTGACATAAATCAAAATTTTCACACAGGAACTTTAATACAATAGTGTAACAAAACTATGGTTATTATTTGGCAATTTCTCAGCTGTGAGTGTTAAAGTCAGGAAATAGTAAAAATAAGGAAAAAAAACATTTTGAAAAGTCTTTAATAGTGTAGTAGATTTTACATCATGTTCAGCCATTGTTGCATGTAAGGTTTCTTTTCATTGCTGTACAATATTATTTACTAAAAGAAAATTAATGAACAATTATAAAGAGAAAATAAATCAGGCTACATATAACAGTGAATATTATTCACTTAAGTGGCTTGATAAACCTGCATTTTGATGCAGAATACATCGCTGGTCCACTGGTCTACACTTATCATTCTGCACTTAAAATCTTCTTAAAATCACATAAGCCACTTCTGATCACACCAATTCTCACTGCCCTCTGTATCCTGCTCCCGTTCTATAAGATCTGAGTATTGTATAATAATGCAGCGCCATTTAGATCTGGTCTGCAGTGGACCTACTGGCACCATCACTACATTCACTCAAAGGTCAGACAGCTACCAAGTCCCAAAGTGGTATCAATAGCCACTATGTACTCAGGGAGACAGACATAACCTACATTCAGTGCGTAGTCTTTGGATTTGACTCGTGCCAGATCAGGATAAGACACCAGCAGCAGCAAGGCCGTCTGCAAGCACCTGGTGTTACCTGCAGTATTACCTGCAGCTCTGGTCCCCTGTGGTTTCCATCCTTCAGCCTGTTAAAGTAGATTATAAAATGATTAGAGAAAGAGGGTCAAATGTACTATTTGTAATTCTGGATGTATAGAAATAAGACTTATTATGTTGCTGTTTGCAAACCATTACTGGGGGAAACCATCTTTGACAGTTTTCAAGTTAGTCAGTGACCCTCTGTGCTCCAGCAACCTTGCCTCGAAGTTGACCTCTGACCTCCCTGGAAAGAGAAGAAAGCAAGGGTACAGGGTAAAATTACCTCTTGAATGTATGTTTACAAAAACTGTAGCAACATTTCTTCGGTTTAAACATAGCTTTGTGCATTTTCCTGTTATTTAAGCAATCAGAGACATTAAAATGATAAAAGTCCAAACAGGAGAATTATACAAGATGTTAAAATTATAACTAAAACAAGACTTATGATGACATTACATTTCCAATTATAACAGACACCAATAAAGGCCAAGATAAATATTCTAGTAATCAAAATCTCATTGGCATGTATGGTATGTTGTTACAGCCTAGTCTAGGTGTTCTGTTTCTTATTTCAGTGAGTCTGGGTTATTAGATATCAGTATACCTTCTTGTAAAACACAGGTTTACAGGCTCTAAACACCAATAAAGGTGTGTTTTTGTATGTTCACAAAAAAATGCATAATGCTTTTATATATTTCCCTTAAAAAAAGGACAACAATATCTGTCTGGTGTCTGTTTTCCTCTCTTCAAGTGTTAAAGTGTCACAAAATAGTTGACAAAATATCGAGGGATGTCTTTGCTTATCTTTCTTAATTAGATGTGGTCACAATTTAACTGATTTTTATCCTTTTTTATGCCAGCGTTTCCAAGAAATAATCAGCTTAGTGAAAATGACAATACGAATTGCTTCTGTATACCATAAATTTAGTCAAAGTATACTAAAAATGCTGAGTGCTGAATGCTAAAAGCCAAAAAAAGCAATGCAAAACTGCTAAAAAAAAAAAAAAAAAGATGGAGGAAGGTATTAATGTAAAAATTTTTTAAAGGAGTGAAGAAGAAGAAGCAAAAGTTGGATGAATGTGAAAATTGTTGAAGGATTAATAGTATGAAAATGTTACATAAATTGGAATTGCATTTATGCCGAAAGAGGCTGAAAAAATGTATGAAATTGCACAAAATTCGTATGAAGAAGGATGTAGCGTTGGGGGCTTAAATTGGCTTTAAATTGGCTTAAAACAGAGAAAAGTGAAAAGTGGCAGAAGTTTAAGTTGTGGTACTAGTTGTAGTATGATGATAAGTAGTCGTAGTAGTGATATTAGTAGTCATATTGATAGTAGTAGAAGTTTTAGAATAGTAGAAGTTGAAGTCAAAGTATTAGTGCAAGGGGTAGAAATAAGTGTAAAGTATTAATTGTGGCAATAGTGGTTGAAGTAGGTACTAGTAGTCGTAGTTGTAGTTGTAGTAGTATAAGAGGGATTTTGTTAGTAGAATTGAGAAGTAATGAGAATAATTTTAAAATTGGGAAACTTTAAATGAATATAAATCCTGTGAGCTGAAATTTTGCAGAATATTAATTTTTAATTACATAAACCCGGTTGTTACTGGAAATTGTGCTTTTAAAGATGGTTTCCGAACGTCACTACTACGTTATGTTACCTTCAGGAGCTCAACAGAAGCTTGTTTTTTCCGCTAAATCATATTGTATGACATTAAATTGTCTTTTAAATGTTGGTATGTTATTAATACAGGCTATTTCCATGTGTAGTTTGGCTCTGTGCTTTAATAGCATGCATCAGCAGGATTTCTGAATCTAATACTTGGAGTAACTGAAAGTGTAAAACACGTAGCTAAACTGTTCCCTTTATGTGCCGAAGAGTTTGATTAAAACAATGATGAACACATTTACTTTAGAGTGGTGTAGTGCTAAACAAACATCTTAATCTTTTGGCAGAAATATGCTACAAAAAAGTGGTCATAAAGTGCGAAACAACAGTGCAATTGTGTCGTTGTTTTTGGTTGTCCGACTGTCTTGAATATAACTTAACGTTTCCTGTCGTTGCATGTAAACGCGTCATAGTGTGGGACGCCCTGTGATTGGCCGCCGATTGATCTTAAAGCCCGCCCCTCCCCCTTCCATTCTTCGGGAATCCCCGACAGCAAGACAACGTGCTCGGCGTTTTTACCCAAAATATTTGGACTTTTGTGGAACCATTCATCCTACTCGACGACTTTTCAGTGACTCACCTCAACTGTAGTTCGACTCATCAGGTAGCTGAGTGTTCAGTCACCCTGGATTCTGCTCTGATAGAGAACTTAAAGCCACTTTTAAACCGAGAGAAAAAAGTTTTACCGCATTTTAGCGAGTCGGATTCCTGAACGGTGGTAGCTTGTGATGCTAACGCTAAGTTCGCTAACATACTTTTACTCTGTTAACTAACTCGGTTTAACTAAAATTCGACGCTTTATTGTTTTAAGCTGTTAATTTTCGCTCTGAATAGCTTGTTAATAAAACGAGGTTTGTTTTATTAGCGCTAGCTTCATTCAGATTTTAGGCCTCTTCGTCGACGTTAGTTAGCATTAGCATGTTAAAGAGTTTTTCATGTGTTGTTTTGGTCTCTGTGTGATTGTTTGTGTTCTCTCTTTGTTTGGGGTCTGTCCACTGGGTGTCCTGCCCCCCTTTTAACACTTAGTAATTAAGCTTTTCTGTATTAACACTTGTGTTTTAATAAGAGGAAGTTTAACCGGGTAACTTGATTGTTAGTCAGCATTTTAGAGGCTTTGGGCCCAACCGGTCTCAACTTTAACTCTTTACTGTGTGACAGAAATCAGAGTTTGGCTGTTCACGTTTCTATACGATTTCAACTCTTTTATTGTACTTATTGATTTGAAATATTTTAAGCTAGATCCTCTTTGTGTTTGTTAACGTACTGACATTTAAAGTACATTGTAAAATAATAATTAAAAAGTTGTTATTTGGCTCCAAACAACTTTTAGTGTAAATCAGCGTGCTTTAGCTGTGGGAATCTGGTCAAATTAGGGCTGGTCGATATGGGAAAAAGTTTATCACGATATATTTTATTCATATCAGTCGATTTTGATATGTATCACGATATAAAACATGAAATTCAACAGTGTTTATCGGTAGCATTTCTTTTGCAATACAATAAGCTACTGCATCTGTGAGGTCTATGAGTCTCTTTGACGTTTTGTCGTAAGGCGTTGCGCGAGAGAAAGCTGACTAAACGGTCGGCTGTTTCGGCTCTTTTCTCCGCTTGGGGTTTCAAACTTTTTGCATTGCGCGTGCTCTGCCACGTGACACTGCTTCAAAAAAAAAAAAAAAATTAAGTTTCCCAGACTTTGTTAGAACATGAACTCGATATAATATGCAGTGCTCATTACTCTACTTCATGTCAGACCTCAAAAAAACAAAATACCTCCACACCACTGACGTTTTCATGCCAGTGTTGTCAACGATGTTGTCATCTAAGTCTTTATCTGCATTTCTGCAGGGGTTAGCACTCTTTTTCTTATTTCTCACTGACAGTGCTGTCAGCTTCATGTGCAGCCTGCTACTACGCAGTTGTTTGCCACTTGGTTCTAATTCAGCACATGATTGGTTCAGCACACTATTTGTGTAGTCTACCTAAACATGGCAGAATGCCAACTATAGAAACGCATATTGACCATGTTGATTATTGATATTGAGGAAATTAATTTTCGATATATATTGTTATGGTTTTATCTTCCAGCTGCTTTGGACTTGAATGGACATTTTTATCATTGCATATTGAGCTGCACAATTAATCACAAGTTAATTGATGTTGCATCATGAGAAAAAACTACATTTTTGTGGCAAGTCAGGAAGTTGTTAAGGCTAATACTGTGATACTTGCTTTATGTGAATTTTAAGCAGGCGAAATAAGCTTCAGTGGTTAACCTCAGATGAATGATCTCAAGATAAATAGATACTTTTTTTTTTTTAAACATCTTTTTTATTTCATATTGATTTAACAACCCCAAAAAATTTTTGCTTTTTTTTTTTTTTTTCAACCAACTAATTTCCTACCCCTCTATTATTATTCCATAGGGATACAGAGCAGAAAGAAAAAGGAAAAAAATACAGTTACTTTTGATGCATTATGGGTTGGGGAGAAAAGTGATGTGTACAATGTGAAGAAAACTTCAAGCATGCATGAATTGATGTCACACGTAAAATTTTTAAAGTGTTTGATTTAAACAACAACCACAGAAAGTTTCCACATACCTCATTGTTTTCACTGAAGCCCTAACACGAGTCCTTCCTGTCGATCCTCCTCAGCTAGCCTGCTGCTCCAGTTTCCTCTCAGCTGGGTGAAGAAAGATGGAGGAGCAGCAGCAGAGTCTAGATAACCTGACCCTGAGCCAGACCCTGCCTCTCAGCCAGGAGTCATTCCGGCAGCTGTGGGAGAATGTGTAAGTTGTGCTGTGATCTTAAATAACCTCTGAAATGATTTAATCTCCTGAGGAGAAAGGTGGAATAACCCTTTATTTGCTTTTGCAGAGCGACTTCCATGTCCCTGCCTGGTGGGGCGCCTGCAGAGGAGACATGGCACTCAGATTCAGTGGAGATGATGGTGAGCATGTCAGCGAACACACTAACGTCACTTTGACTTGATTCTAAACTGTGTTTTTACGGCGGCAGACTGACTCTTTAATCCTTCTTCTTTGCAGCTCCTTAATGAGCCATCTTTCTCAGCCGGGTTTGACGAAAATCTTTTCAACCTCCCGGATGTTTCCGTTAAAGACGGCATCACGCCCCCAGCCTCAACTGTCCCGGTCACCTCAGACTATCCGGGGGATTATGACTTCCGGCTGCAGTTCCAGAAGTCTGGCACGGCCAAGTCTGTGACCTCCACAGTGAGTGATCTCTCAGATGGACTTTGTTAGACTTCAAGAAAAAAACTTTTTATTGTTCTTTTAAATGTGTGAAAATGTTCCTCAAAACTATTTGTAGGAGAAAAAAAGTTCCAGCAGAAGCATCTTAAATCTGTCATTTATTCGTTATAAAGTGTGAATTTGTGTTTAATTGCACATATTTGAACCGTGTGAACGTTCGACAAGATTACCCTGCAACCCAGCATGAGCGGCTCTCAGAGAACAAAAGAAATCTCAGCAGCTGTTCAGCTCTGAGCTCCAGTTCACCGTCGAACATTGTTGAGCTCATAATCATTGAAAGTTGTTGCTCTGGGACCTTTTAAATTCACAAAATAAAACGCCTTCATGAGATTTTCGCATTTAAAAGTCAAGATTTATCAAAGATTTCCTGAATGAGACTGTTCTCTCTGGTGTCTGAAGATTTAATCATCTCTAAAATAATTCAAAGTAATAAAAAATCGAAACATTTTTATTAAAAAGTGAAAAATGTCTTACCTTAAGTTTGCGTTAAAAATCCATTCATAGTTTCTCTTACGTGGCGCTCATGTGGAATCTTATTCATTCTGGCGATTCGCTAAATTTTAAAGTCTAAGGCCAGGCACTGCGTTTGAGGAGCCAATAGCGTTCATGTTTCCACGGTGACTCACCCAGCAGCGTGCCGCAGTTGGCCAGTTTAGCTGAAGTTAGTTTGGTCTGCCCTGAAACCCCCGCCCTCCTGCGAGCTCTGCTCTGATCTGTGGGAGCGGTGCAGGCTGGTTGTAAAGCGCAGCTCTGACATGACGGGACATGTTCCTGCACGGTCGTCCTCCAGCACAGGAAGGGTTAAAAGGGAAGACAGCGAGGTGAAAATGGTCTTTAAATCTGACAGTCATGGAAGTTTAGATGTAGTTTGTTTCAGGTTAAAGGAGAAGATTGGAGTTATTTGATAGAAAATCAGGACTCAAGATTTAGTGATCTGATTTCTTAAAGCGGATCTCAGACCGGTATTTGAGCACAAGGACGGATTTAAAGCTCCAGGCTAACATGAACTTTCCTCTGTCTTCTCGTCAGTATTCGGAAATCTTGAACAAGCTGTATTGTCAACTCGACAAGACCAACCCGGTTGAAGTTCTGGTGGGCAAAGAGCCTCCAGCGGGGGCCGTCCTGAGGGCCACGGCGGTCTACAAGAAGACGGAGCATGTGGCCGAAGTGGTCCGAAGATGCCCTCACCATCAGAACGAGGAAGCTAGTAAGGAAGATGTTTCTGTGGATAACTTAATCCTCTTTATGATCGGAGACCTGTTGATTTTAAATCCTTTTTTTTTTTTCAATTTTCTTTCATTCAGCGGCGGAAAACCGTAGTCATTTGATCAGAGTGGAGGGCAGCGAGAGAGCGCTGTACCACGAGGACATCCACACCAAGAGGCAGAGCGTGACCGTTCCCTACGAACCACCGCAGGTAACACCGCCGTACTCACTCTGTCTGAGGCGCAGCATGCTTGTCTTTTCAACATTTATTAAACTATTTTGAGTAGAAATCGTGTCAAATGTGGTTAAAAAAATCCATTAAATCCTGGAGGTGTCAGACAATCAGGGATTTGTCTCCTAAATTTAAGATTAGCCTTTTTCGATGCTCTGAAAAAAGGACAAGAAGTAAAGGTCAATAAGTTCCTGTTTGTCTTTTTTCTTTTGCTTCAGCTGGGCTCTGAGATGACTACCATCTTGCTCAAGTTCATGTGCAACAGCTCCTGCATGGGTGGGATGAACAGGAGACCCATCCTTACGATCCTGACCCTTGAGACCCCAGAGTAAGTATCCTGGAGTATAAAGAAGTGTTGATAAGAGGGGAAAAGGTTCATATTTGACTCATTGTTCTCAGTCGTTAATTAAAACATTTCTTTCTCTCTCTCTCTCTGAAGAGGGCATGTCCTGGGTCGGAGGTGCTTCGAGGTGCGTGTCTGCGCATGTCCAGGCAGGGACCGAAAGACTGAGGAGGAGAATCACGGCAAAGCCAAGACTGAAGCCAAACCGATCAAGAAGAGAAGTGCGTTTGTCTTTATCTTTTAAGCTTTGTGAGTGACTGTTGATTACTTCTTTTTTTTTTCTAACCTGTCTTTTATTCATCCAGAGAGCGCTCCAGCACCAGATCCTTCATCGTTTAAGAGGACCAAGTCGGCATCGAGCGCGGAGGAGGATGACAAGGAGACGTTCGTCCTCCATGTAAGTAAAAAAGTCTGCGCCGAAGGTTGAGATGTTTTGAAATGTGACCATGTTGTCATCTGATGAATGTGCGGTCTGTTCCTGCAGGTGCGTGGAAAAGAGCGCTTTGAGATGCTAAAGAAAATAAACGATGGGTTAGAGCTGCTGGACAAAGAGAAGTAAGAAAACTATCTCGATGTTGTCTGGAAATGAATAATTCAGGAGTGTTTGTATTTCAAACTCCTAACACTCACTTTTTTCTGCTTTACATCGACTCCAGGGCAAAGACCAAGTCCTCCAACAAAGAGCCCCTCCCCCTCCCCTCCAGTGGAAAGAGGCTGCTGCGAAAAGAAGAGCGGAGCGAGAGCGACTGAGCAGCTTTAACATCGCCTTAAAATCATGAGATCACCCCCCTCCTCCTCCTCCTCCTCCTCCTCTTCTTCTTCATCAACCCCCTAAAACATCAGGTTACCCCCTGTCAGTGCTGAGAAGTCTCCTCCAAGACATTAAACTTTGCATGCTTGAAAAACGATATCATGGAGGTGGGCTGAGTCAGACAGTGTTAATCTTGGCAGGGATTTCTTCGAGGTTCTATCTATTCCATAATTGTTGAAACTGTTTCTGCCATGTTTATTACGCAGTCATTTTAGCTCCATGTAGTGAATGAGAACTGAAGAGGTCGTTCTTTCAATGACTTTGTTTTTAAAACGCGCCAAACCAAGTGATCATGATTTCTGACCTGACATGAATGATGAGAGGCTGCAGCTTCCTCTACAGACAAGTAATTATGATGATCCTGTTGAAACGTAAACACTAGATTTGGTAGATCAGGGGCTGGCTGGTTCACCCCCAAAATCAAACCCCATTTTCACATTCGGCCACAGAAATCACAGCGTGTCATTGGACGAGCACTTCAGTTTGTTTTGACCAATCACTGTCCTTAAAACCACTTTGATGTTTTCACACTGCCAAATGAAAGTATCCATAAGTTCGTATCTTTGTTTTATTTCTGTATCCTAATAGATTATTCTTAGTTTTGTATAAGAGGTTTACTTGTTATATTTTTTCGTTGTCATTTTTTTTTTCATGCTTTTTTTTGTACTAATCCGCATTTTGTTACTCAGGCTTAACATCACGAATAAATTCTGTAATAAAATGTCCAGAAAGGCGTCTGTGTCTGTGTGTTTGACATTTTCCTCGAAATACTTTGCATCTTTACAGGACAGATGCAAAACAGTATTCAACTGTGCAGAGCTGAACGCAGCTTTGTTGTCTCAAACAAATATACATCCTTCCATGCAGATGTGGGTTCATTCCACTGTCGAGTTCCTTTTAACCTCCGGCTCAGGAAACATTTATCGGCTGAGTTTATTCGTGGACAGATCGAGAGCTCATCATGGCGGAGTTATTTCTAATTATTTGTGGTGAGTATTAAACATTAAATGACATTTATTTGTGAGCTGTATGTAACTGATAATACTGGTAGTTTTTTATTATTATTTGGATGTGCAGAAGCAACAAATTTCTGTCTGAAAAATTGTAAATTTCAAAAATATTAACGCAAATTTCTTTTAATAACTAAAACATTTACAGCCTTTAGTTATGAAAAACTCTTCAAACTTAATCTTTCAGCTTGAGTTGTTAACTTTTGAGTAAAAAAAGAACTATTCATGACAGTAATCTACAACTTAAATCTTTTAATTCCTCGCTTTAAGTATATTTGTAATTTGTTGTATTGATAAAGTCCCTGTATTTACTTCTTGTATTCGATTTGTAGTAAGGTATGACTATGGGCTCTATGCATCGATCCTCTACTTCCTGAATTAAAGGCTGCTCCTCTATTTCTTGTCTTCCATGATTGGACAAACTGATTAATCCAGGTGTGTCTGAATAATCGCAATGATCAGGCACACCTGGATTAATTAGTTTGTCCAATCATGTAAGAAAGGGAATAAATGAGCAGCCATAAATTCAGGAAACTGTTTCTGTTGAGTTCAAATACCGATCAATCAGATTGATCAGAGTTCTGTCCTCTTTCCTCTGCAGCTCTGATCTCCTCGTACAGTGCTGCAGAGTTAGAGTACTTCAATCAGTCCGAAATCCTCACCTGGGATGAAGCGAGGAGCCACTGCCAGGTGTGTTTGAAAAAAGAAAGGTTCATGATTTCAAAACAGCCTTTAAATTACAGGTTTTCAAATTAGCAAATTTATTTGTTTTTAAAGCTCCTATAAGGAGTTTTTTCACATTCATAAACTAGACTAAAATTTATCTTGCTGCCTGTTTGTGATTTACAAAATCAAACAAGACGATCAGAGACAAGACTTGAGATTTTTATATCCTTATATTTATTGTCTGAAATAAGTGGGTAGGGGGGTGGATCTGAATTCTGCATCCGAAGAAACAACCCAGATTTTACAATTTCCACTTTAAATATCCACAATAAATACTAAATCCGACTGTCAGATGTCAGCGGGATGAGATATGTTGTAATAAATAACTTTTCACACAAACCAAAAGTTCCTCATTTGAGCTCTGGGGCTGTTTCTTCGGCTAGTTGGCGAACACCTACCCCCTCGCACCCACAGATGGTATATAAGTGGATGTGTGTGGTCGCCTTAGGTTAGCTACAGATGTCCCGTAACTTCCTGCTTACTTCCTCTCAGATCTGTTTCAAAGACTTGGCGACCTTGACGCCTCAAAACACCAGAAACATTACAGATAAAGTCTCGACTGACTCCTGGATCGGCCTTCGAAAGAACTTCAACTCAACCAGCAACAGTGATGAAGACGGTTACTCCAGCAACTCCACCAGCAACAACGCCACCAACAGCAGCATCCTTATGCCCTGGTCCCGCTGGGCCAATGGGGACCCCCTCACCTTCCAGAACTGGTACCCTGGTTGGCCTGTTTTTAAGAAGCCCCCTCCTCCAAGAGATTGCTGCAGCTGCTCCTGCACGTGCCCGGCGACAACAACCCCAAGAACGACAACCGCCGCCTACTTCACAGACTTCACGACCCCTGGTGTGACCGGCTCTGGCAGAGTTGAGGAAAACACACAAGGAGATGTGACAAACTACGCTAACTCATCGACTGATCAAACTATGACCGATGTGTATGCATTCAGCGTGTACGACACTACAAATGAGACACTTTCCACTGATTCCACAAACATCCCCAAACGAAAGGCCCCGGGGTTTACCACAAGTCCTCCCACGATGACTTCCGCGCCGCCGATAGAGTCCGAGTGCGTGCGATCGCCAATGCTGACCCCTGATATCCCAGACTCTGAGGACGAGAACTACATCGAGGACTCGTGTGTGGCTGTGCTGAGCTTCGGGGCGTGGATAGAGAAGGAGTGCTCCGAGCGTCTTCCTTTTATATGTTATGACGGTAAAACTGCCTCATCAGTTTCAGTCCATCCAATAATTATTGATCCAAATGACCCGGCTTTATCCGCTGAAACAAACGAACCTTTTATTCCCAGAACGCTTCGTAGGCGAAGTCAATGTGACCAACGTGACGACCACCAGCGCCAGCCTCAAATGGCCGAAAGGTCCTGGTAACATCAGCCACTACCGTGTGGAGGTCAACGGTCAAGAGGAGCCCACGGACAGACTGACTAATGTGACCTTTGACCTTGAGGATCTGACAGGAGGAAACCTCTACTCAGTGCAGGTGTTCCCTGTCAAGTGCGAGAGAGACCTCAACCCCCAAAAAGTCGACTTTTACACCAGTGAGTTTTCCTGAATTTGTTTGTGACTCCGTTTTCTTCCCGATGTTTTATGATTAAACTGAAACTAATGCGTCAATAAACGGGTTTAAAAAAGGAAGTATCTTGTCTGTCTTTCAGCGCCAAACAAAGTCAGAAACCTCACCGCTGCCAAAATGACTGAAACCTCCATCTTCCTGAGCTGGGACAAACCGGATGGAAAGGCAGATTTGTATGTCGTGAAGTGGCTGGAAGAGGAGACTGAAACTTCCACAGAGGGTGTGGAGGTCGATGGTTTGACACCTGGAAGTCTCTACAACTTCACTGTCATCGCCGGAGTCAAAGATAAATCCGAATGGAGCGAAGAATCCAGGATCAGCCAATACACCAGTGAGTTTCTGTCTCATTGTTTCGCTTAAAGGGATATTCCGCCATTAAAACTAATCTACGCCTGAATATTACAGTGTGTCAAACATACTGTAACACCGAGTTAGACACCCCCTCGAGGGATGAATGTTGCGGACTGCTTGCTTCTCTAGTTATACCAACTTTAGTAACGACCACATGATAGCAGTACACAGCAGTCTGAGGAGCCATAAACAAACCTCAACCAAAACGCCACAAATAATACTCAGAACAGCACCTAACTTCATCAACAGTACATACAGGGTCACAGCCATAGTACTAGCCACCAAACATCTTTTTAACTTTGCCTAATTTCTTTAAACACAACTCACCTACTCTCTTCCAGCAGCCGCTTGCTTGTTTGTAGTGAGACCTCGGGCCAGTCCATTACGGACTGCAGTGGGGTGACACAGCTCAAGGAAGAACATTTATGATTATTACTTCATGGAGATGCAATCAGACCGAGATGCTAAAGCAGAAGAACTACCGCGTCTGCAGTGCAAAATGATTAATATAATAATTATTACTTCAAGGAAATGATAAAGAAATTATCATAAATGTTCTTCCTTGAGCTGCATCACCCCGCAGCAGTCCATAACGGACTGGCCCGAGCTCTTGCTACAAGCAAGCGACTGCTGGAAGAGAGTGGGTGAGTTGTGTTTAGTCTCTTTGCTAAAGAAATCAGGCAAAGCTAAAAAGATGTTTGGTGGCTAGTACTATGCCTAGGACCCTATATGTACTGTTGATGAAGTTAGGTGCTGTTCTGAGCATTTGTGGCTATAGAGTGGTGTTTTAGTTGAGGTTTGTGTATGGCTCTTCAGACCGCTGTGTATTACTATCATGCGGTTGTTACTAAAGATGGTATGACTAGAGAAGCAAGTGGTCGGCAACATTCACCTCTCAAGGTGACGTCTAACTTTGTGTTACGGTGTGTTTGACCCTAAATTAATTATATGCGGGAATATCCCTTTAAAGAGAGTTACGATATCTCACAGGAGCTTTGTTTGTCTTTTCTCTACAAACCTATAAAAAAATTTTGATTAGGGTCGGTAAACTGATTTTTTTTTGTCATATTTCTTCATCCATCTTCTCTTTTAGGACCTGGGAAAGTGTCCAACCTGAGGGCGTCTGAAAACACAAACACCTCTCTGTGGCTTCAGTGGGATCCACCCAAAGGAAACAGCTTGAGTTACTTAGTGATGGCTGTGGACAGTGACAATAATGAGTGGGTGATTGTAGACAACAAAGTGAACACATGTTACAGTGGTATGTGTGTTTGAATGGGTGAAATCTCTGTCTCTCTGTACAGCACATTAGTGGACCCTAAAGTGGTGGAACAGACTAAAGTGGAATTGACGGGTCTGCCACAGGGAACCAAGATAACTCTCAGCGTAAGAGCACTGGTCGGTGACACCTTGAAGGGAGCTGAAGTGACCATCCAGAGCTACACGAGTAACTATGAGATTACACTTTCACATTTTTCACCTGGTTGTTGATCAGAGTGGACTAAAAACCCTCCTGCTACTTTGAGTGTCACTAATCTGACTCTGCTGATCCTCCAAAGGTCCAGAGCCGATTTCCAACCTGATTTTGACACCCGATGACCACTCCCTGTCTGCCACCTGGAACCCTCCCCAGAGTAATTATTCATCTTTCAACATCACGCTGACGTTTAATGGTAGCGTCGTGGACACGGAATACGACCTAACAAAGCCAAGTGAGACGTTTAAAGACCTGATGAGTGCAGCTGATTACACAGTGACTGTTTGGGCTGTTAGTGGATCCTTCAAAAGCCCACCAGTGACCAAATCCAAATTCACCTGTGAGTCCTTCATCTGTTGGATATCTTTTTAAGTTGTTTGTATAAAAGAATAAAAACATGGGTTGCATTCAGACAAATCACCACCTCCTTTCCTCTTGCTTCTCTTTTTTTCAGTGCCGAAGCCCCCTACTGATCTGAAGGTCACCATGACAGAAAAAAACAAACTCTCGTTCGAGTGGGATGCACCCAGCGGGACGGCATCAAATACATATATGGTCAATATCAGCTCCAGCTTCTGGGGCGAAAGCTACCCTCAAACTGTGAAGGACCAAACCAGCCACACATTTGACGGCTTGAGATCTGGGACAAGTTACAAAATCGAAGTGCGAACAGATGCAGGCGGGACATTCAGTTCACCAGTTACTGTGTCCCGTTTTACAGGTGAGAATCCAAGACCCAAAACATGACACAAACAAAACATGATTAATTTTTCTTATTTTCTGGTGATAAAAATCATTAATATCTACTTTCAAGTTCAGCACAAAAACAACACAGAAATTCAAATAGTTTCTTAAAAGTCAAAATGTTTTTTAAATTATTTTCTGATAATAAAAATCACGTATGTCTTCTTTCAAGGACTGCACAAATTTAAAAAATAATAATGATAACAATAATAATAATAATTATTATAATAAAGAAATAAATGAATAAATAAATAACAGCACACAAGTCCAAAAAGTTGCCAAAAAGTCAATTATTATTTTTTTTGTGTGTGTGTTAAAAATCATTTATGTCCACTTTCAAGTACTCAAAAAAAGGAGTCCAAATAGTTTTTAAGTCATTTTTTTTTCAATTTTCTGATAATAAAAATCACGTCTTCTTTCAAGTGCTGCAAAAAAAAAAAACAGCACAGAAGTCCAAATAGTTTTTTAAAATTCAAAATATTTTTTTTTACTTTATGATATTAAAAATCATTTATGTCTACTTTCAAGTACTGCAAAAAACAACAACAAAAAAACAGAAATCCAAATATTTTCTAAAAAGTCAACATGTTTTTTTTATTATTTCTGATAATAAAAATCATTTGTGTCTACTTTCAAGTACTGCAAAAAAATAAAAATAAAAACAAATAATTAAATAATAAAAATTAAATACAGCCTAGGAGTCCAAATAGTTTCTAAAAAGTCAAAAGGTTTTTTATTTTTTTTTATTTTCTAATAATAAAAATCATATATGTCCTCTTTCAAGTACTGCAATAATAATAAATTTAAAAAATCATAATGATAACAATAATTAATAAATGAATATTATGTTAAAAATCCTTTATGTCTACTTTCAAGTACTGCAAAAAAAAAAAACCGAAAACAAAAAAAAACAGCACAGAAGTCCAAATATTCTCTAAAAAGTCCAAATTCAGATTTTTTTTTAAACGTCCAATTAGTTACCCTTCATTTACTCATGAAATCTGGTTCTCCCAGAGTTAGAGTCAGCCTGATGTTTCCTTTCAAGTTCATCCTTATCTTATTCAAAAGTTATAAGAAAACAAACTTAAATGTTTATATTGATGTACCTGAACTCAATCCCAGTGAGACTAACCCTCAAAAATATTCAAATTTGATGACAGATAACTGAAATAGTTCGAGGACTCTTGTATCTTCAGACTGTTGGAACTTTCTATAAAGCCTCAGTGAGGAGGTTTTTTTACATTTATGAAAGAGGCTTAAAGTCACATTGAATCAAAGTCTACCAAACTAAAACTATAAGACATGAAAGTCACTGACAAATAAGTATTTTATATTTTAAAGTATTGGAGTCAAGGTACAAGGGTAAAAAATAATTCATAAATACAAGGAAGTTCATTAAAAGTTCATGAGTGTGTATAACTGGTGACCGAAGCAACACAAATAAACTGCAAATAACACATTAATGGTGTGCCTTTTAACATATCTCCTCATTTGAATTTTACAGCATGAGCTTCCTCATTCTGACTTCCTCTTTGTTTGTTCCTCAGTGCCTGAAACAAGAGAGGTCAGTCTGTCCATGTTATGCTCATCTCCAGAAATTCTCCTCTGCGATAAAAAAGACACGAGGGAAAGTGTTCTCAGACAGGTACGTCAGTAATCACATGAACCAAAATACAGAAAGTCGCGTGTTTTCAGCGTGTTTTCTTCATCCGTGCGTGTCTTTTTGTTTCAGTTGGAGGCATTCCTCGAGAGAGAGCTGGGAAGAGAAGTTTTCTGGGAGCTGGAGAAGTAGAAATTTTAGAAAACACAAGTTAAACTGTTTGTTTTGGTTTTAGTGGGTAAAAGGCTGTAGAATAAATCAAATAGTCATTTGTGAGTTAAAGGCTTTTATTATAATCAAGTAAGCATCTTTTCTATTTTCTTATTGTTGTTTGTCCTGATTATCTGTCAGAAAAAATGGAAAAAGAACTTAAAGCTCCTGTGAGCAGTTTTCTTTATGTTAATGAAATGAACTAGAATTAAAACTGATGACTTTTAATGATATTAAACAGCAAACAAGACCATCAGCAACAAGACAGACAGTTCTGATGTTGTAGTTTTTCCTGCCTGAAGTTGAGTGGGTAGGTGTCAGCTGAAAAAAAAAATGCCTGATCTTAATCTTTACTCTGAAAATATTGAATTTAAATGAACATTTGACTGTCAAAAGTCAGCATAATGAGATCCTTTTTTTTTTTTATCAGAGGTCACTATTCAAACATGGAGAGGGCAGGTTAAGTAAAGGCTGCTTTGTTTACAGGGGGCACCAAAACTTCCTTATAGGAACTTTAACTTTTTGTTCAAATTAGGAGGCAAGATTAAACAATGAGTAAATGTACAAGAAGAGAGTCAAAATGTTTGTTTATTGAATAATTTTAACATTTTTTTTTAAAGATTATCTTCCATTAATTGTAACTCCATTGACAGAAAATGATAATTTTATTGAACTGTTAGGAGATCTTTTTATAAGTGAAAAATTAATCTTTTCAATAAAGTTTTTGAGCTGATTACAAATCCCATGACCTCTTTGTAAAGTTTGTATCATAAACTGTAGAGTCCAGTTTTCTTTAAGCCAGAAGACTTAGAGCTCCCCCTGCTGACTGGTTGCACAATGGATCATAAACCCTGCCCCCCTCATGTTAACTGATGGGATATGGGTCTGATAATAAGATTAAAATACAAATCAAGTAAATCCCACTCAAACATGGTTTCTGTCGTTATAGTTAGTTCTTATTGAGCTCATTTATGTCCAAGTGTTTTTTGTTTTTTTAAATGATTAGTAACTGATAAATGTGGGCTCCTGGAGGATTCTGCACAGGGTGATCAGAGTCCAGGAGGTACTGTATAAAAGTCACTGAACTTCCCAAACCCATAAGTCTCTGTTTTGAATTATTACAAGAATCTGTTCAGCTGTGAAGCAGCTGATAAATGAAACAATATCCGCTATTGATTACAAGATAAAGACAATTAAACCAACTTGATTTCTTTTTCTTTGTTCTTGTGTAATTAAAACAAATCTAAAGTGAAAAAATAATGGTAAAAAAAAAGGGAATTAATGGCACAAAAAAGTGTGATTTTAGGATTCATAAGTGTTTCTTTGGGGAATTTTTATCAACAAAAATCCAAATTTACTGCTGCCTTTGACTAAAAATAACTTACCTGATGGCTTTGTTTATGTGGATATAGACAGTGGTGAATTTACAGTGTCACATTCAACACATCAGAACCACCGCAGCTTCAAACCTGTTATGTAAAGCTCATCTTGTGGGTGAACTTCTGCATACATAATGTCTCCAGGGGCCGAGATGGGGCCAGCTGGGGTTATTACTTACCCTCCCTGCCAGCTTCCTGTTTTACTCTGAAGTCTCTATTTTCAGCTTCTGTGTTAAAACAGAGAGCTGTAAAATGAAGCACGTTTTCTTTATATGAGCACACAAGCCCGTGTAAGAGTTTGGGTGAAAAGACGACGAGGTACAAACGGCTGAATGGATCTGAGGGACCAGGAGGAGGACGCTGCGAGGGAAACACCTGCAGGTTCGTCATAAAGAGCATCAGCCACCAAAGCTGATGTGAATAAATGATTTTTTTTGTGTTGAAAGAAACAAAAAAATCCTCAAAAAGTCTGTTATTCTGTGTTCTTATCTTTTAAAAAACTCATATTCAGTGTCAAGAAAGACTAACATTGTGATTTTCTAACTTTACAGATGCAGGATGCTGTCCAAAATGTCAGATGACGGCTCGTGTTGCTGTTGCTCTTTCAACTACATTTCTGGTCATGGGACTTTTTTTGTGTTTGATAATGTTTGGTGAGTATTTGGATGATACACTTCGAAGTTTTTACGCTGAAATAGTATCAACGGACACTGTTTTTCGTTTACAAATGTCTGTATTTGTGTTACTCCTTCTCTTTCTTAGTGAATTTATCCAAAAATACTCCAAAATACTTACGTAAAAAAGTTGTTTTAAGCAAAGTCGATCATGTCCTGACTTTGTAGACTTCTGAGTAAACAAGTCAATCTGCTGATCTGCTGTATAAAGCCTGAGCTAATAATAGAAAGAGTTACCAAGACTCAAAAAGGTTTCAGGAGCCAGTCAGATGTGACATGGGCCTCCAAAGTAAATCTGATTGGCTATTTTTCCAGACAGAGAGACTTGTATTCAAATAATCACTAACTGCTTTTGAGGCATTTTGACGTGGCAGTTTTTCATTTTACCATTGTTCGTATATAAAGATGGACGACAAAGTCCGCCTCCTGCTGTTGAATAAAAGTGAAACCAAAATACCCACCTGCAAGGACAGATGCACACATCTCGAAACAGCTTCTTCAGTGGGTTTAAAGTGAAAACTAACAATTATGTGAAATTCAGAGACTCACATGTCAGTCAGTACGTTTACATGACACTCGAGAAAAACAAGTTATTGCCTTACTCTGATTAAGACCGGACAACTGAAGTGCATGTAAACACCTTAGTCCGACTATAATCAGAGTTTGAGAACTCCATGCCACGCCCCCGTAAACCTGGAAATTGCCTGAAAATGCCCAGCAGCAGTTGTAGACACTTCTGACTTATGGCATGAGCCTGCTGTTGTTGTTGACAGTTGTATGGGGTCAGAAACAGTGCAGCTGAAAAGACCCATATCGCCCCCTAGTTTTGGGGAGGAGGACACGTTCACGTCAATAATTGGATTTTCTTAGTTGCATGTATATGAGCTTAGTTCGGTTAAGCTGTGCATGTAAACGCACTGAGTGTGTTGGTCTCACATCTTCTCCACTCTGTTAATCTGATGCCAACTGCACTTCCTGAGTTACATTAGTCAAGAAGGCTGTAAATCATATTGTCACATCCCCTGACCAACATGACAAAAACCATGTTTAAGAAAAAAAAATATTCGTCAAGTATTCTGGTTTTAAAGTTTCACCCATGTCCCATCTGTCGACATGGAGGAGGCGAGCTTTAAGGCCAATGCGCCACAACTATGAGAGATTGTAACATCGTCCATCCTTTTCAACTGTCTATGATAGAGATAAAGTCAAATTTTTATGAAGTTTTATGAAGTTATTAAACTCACCTCATGTTTCTTTGACAGTCAGGTGGACGGCAGCACCAGAGGACGATCACCTCGTCTACAAAACGTCATTAAAGCAGCAAACAGAGCGACTGCAGCAGTGCCAAAAGGAGCGCCATGACCTGACTGTGATGCTCCACACTGCGACTCGGGGTGATTGATCATCTCAACTCTCCACTGCTCTGGTTTGTGCACTCTTGTGTTAATCTGCTGCCGTGTGCAGACTCCAGGTGCAGTCTGTGTCCTGACGGCTGGCTGTGGTGGAGGAGTCACTGCTACTTCTTCTCAGTGGGAGTCCAGGAGAACCTCCGGTGGAACGAGAGCGCGGAGTTCTGCTGGAAACACAACAGCAGCCTGGCTGTGATCACAGACTCAGCAGAGATGGTGAATATGAAACAGAAAACACCAGGAGCCGTTTGTTTGTTTCTGTCTCTTAATTCATCAAGAGGTTGTTTCTTCCTCCTTTAGGAGTTCATCCAAAGTGTGATGAGGTCTTTCCCCAAGTTTCCCTTCCTGTGGGTTGGACTGACGGACACCCAGCAAGAGGGTCGCTGGCAGTGGTCCGACGGGACGGACATCCAGGACCACATGTCGTAAGTTCTCAATAACTATAACACATTTATCAGGACAAACTCAACCTTTAAAGTCCATTATAAATTCTCTATTGTTTTTTGTCTTTTCTTTCTGCTTTTGTATGAAGCAAACTCAAATTAGCCGAGGAGCGATCTTATTTAAGGCTGTGAAAGTTATCTCAAGTTGAAACAAAAGTTCGTTATTGATGATTTGTCCCATTTTTGACCTAAAGATGGTGAAGTTGCTCACAGATGTTGGTGCAGGTTGCTCTCTGAGGCCTCCTTTAGGGTTCGGGTTAGAATCTGAAAATAAGACCAATAATCCTCAACTCTCACTTTGATTCACTTAATCTGAATTATCTTGATTATTAAAAGAGAAACATCATAAAAGGTTTGTTTAGTTTGCTTTTATTCTGAAAATATAGTACATATAAACATACATTTTGTCTTTTACATTTGTCTTTTTTGTTGTGTTTTGTAGGCTGACTGTGGAGTGGGATGCTGATCACAGGGACTGTGCAGACCTGAGGGGAGGTGGGAGTCTCTTTGCCGCCAGCTGTGAGGCATACGGACCCTGGATTTGTAAGAAAGACTCCTGACTGATTTGTATAATGTGCCTGCAAAACCAAACTTCAAACTACAATAATGCATGTAAAAGAAGAAAGACAAGAGGGTGTGTTTTTATGTTTATTATGAGGAAATCTGAGGTGCATTATAAAGTGCATGCATTTATTTAAATGCAAAATGTGTTCACACTTCTCAAATCTGGCGTCATAATCTACACATCACTGTAAATCTGTCATTTATTTTACATTACAGGCTCTTATTTTGAAATTCTCAACCGTTTTCATTCTAATAAATATTTTTACATGAATCCAAGAGCTTATCGTAGTTGAAGTTTTTCAAAATTGCTACCCATAATTTCATTATTTTTAGAGTGCTATGATCACAATTCACATATTTACAGAATCATCAGCACTAAAGAGCGAGTTTTGACTTAACTCGGAGTTTAAATTCGGCTTTTTTCATTTCTAATACTGCAATTGTTTCATTCAAGGAAATCCCCCAGATTTTTGTGGTTTTCTTGATCTTTTTGAAACTCGGCGTGAATCCTTCCAAGTGTCCAAAAGTCAGCGTTCCTCTCTCTCAGAATTCAGAGATTTGACTCGGTGGGATGATTCTCAAGAGTGTGCGACCATCCATCGGTGCAAACAGAGGGTACAACTTTCCCTTGAAGCTCCCGGTGAAGGTGTAGATGTGGGTCTTTGTCTCTGCGTTGTAGAAGGAGATCTGACCCTCTTCGTAGTCTAAGTAGATCCCAATCCGGCGAGGGATAAGGGAATTGGGCAGCTCCGTTTCAGGCTTGGTGCAGGCGTAGAACTTGTGTGTGCTGCGCCACAGGGTCCAGTATCTTTGCTTTGGGTGCATTGGAAAATGGCCTTGACGCTTGGAGTCGGCGGTGGTCATGCCGATGCGCCAGTAGCCGTTGTTGGCTATTTCAACCTCCCAGAAGTGGCGGCCGCTGCCGTAGCCCTCCCAGCCGAGTACACAGGGCTGGCTGTCGAAGCGCTGAGGGCTGTAAGGTAGATCGGCCTCGCGGTGGGACTCTTGGACCATACGCTGGTCGTCCGACAGCTGCAGCCAGGAGTTATTGGTGTTCGGGTCAAGGATCACATCCGCTATACGAAACAAAGAGTATGTTAGCTTAATTCAGCTAAATGCAAATGTCGTGTTTACATTTAGCGGAGGTTGGTCTCACCTGCTGCGCTTGAAATCCAACTCCAAACTGAAAAGACAGATATTACAGTCAAATTTCAATCAATAGATCAATCAATTCGTCATGTTCGTGGACTAATCCAGGGGTAAAAATCCACACCTGAGTTTGGGATCCATCTTGGAATTCCTGCTTTCCAAGTCCTTTGCTTTGTCAGTAACCACATCTGTGGCACCGCCGTCTGGGAAAGAGAAAAATATTTAAGAAAAATAAGTCTCTAAGAACAAGATCAAAGTGTAATCATGAGCGGTAAATCTTGTGTTGACCTCCCAGTAAACAATCCCTATTGATGGTGTTACAACATCAGTTTTATACGCCCAATAACACAGAGACATTTTCCTGTTTGTGGCAGTCGGTCAACATGAAATTAAAGCTCAAAGGCCTTAACCAGGTGTGAGTAAAGCAGTTAGCTTGTCTGATGTTGAAGTGGTCATGCTTTGACTACCTGAAATAATATAAAATACCCTAGTAACATACACCAAAGTATCATCTGCATATGTAATAAGTTAGCGCTGCTATCTGTTTTTCAGGTTTATTACTGCGATTTATCAGACAAAGGTTGATAAGGGTCATTTGTCTGATTGACAGAGTTCATTTATTGATGCCAGCGCACAATGGGCAGAGTTCACTCTAATATCTCGTTGCATAAGTCGTTTCGTAACGAGTCATATCTGCGCAGTGTGGCATCAGGGTACCGCACGACGACACTGAAACTTATCTCACCGTGCTGTCTTCTTTAAGCAGAGACCAGGTGATGAACTCCATCAGAGGCAGCAGGTTTCCCAGACGCTTCTTCTTCAAACCGAGGAGTCGCAACATTTTACCCAGCTCATCGCTCTGAACGCCACAAATCTGCTGAAACAAACACTCGTTTCAGAGGCAGGAGAGGCGACACGATCTCTGATATTTTACTCTACATGCGACCTCCAGGTTTCACAGTTAGGACTCCTCACCTCTGTTTTTTCCTGCAGCTCCTTCGCCCACTCCATCATCCTGAGCTGCGCCTCTTCTTTATCCTCTTTTGCTTTCTTTTCGCCTTTTTTACTCTCGGCCCGGGAGGTCTTCAGGAGCTAAGATCACAAAACGAATGAGTTTCTCTTGTCACCATGGCTACCAGAACAATTGTAACTCACCAGTTGCCACTAACAATATATTTTTGTGGGCAGTTTCACTTCCCCTTTATGTGTACACTCACTTTATCAACATGACGGAGTTCGTCTGCCCACTCTAGGATCATTTTTCTGCTCTCCTCGAGGCTCCGCTCAGTTCTCCGGTCTGTACTTTCAGCTTCCTTCTTAGCGTCATCTTCTTTTGCAGAACCGCCGCCCTGAAAAAAACACAACACAACACAGTGTCAGACACTCTTAAAGCCATAAAAGTGTTTATCTCAAATGAGCAGGATATTCAACAGGCTCATGCTGATAGAAACAGAAGGTTCAAGGCCAAGTTTGTAAAAGTTGGTGTTGAAAACTTTGGTTTACACTCTTAAATTTTCTCATTTTGGTATTTAAAAGAAACTTTTACATGTTAAAATTAGTTATGTGCAGGTAAATTTAGTTTGTGAAAAACAGCAGGAGTACATTTTTCTGAAAGGAGAGGAGAAATACCCGCAGTGTAAATAAACTCACAACCTTATAAATGCCAGGATAAAATCACACGCTATCTCGTAAAAACTTTATATGGCACGTGCCGAGTTAGATCCAGCTTTTCCCAGTCAGACTTGTATAAAAGGAGGTCATGTACCTGAGCTGTAAAACCTATAAACACGTGTCCTAAAGATCAACCTGACCAGCTAACCTGGTCATCACCCTCCGGAACAAGCAAACCTCTTTTATTAGCTGCGCTTGTTCAACCTGTTACAAACACACTGGCCTGGTTCACCTGCTTGACACCGTCTAATATCTATATAACCAACTGTAAACAGAGCTGACAGATAAAAACTCTCCACGCTGGAGTCAGAAATGACCTCGTGTAAAACCCTTGTCCTAAATTTCTAATCTTCCTTTTCTGGATTTGATAAACAAACCTACAGCAGCCTCGTTTTGTTTTATTGCACCATCAGGTTTCTGTTTGACTATTTTTCCGCTCTTGTTTCCTTCCTCCGCTCACGTCCTACCTTGCACACTTGATCCACCTGCTCCTTCCAGTGATGGATGAACTGCACACACTCCTGCAGGCTCTGGAGGTTCTTCAGGCCGGTCTTGCGAGCGCCCTGCTGTAGGAAATAAACATCGGGTAGATTTTATGACACTGAGAATCCGAAGAGGAGATTCATACAGAGTGAAGTTCAAGACGTAAGCGCTTGATAAAATTGGGCGTGGTTGTACCTGTGAGCTCTTGGTGAGGCTGTTGTTGCTGTTTGTGGGTCCACTGGGTGCAGAGTTGTGAGGTTGAGCGCTGTCCACAGAGTCAGGTAGAGCCCAGCGCACAGGCCCGATGGAGCTACTCTGGGTGGTGCTGCTTTCCCCACTGAATTTGCTCACTTCTACAGGGGGCGACAAATTCAAGTAAAAACCTTGTTTGAACACACGTTTAACTCTGTGGTTTAATTTGAATCAGTTTTCCCGGAATCCTACTTTTCAGGATGCCTTTTTTCTCCATGGTGGCGTCCTTACTGCTGTAGAGTGAAGACAACAAGAGTGAAATTACATGTTTGGTGGAGAAAGAGGAAGCAAAAGAAGTAAAACGACAACAGAAGTACAGAGCAATACAAGTAGGAATCCTTAATTTAGATTGTTAATGAAGCAAAAAAGTGGGTTTCATCATCAAAATGTACTTTACAAAGCACAAAGATCATTTCAGAGAGAGATAGCACTTCACATTTTTATGTTTTTTACAGGTTTATAAAAAAAAGAAAATATTTTGAAAAACTTATTTTTCACAACAAGTAATTAAAAATGAAAAATTCAAACATTTTAAAACTTTTTCAAACAGCTGGACACATTTTAGTTGACTAAAATACACAATATATTCATTTTCTTTCATAACTGAATGAAACTTATGAACTTTTTTCTGTATTATAACCTCTTGAGATGCACCTGTTGTTTGTTTTATTCCATTAATGTGAGATTTGTGGAGCTAATTTAAGTCTTTAATCTGTTTATCAGTTTAAATTACAAGAGTAAAGTGTATTATAAAATTTAAAATCTCTCCTTTCTCTAAAAGGCCTTAGCTCATATTTAAGAGGATGATACAAACTCTGACGAAGTTGTTCGTATTTAATTTTTCTTTCTCTGTTGATAAGAATATAATCTATAAATTAAACTCTCCTCCGTGATCAGAACTAAAGCTAACAACTGTACAATTTTAAAGTCAGTGAGGCAGGATCATGAAATAAAACCTTTTAAATTTGAGACAAACATAAAAGAGTACAAATAAATGTTTTGTAAAGGTTTAACTAACCCAATAATAACAGTCCAGTTTTCTCATAAAAACACAGGATAATCAAAGTGTAAACATTTTTAAATAAAATTAAATTTCACCTCATAAATCAAGAAAAAAGTACAGAAAAAGCGCCACATATTCATTAATGTCCCACAAATCAGTTCAATAAATTTGCTGATATTCCCAGAGTTCCTTGTGTCTTACCCGTCGTCTGAAGGAGCGGTGGTTCAGCTCTGCTGGTGGAGAAGACTGGATGGTCTCTGCTCTGTGGTTTGTCTATTTGTTCCTCTCTCTGATCTTTGGACTTTTTTTATGACCACCAAGATTTCTCGCGGCATGAAACCCTCTTAGCCTCCTGACAGTAACAGCTGGCATCTTTCCAGGAGGGTAAAAGGCGTTTTATTTTATAGCAGAGATAAATGTCAGAGTGACGCACATAGACTGACACTGCTGAGGAGTAGCAGTATCTATAGACTTTCCAGTAAACAGTTTATTTCACAGAATGGATATAGCTGGAAATTACAGCATATTGGAGGTATAACTGAAAAATTAAATAGTTCATGTTCCTCATGTGCTTTCTTAAACCTAAAACTGAAACTGACCTCCTGTAAACTAACAGTAAAGTCAAAGTGTAGGCCAAAAGATTAGCAGGACAAGGTTTGAAAGAAAAGGGAAAAATGCCAGATAATTGAATGTAACACATCATTTTAGAAAAGTTAAGCCAGTGATTAGCTGTGAGTTTATTTTATCAGTCTGAACTTTGTTTTATTAATAAAAGGGAACACAGTTATGTCAAAGTGTTTTTCAAGTTGGTCTAAAAACTTTTTTTTTTTAGATTTAAATTTGAATTTCTTGTTTTTTGTTTTGTAGCTAAATTATTGAATTTTCAGGTTTTTTTATTGTTTTTGTTTTGTAGCTAAATTATTGAATTTTCAGGTTGTTTTTTTTTGTTTGTTTTGTAGCTAAATTATTGAATTTTCAGGGTTTTTTTTGTTTTGTAGCTAAATTATTGAATTTTCAGGGTTTTTTTCTGTTTTGTTGCTAAATGATTGAATTTTTAGTTTTTTGAATTTTGTAGCTAAATTATTGAATTTTCAGGGTTTTTTGTTTTTGATTGTTTTTGTTTTGTAGCTAAATTATTGAATTATTATTTTGTTTCTCAATTATTGAATTTTCAGTTTCGAGGTCACCCCTATGCAATCCTGCTGACTTTCACTGCTGTGAAACACTGACCTTTTTACATACATTCAACTGCTGTTGAAGTAAAAGTCCTACCTTTAAAACCTGAGGTATAGAGAGGCGTGGTCACCCTTACCCTGTATATGACTGTTAATGAATGATTATGTAAGCGTGTAACGCCTCTCATAAATGTATGGCAGTGTAATGTCTAAATAATAAAACCCAAGTTTACATAAGAGCACATTAGTGTGGCAGACCTCTAATCGCTGTGACAGGTCTTATTCATGTAGCCATGGCAACAAAGGAGACAAAGCAGACAGAAGACACAACTCATAAGAAGCAGTTTCAGGTTTATTTTTTTCATGCAGGCAAATCTGTGACACTAAAACAAATGTTAAAAAAAAAACTTTAAGACCTTTTTTTAGGCTCCAAATATCAGTAACATCTCAGTAGTTCACTCTTTGTTTGTATATAAAAGTTACACCTTTTATTTTAAGCTTCTGACAGTACCTACAAATATGTACATGTAAGTCGATGCATATAAAAAAATCTGTTTTATTATCAGAAGCAGTGTCGCGGATATTTAGCGGGCCCTCTAGTGCAGCGTTTGTCAAATAAATCCACTGAAACTTTTAGTTCCAGTTCTTAAAAAACTGCTTGAAGATGATCGTCTCCTTCCCCTGCGGCAAGATCTCCACCTGCAGCACAAACACACAAACACAGTCGTTAATGTAATTTTGCTTAATATAAATCATTGAGCAGGTACTGTAGGGTAACTATATATTAGTACATCAGTATTGTTTGGGGTTTTAAAATGTTCATTCCAAGTAAGAGGAATGTTCGGTACCTGAGTTTTCATCCTGTTGTACTGCATTTGGTCGATGAAGTTATCCGCCATCTGCAGCGCCACCTGCTTCTCCTCAGCATTTGCTCCGTTACCTGAAAGTTGATAAATGGATTATATTAGCATCAGCAATTTAGTAAACTAAAGGTACGTTGAGTTTGATCTTCAAAAAGGGTTTCAGTGTGTCGCCATGGAACAGGAAGTTGTCCTAACTCCTTTACACAAGGTTCATTCTAACCCAAATTCCCCTGTCGGATCATGGTTAACCCCAGACTAATTTTCACACATAGTCTAAAGTAAAACTGCATATTTCCTTTGTGAGCATTAAAGGCGTTAGAGCCCGACCTTTCCAGACAAAGATTTTCCCGTTGGCCCCGTTGTCCAGAATAAAGCAGTCGTCTCGCACCAGCAGCTCTTTGTCGAACGGGCTCTTTCCTGACACTTTGGTTGTCGACATAGATCCTGTTGCATCTGACACCTGTGGAGGACGTACACGTTTGTTTTATCCTTTATTATTAATAGGGTTTGAGAATTAAAAAACAAGAGGAGTTATTAAGGCTGACCTTAAACAGGGAGGCTGAGTTTGATGCGTCTGCCTTGGTGTCCTCCTCCGTGCTCTCCGGTAGCTCGGGCATCTTACCCAGGACCTACAGAGACACAACACAAACACCATGAAATTAGCTTTCTCTACAGTCCCTTGATTTATTTTTATTTTTTTTGTAGCTAGCAAAAAAAGTTCAGAATTATGTATTAGTGTTGTAGTCAGGACCGCACCAACCGAGACCAAGACATGACCGAGACCAGAGAGGACCGAGACCGAGACAAGACCAATGAAAATGCCTTCGATTCCGTGATGACACCAAGACCCTCAAGACTGATCTGGAGTACTACAACACTATTATGTATTATGTGTCAGTCTGTGCCTACCTTCAGCATCTCCTCTGGCTCCTCCCCTTCGTTCGTGTCCATGATTTTTGCTTTTCCGTGTCTGTCCGTGTCACGAATCAGTGAAGCGATCTCGCGCACTTTCTGCTTCTCGAAGATGTTGGCCTGCGACCCGATCCAGGACACGATGGTCTGCAGAGTGAAATCACATCATTGGTAAAACCATCACTTTGATTGGAAAGTAGTTGAAGGTTTTTTGGGGGTTCAGATCTCTCACGCTCACCTCGCCCAGGTCGAGGATGAAGCAGTCTCCCTTGTTGAAGCTGCTCCAGGACAGCTCCACCTCCTTGGCACGGATGTTGCGTTTCCCTTTGACCTGGTACAACCTCTGAATGGTACCGCTGCCTTGAGGCCTCCTGAAGCCGGACTCCACTCCTCCCTCCTGAAAGCACATTGTAGTTTTTCTTTTTTTACTGTTTTATGTTTATTGTTTGTTATTCTGCCCGGAAAGGTCACCGAGGTTTGAGATTGAACTTCCCGGTTTGTTTTAACAAGCTCTGGTCGGCACATGTGCAAACAGGGTGGTGACATGATGGTACTTTGTCACAGAGGCAATATCATCCAGCTAAACCACAGAAAACATGCAGGGGTTTTGCAAAGCTGTAACAGGAAGTGGTGAAATCTTCTTGTATGATATGGACAAATCTCAAGATCCTATCAGTATACTTTGACGGCATCACATGAACAAGATGGAAAATGAGAACTGAGCTTGAGAACTTTCTTTACACTCATAGTCAGGTGTGTCTCCTCCTCACCTTGTAGCTGACTCCTCTGGGAAACAAAGTCATGAACTCCATGGACTCGTAGCCCTGAACCTCTCGGTGCTGAATCGGTTCACCACCCAGGTAGTTGTCCAACTGCGTGCCAAGCATGGCGCACGCCACCCGCTCGTCTCTTGATGACTTCTCACCTACAATACAGAAAGGAGGTCAGAATTTCTGAATTTTGTAGGACTAAACACGCATGTTGGTGCGATACAGTTATCATACTGCCGGTGCAAAATGATAATCTTTAAATTAGCAGCATGTGGGGCTCCAAAAAGGTTAAGATGTCCGATATTAAATGACAAAACAAGCTGCTGATAAGAGGTCATAGGTCAGTCGAACAAAAGCAGAAACAAGGATAACCCACACTAATCAGGTGGAGGAGGGAGTGAGGCCTGGAGGTGATACATGCGTGAGCACAGAGAGCTCTCTCCACGCTGTGACAATCAGCTTAGTGTTACCTAAGAGCCGGATACATGCTGGAAACAACAGCCACATTTGAGTACTGTAACAGCCCTCCTGTATTTTTAATGAGCCGTGCTCAAAAACCATCCCAGTTTCCCTCCGGACCTCTCTTCCCCTGTGCTCATCCCCTCCACTCCTCTCCGCCTGATCTCACTCTCTAAACAATGATGCAGCAGGTCAGCCCTGAGTCTCGTGTGTCGTCAACATTAGAGGGCTCGTCTCTTTAAGTTTTAACCACATACTGCTGTTAAATAGGTCTTAACACAGACTCTGTTTGATGTTGTTGTGTTTTTAGTTTTGTAGTGCATACATGTCAGACTAATAAATGAAGGAGACTCTATTTTGATTTTCTACTCAGTTACCTTGTTTGTGACCAGGAAGGAGAAAAGAGGCACTGCTTTATCCTTGAGGGGGCGCCAAAATCAACACAAACTTGATGTTTCTTCCTGAAGCTTCAAAGGGATATTCAACCAAAACGCCACTCTATAGCCACAAATAATGCTCAGAACAGCACCTAACTTCATCAACAGTACATATAGGGTCCCAGCCATAGTCCAAGCCAGGCCAGTCCATCGACTGCAGCGGAGTTTCGCAGCTCAAGGAAGAACATTTATGATCATTTCCTCATGGAAATGCAATCAGACCGAGACGCTAAGGCAGAAGAACTACCGCATTTGACATGCAAAATGATTAATATGGTGATTATTATTTCAAGGAAATGATAAAGAAATGATCATAAATGTTCTTCCTTGAGCTGCGTCACCCCGCTGCAGTCAATTGACTCGCCCAGAGGTCTCCGTACAAACAAGGGGCTGCTGAAAGAGAGAAGGTGAGTTGTGTTTAGTCTCTTTGCTGAAGAAATCAGGCAAAGCTAAAAAGATGTTAGGTGCTGTTCTGAGCATTATTTGTGGCTATAGAGTGGTGGTTTGGTTGAGTACGTAGCTCTCTGAATTGCTATCATTACTAAAGTTGGTATAACTAGAGAAGCAAGCGGTCGGCAACATTTATCTCTCGACAGGGTGTCTAACTCAGTGTTACGGTGTGTTTGACCCTAACTTAATATTACGCCGGAATATCCCTTTAATGATGAATCTACAGAGGACTTAAAGCTCATGTTAGGAGTTTTTATGAATTAGACTAAAACTCTCATTGATGTTTTTTCATGAATCAACTCATTTTAGCTTAAAAAAGAAGACCACCATAGTGTTTCTCATCTTTCTTACCTAACCACATGTGAATATTGACTAGTCCTGGACCCCGGTTATCCAGAACCAGGTAAGAGTCCCCGTTATAAAACGCTCCAACTTCAGAGGAATCCAGCAGCACCGCCTTCATCTTCTCCACCCTCCACACTCGGAGGCCCTGCTCTCGGATCTCGGGACTGAACTGACCCGGAGCCGCTTTGAATGGAAGCATACTGTGGAGAGATGAGAGGGAAATTAGTGCGGTCAAGAAAATGGTCTGCTGCAGAAGAGGAACACTGTGGCTTAAAGAGGAAGTTTGAATGAATGGAGACAAATGTTTCTTGTTTCAGTTCGAGTAAGAGGGTGGAAAAGCAAATCCTAAAGTTCGGACAACTTCTCATCCTTCTCGCTGAAAGAGTTGGATTCCTACAAAGCACTTTGAGGAAAATGATTTTAACTCCAATGACAAACCGGGGTCTCTTTAAGAAAGGCAGAGTTGTTAATGTGATGACTGTAATTACACTCATCCTTTACTCAAATGAAGGGTTGTGTTGCTGCGACCACGGGCTACATGACATCACTTTTATGCAACACAACACCGAGCAGGCCGCGCTGACACAACACCAGTGTCGCTGCTCAGAACCAGGCGTTGTAACAAGCATGCTGGATCATGTCACAGGTGGGGATGAGCCAAGTTGAGTCACTCTGGTGGACAACTCTCTCTATCTTGTAGATCTTACATCCTGTCACTCAGGAAGGAGAAAAAAAGAGAGTGGTTTTGAAAAACAAGCGTGTCAGCTAACCGCACCATCCTGTCGTCTTTAATTCTGCTTGGTTTATTTTTTGCCGAAGTGAGAGACGGTCAGGTATAGATAGAAAGGCAGCTGCCACCTACATTTACCTCTTTCTCAATTACTGTCACACAGTATTGTGATGTGATGACATTTTTATCATTCTATAATATGACATTTGTATCATACTATACTATGACATATTTATCATGAGATTCTGACATTTTTATCATACTATACTATGACCATTTTTAAATCATACTATACTATGATATTTTTATCATACTATACCGTGACATTTTGATCATACTATACCATTGCATTTTTATCATACTATACCATTGCATTTTTATCATACTATACTATGACCATTTTTAAATCATACTATACTATGATTTTTTTTTTTATCATACTATACTATGAAATTTTTTCTTATCATACTATCCTATGACTTTTTTATTTTTTATCAAACTATACTAACACCAATGGCGTCTTTGCATTAGGAGCCGTCCCCACCAGAGTGCACTGCTGTGCAGGAGAGGATTTTAAGCTTTTTTTAATTAAGTTTATCTGTGTCAAAAACGTCGCTGAGCATAACTTAATAAAAACTCACTTTGTCCACACTTAGATGTCTGCAGTTTTCATTAGATAAACGCAACGTCTTTACCTTCTGTGGTGCCGTTGTGTGCGAGAAGTTCATTGTGCCTCTGTTTCCGCTCGGTAGGGAACCGGCAAGATGGCGAACGGCTGCGCGTGCCTGCGCGTGTGCAGCGCACACTTAAATGTCTGCAGTTGGGCCTGAAGTTCAGGACCCCAGAGCGCCCCTCGTTGGCTGATTAGAGGAAAGAGTGTAAACTGAACAGGTCTCGCTAGCTCGGCTACCGTAGTAACACAACAATTGACATTTTTCACTAATGCACCGGATTATCGTGGGTCACAGAGAAGTTTGCGGACATGGAGGACCGCAGAGCGTCATTCCTCTTCAAAACATGATCCACATTGGTGAGTGTATTGTTCTACGTGGAATTTATATTGTAGTTTACATGTTGTTTGAATGAAAGTGGAATTTAGGTAATGCGTAACTGGCGATACGTGTGTGGTGGACACAACCTCTTGTGGGCTTCCCAAGGGAGCTGTTCACCTGTCTATGGTGTGTATTAGGTGTGCGCTGTTCACGCCATTGTCACGTTGTTTCGATCTTGAGTATTATTTGTTGTAAGGTCTTAAACACTGCCATTAGGTGGCGCTATTATGATGATATATGTCGCCAGATTGACATTTATTGTGTAATGGTTTTATTCAGCTGCAGTTTTATCATCAAAGGTGCTGTGGTCCCTTATCTCACTTTTTTGCTGTGTTTTTGTTGTGAGTGTATGAGAATAATATCTGGTAATTCCGGATTGCATTATGAGGTTTTACTATGACATTTTATCATAATATACTATGACATTTTTATCATACTATACTATGACATTTTTATCAAACTATGTTATGACATTTTTTATCAAACTATACTATGACATTTTTTATCATTCTATACTATGACATTTTTTATCATACTATACTATATTATTATCAAACTGTACTATGATTTTTTATCATAGATTATTATGACATTTTTATCATATTTTTCTATGACACTTTTATCATACTATATGATGACATTTTTATCATTCTATATTATGATTTTTTTATCATGCTACATTTTTGTCATACTACAATGACTTATTTATCACACTATGCTAGGACACTTTTTATCATACTATAACATAACAATATTATCATACTATACCGTGACAGTTTATCATACTGTACTATATTTTTATCAAACTATATAATGAAATTTTTATCATACTATAATATGACATTTTGATCAAACTATACTGTGTCAGTTTATCATACTATACTATGATATTGGTATTATACAATACTATGACATTTTTACATCCTATACAATGACCTTTTTTAGCATACTATGCTTTGACATCTTTTTATCCTTCTCTACTGTGACATTTTTATCGTACTTTACAATGACCTTTTTTAACATTTTATACTATGACATTTTTTTATCTTACAATACTACCACAGTATACTATACCATGATATTTTTATCACGCTATACCATGATATTTTTATCACGCTATACTATGATATTTTTTCAAACTGTTGGAACTTTTATCATATGATACTTGTTGCTCACTGAATGAATAAATTTGGTCATATTTTAACCCAGCTATCCCTACCCACTGACAGTCTTATGCTCCCAGATAATCAGAAGGTTTTTCCTCGTGGTCACACATGATATGGTTCTTATCAAACTCACATTGATGATCATGAAATTGCCTGGAACGATGATTCAGTACATCTTTATGATTGGTTGTGGTGTTGGCAAATAAAACCCTGACAGTGTTACACGCCCAGATAGGTATTAAATAAACATCAACATAAGTGACGCTTTTATTGCACTTACTCAGAAGACTGTAATACATGAGTAAGCAGTCTGTGTTTCACTGCTGCAGAGACTCTAAGCAACAGCCAAAGATAATAAAGCAGGAGTAAATAACTAACAAAAAGCCACTGAGGAGGTTTATGCAACATGTAACGCCTTGCTGCAAACTCTCCCATATCCTGTGTTAAAATTCGCCCATGAGGCGGCAGAAAAAGCAGAAACTTTTAGCGCTATTTGTCAGCACAACTCGAGGTCATCTGCAGCTCCGCCCCTTTTTTTTTTTCATGTTTCAGTTTCGAGCATGGTTTTTCAACCTGCTTCCCCCTAGTTATCTTATACCACCTCTCCATTGTTTTTAGCCATCCATGATCAAATAACAGCTTCTAAACGGAGCCAAAAGCCTCATCCAGAGGTTAAAACATGAGGTCTGATGTATCAAAGTTATAAAAAGGGAGGGAAGAAGAGGAGAGGACGTAAGGGAGCAAGGAGAGAGGGCCTGAGGAGGCTGATGCAGGGGCCCCAAGGTTAAAGTTACAATGCTTAGACAGCAGTTTAAAGTTTAGGTAAGGACGCAGAGAAGAAGAGGCCTGATCCACTTAACTGTATGATCTCCATCGGTGCCTCCGGCATGCTGTCTGACTCCTGCTCCATTCTGCGTGTCCACTGAAGTGTGTGTGTGAGTGTGTGTGAGGTTGTAAGGGATCGAGAGGTCTGGCGAAGGAGGAGTGTTTGCGTTCACCTGGCCTGGTTAGCTTATATGTGGGACGTAACTGGAGCCGGGTGTGATGAAAGCCTACCTGCGGCCTGTTGGGGGGTAAGAGTCGGGTTCCTGGTTCCTGGCTAAAGCTAAACACCAAGAGGATAATTACGGGGAGAGCAAGCTGCTGGCTGCTCCATCTTTCCACTCCTCTACACCTCTTCTAACTCCAGCTCCTCCTTTTGTTTTAGCCTAACCTCCTTTTGCACAAAGGGCAACCAAGACGGCAACAGATAAATGAAAGTCCAGGTGAAGCAGGGGCGCGTCTAAGAAATGTAGGTACCTGAACATGCCCAGGAAGACACCCATGACCCTATCCTGAACAGAGGAGCTGTTCTTCTCTGTGGTCTCTCAGTGAGCCTTAAAACCAGCATTGTGCAACTAAGTTCAGCTTGCAGATACTTCCTCAACACAGAAGCCTACAAGCTTTTGAACAATAGCTATAAAGGTCAATGGAATCACAATTTCACTAAGGCTGTAAAAAACTATTTCAAAAACATGAATATTCATTTAATGCCATTGACCCTCCAAAGCCTACGTACATTTCCCCTCCAGGACCAGGTATAATTTACTTCTATAAGTCACATAGAGGCGTCAGTATCAGTTGAAGCTGGTTCTCAACCACTTAAAAACTCCCCATTGTGCCTTTAGTTCATTTTTTTTGCGCTAAAAGAAGGGATGTGACGTCAAGCTTGACAAATATGGAGTCCTGTCGTGTTTATCACTGATTTAGAAGAGTTAAGGTCCTTTCACACCGGAACTGTTTTTGTCATGCGATTATTTCGGATGTCAATATTTTTTTTCAGATTCACCGGTATATCCAACATGGCCGACCGGCTGATTGTTTACGTGTCGGAGAACAGAGTGCTTTTTGATAAAAAACACAAATATTACAAAGATAACGACCTGAAGGACAACATGGCGTCAGATCTCTCATATGACGATGTTTGTGTGCTTTAACAGTTTGCTAAACGTCTTTGTTTTAACTTTCATCTGTGCTAATGTAAGCTAACAGTTGTTATTATAGTTTCATGTGCTTATCTTATCACCTCTGATTGGCTATAAGTGCTGACTGTTTGGCTTGAGCATGTGATGACATTTCCAGCTTTTCTAGCCAATCGGAGATGAAGGAGGCGGGACTTTCCCTGGGAAAAGTCTTCCCCGGGATGCGTCCATTCCCCCCCCGGAAAGTCGCAAAATTGCATCGGGCTTGATGTGTACAGTCAGGCCCGTCAAAATTCACTTCCGAGTATATAATACCAGAGCAGATTGATATTGGCTTCACTTTTTGCAGAGAAACGTGCCTGTCGTCCATATTAGTCATTGTAAAGTTAATGTCCCAACCTAATATGTAAATCAATATACATAAATTTAATCGTGACACTTTCCTCTTTGACTTATAAAGACAGAAAGTTACCCTCTTGGCCTTGGTGCGAGACGAATATCCAAAAGAGAGAGAGAGACAGAGAGACAGAGAGGCAGAGTGGACAGAGGAGTTCAGGTGGAGACATGGGGTCACAGACGCCCTACACAGGTCACCGACTCCATCAGTCATTTGTGTGATGATAACCAGATAGAAATATGAGAGGAGACAATATGCAGGCGGTGCAGAGAGATCTGAGGAAGATCTGTCATCTGAGGGTGGGTGTAACCAAGAAAGACTGATCCACCAGACAAACAAAGTGGAGTAAAAACAGTAATGTGATACAAAACTATGATTAAATAAAACCTTTCAACCTTTATAGGCGTGGTTCTTGTCAAAACCATATCATTAGATCTGGGTCTGGCACCACTTCAAAACCACACCCTTACTTTAAGGAAGTTGTAAATAAATAAGATCAGGATAAAGTGTAGGAAGTAAGACAGGGACAGACAGGGAAGTCAGACCAAAGGTGGGACTTTTCCCATTGTAGGAAATGAAACCCAGTATGAGAGCAGACTGAATGAGAAAATGGATGTCAAACAGGCACAAGTTGTACCAAGACAGACTTTAGATTCATTGTCCTGATATGAAATTCCTCTTGTGATTTCAGGAGCAGGAATGCAATTTTGAGAGCATGCCGGGAAAGAGGTGGGAGGAAGGAACAATAGAAAAGAATCCAGAATCCTAGACTTCGTGAGGAAAACGGCTTTAAGAAGCAGAACAAATGCAAATTTTACAAACTTACCTTGAGGAGTGAGTTAGCGATGGGGCGCAACACGTCTGAGCAGAGAAAGAAAGAAAGAGAGGGAGAAGTCATGCAAGGAGGAACACGTCCCTAAATACATAACCCCCCCTCTTTCACAACCACACACTCACTCACACACACGATATTTCCTGCCTGTGACTGTGCAGACTCAGCCCAGCCCCCTGACTGAAACACAAAAGAGGCAAAAACTAGCGGAAACTTGATTGAATCAGGACTCTGAGTGGAGTTCAGACACAGAAACTGGGCCTTTCATTTACAAACACTGCCCATCTGAGAGGTGAGACTCGTTTTTGTAATCAGGATTTACAGACTTTTGATTAAAGTCTTTTCAAAAACACCAAAAAGTGATGCAAAAAAAAGGCAATATTTAGTTTTCAAAGTTGCAGTATAGTGTTGAAATTATACCACCTTGTGTTTAAAACCTTTTGATTTTGATTGAGGTCACTTTGATGCAAACAATCATGATGATACTCGTCCAAGCAGAGGACTGAATTCAAGATGGATTACTGGAATTTAATATGATGTAACTTTGACGTAGGTCAAACAAAACACTTTTTATTTTTGCACTTTGGATTCTAGTGACCGCGGTGGCATAAGAAGCAGAATTGACGGGAAGATTGTCAAGTTAAATCCTTTTAGTTTCACTTTGTACTGTTGTGTCTTTAGAGCCACATAATCTGGATTTGGTAATCCACAGAAGTCTTGATCAGGTTGATCCAAATTAATTTTCAAATTAACTTAAATTTAAAAAAAGTTATTAGAATCCTGGATAGCAAAAAAAAGTGGGTTTCAAAATCCAGGTTATGAACCTTCTGAGCAACTAGGGCCAAGGTCTCTATAGTGATAAATATCACCATAGCAACCAGTCCAAACACTGTTATTAGTCACAGAAGGATTCCCCCTCCGATACACGCCTATATGTGTAGGAATGCCGTGGAGGCATACGTGGTTACGAAAGTCCAGTGCAGGAGTCAGACAAAGACCATGAGTCATCATTTCCAGGTGAAGATTACAGCTGTTATCTCGCTCAAGGTGTGAACACGTAAAGGTACGAGTCGTAAAAAATGAACCGTTTGACTTTGCTTTTTCATTTTTGTCTCTTCAGGTTCTTCAAATATCAAAATAAATCATTTAAAGATTTCAATTTTTGATATTTAGAAAAAAGTATTTCATTATACAACATTTAATAAACCATGTGCTGAATGATAAAAGCATATCATAGATTGTACTGGTTTATCTAAGTAAAGAGGTCATGATTGAATTTGTCTGACTTCCTCTCTGTTCAGATTATCACAGCAGTTTAAGCCTCCAGTCTTCGTGCGTCTGTAGTTGAGACTCTCTTGGAGAGTCCTATCTCCATCTAGTGGCCAAAGATGGAAACAAAGAGATAGTTTGTTACCTGCTGGAGAGTAAGTAGAACAGGTGATTGACTAACAATTAAGGACACTAAATCTCAAACTGATTCAAACAAAAAGGCTTGAAATAGTTTACCTTGAAAGTTTAACTTTTTGAATTAAATTCGGGGAAAAATAAACTTTCTATGGATTTTCTCAGGCTACGTTCACACTGCAGGTTATGATGCACAATTCGGATTTTTTGTTAAATCCGATCTTTTTGTGCGGTCGTTCACATTACAACAACAAATGCGGCATCTAATGTGAACGGAATGCGTCTGCGAAGTGACCCGCATGGACACAAAGCACAAATTGCTTTCCGCGCCTGTTTGTGTTGTCAAACAATGGTGACATTTGTCGCATTTTGATGACGTATAGGTCGGATAAACGCGACCTGATTGCCACACTGCAGTCACATAGGATACATATCCGATTTATATCCACACTTAAGGTCCTTACACACTGGGACCGTTTTTGTCGGGCGATTATTTCGCACGTCAATATTTTTTTCGAAACCCGTATTCTGTCAGTACAAGCGTTCACATCAGCGACGTTTTCCCGTTCTGCGATATTGCGGCATTTATTTTTTCGGATCATGGTTGATTTTTCTTAAGTTTTCTAAATTTTTCTAAAATTCGCCTCAGCATATTTCGTTATTTCCATTTGTGTCGGCCCCCGGCGTGTAAGGACCTTTACATGAAAAAATCATTTATGTGTCACATATGGTTAAAAAAATCGGAATTGACCTGCAGTGTGAACACGACCTCAGATTTTTAGCTGCACCTGTACTTTATGCAGCTTGGCTATGTTAGTTTGGTTGCTAACATTACAAGGTACATTACAACGTTACAAGACAGACAGAGCCGTCATGTTATAGTAAAACTTTTATTCATTTTTTTCCAAGTCAAAAAACAAACAGAACAGAGATACAGAGAATGAGATAATGAATCCATTTCTATACAGTGGCAATTTCAAGTCGAACCTTCCTGTGCCCAGACATGTGAAGTCTTTCCTCAGCTTGTTAACCCTGTCTCGCCCTCTCTCGGACACACACTTCCTTCAACACGCGCACATTCACACCACCTGGGAGTCCTTGTAGTTTTTCTTTTTTCCTTTTTGAACCGACTGGACAGCACGCGGTTAAGACAACAGGATCGATGCAAGCCTAGTGGACAGAATATCACATGTCTGGGGCTTGTGTCCACCACAATATTTACTAAGTGCATTCACCAAAAACCTGCGTTATCTCAAAGGCAAGAGGATGAAGTCCGATCAAATCAGGAGAATATTGGAAGCAAACGTGTATTTATATCCTCGCAGGACTCCCAGTCAAGTCAAATACTCTCCCCGCCCTCCCTATGATTCCCCTCGTCGTCACAGGTACATACACTTGTAGAAAAAACAAACACTGATTTGAAATGAGGGTCATTGTGGCTGAAGAGGGAGGAGGAAGGGGCTTTAAATTCAGAAACAGAGTCTTACGACTAGAACGAGGAGGGAGAGAAATTATGATTCAGTTCGTCTTAACTGATTCCCTTAAATAGTCAAACTAGTCACGAGAGAAAGCACCCATATATTTGAAAGAAAGTCACACTAATGTAGTGGGTAAGTTGTTATTTTTAGCAGATATTCTTAAATAAACGCAGTAAATTTAAGAATCGCTGCTCAAAAGAAAGAAATTAACTTCTGTCATGAAAACTCGAAGAGCTGAGCTGAGGACTGAATATTTCGAACCCTTCACTGAAGCAGCGGCATGCAACAATGTGTACACTGTAAATGTAGAGAGAGCGAGCGCCAGTTTTGGATTAACTTCACTATTTAGGAGAAAATGAGACTGAGCACTCTCCTCCGTCCTCTGCCTCTTCATCCACAGCTCATGAACATAAACCTCCTCAGACAGCTTCACAAAGTCACCAGAAGCAAACCAGAGAAAAGCAAAAAAAAAAGAAAATAAAAATGAAAAAGAAAATTAAGATCTCAATTTTTCTCTATGTATATTCACACAGAATAGCAGTTAACATTTCCTTAAATAAACCGAACAGTCCAAATAAACCTGTGTACACGTCAGCTATCAGAAATGGGGCGAAGATTAGCGACAAGTGGGAGGGATTTGAAAATCGTTCAACCTAAAGCTTGATTAAATGTATTAACATGTGCTACTCATGCAAACAATGACAAAAGCAGCGACACCAAACTAGAATCCCTCATCCACATGTGCCCGATTTCCTCCAAGAATCAAACTCAAAGAGGGAATAATCCTCTTGATTATTTCCGTTCAATATAAATCTTTTTATTCCCATTGCAAAGGGAAGAGTTTCATCTGGAAAAGTGTTTTTGTTTTTTTTTCTCCTTTTGATGCACAAGTTTGCAAAAATGGTAGAGGACAAGAGGATGCTGGTGGGTGTTTTTTTTTTTCATGACATCTTTAAGAGTTTTTTGTCTTTGGGGTGTGAAGGAGAAAGAGGGGAAGGCGATGGGCACACACCTAAGGATTCGTTGATGTTGAAAGAGTGACATTTTCCTTCGTGCAAGCCAGTTTCTCTCTCCTATCGACATTCGTCATTTCCCTCCTAAACTCTGACATCTGCGTCTTTGATCCACGAAACGCCCCCTCTCCCCCTGAACTGGCAGCAACTGTAGTTTTTTTTTCTTTTTTTACAAAAGCAGCAAAAGGTCTAACAAGATACACCTTGGTGAAGTATGCAGTAAACAAAGTCTAAACCTTAACTCCTTGATTTTCTTTAGTGATGAATACAATCCACTTCTCAAAAAGGCTTTTGGCAATATGTACGCTTTTCCACGACTACACACCCGACGGTTAGAGAATGAGAGAGAGACTGGATGCAGTACACTGTAAAGTTAAAAAGGGACATTTTCTCCCCTGTCATGTGTTCACCACATCTTCCTCTCCTTTTAGTTCCCCTCATTGGGATTTGCAGTTTTTTCCTCTAACACCCCGTGTGAAAATAAAAAACTATTTCAAAAGGCAGCCTTTTTTTTTTCCTTCAGGCGAAGCAGTTCAAGTTCTTTCACATAAAGTAGCTTTAACAACTTCTTAGAGAAGATGGAGGGCTCAGATGGTCGACACTGGAGAGCATGGCAGAAGTCCCAGAGGAGAAAGAAAAATCAATTGGGACCCCCCTTTTTTTTGGGTGGAAGCACCGCCACCTCCAGCTGGATAAAAGGCGCTGTCCTTCAAATGAGGTGACGGGGTTTCTTTAGCCGCCTCCCCTTCTCCTTCGCCGTGGCTCTTCAGTTGTTTTCCTCGTCGCTGTCGTCAGGGCTGATGGCCGGGCTGTATGTGGGGGAGGTGGGGCTGTATCCAGGTGAGGTGGGGCTGTACGTGGAGCCTTTAGGACTAGTCGGCGAGTAAGTAGGAGATGTGGGAGAGTATTTGGGTGAAGTTGGGGAGTAAGTAGGCGAAGTAGGGGAGTATTTGGGGCTGGTTGGGGTGTAGGTAGGAGAGGTGGGGGAGTAGGTAGGAGAGGTGGGGCTGTACTTTGGAGTCGTTGGGGAGTATGTAGGAGAAGTCGGGGAGTACTTCGGTGATGTAGGGGAGTACTTTGGTGAAGTAGGAGAGTATTTTGGAGAGGTGGGAGTGTACTCCGGAGAGCTGGGGCTGTACGAGGGGGAAGTCGGGGTGTATTTGGGGGAGGTGGGGGAGTAGGAAGGAGAGCTGGGGCTGTATGAAGGCGAGCTGGGTGTGTAGGTGGGTGACTGCGGCGTGTAACGTGGACTGGAGGGTGAGTATGATGGAGAGGTGGGGGAGTAAGAGGGAGAGGTGGGGGAGTAGTTGGGGCTGGTTGGGGTGTAGTTGGGGGAGGTTGGGGAGTAAGAAGGCGATGTTGGCGAGTAAGAGGGAGAGGTGGGGGAGTAGCTGGGGGAGGTGGGGGTGTAGTTTGGTGATGTTGGGCTGTAGCTCGGAGAAGTGGGCGAGTAGGAAGGAGAAGTTGGAGAGTAGGATGGGGAGGTGGGGGAGTATGATGGAGATGTCGGTGAATAAGACGGAGAGGTGGGTGAGTAAGAAGGTGAAGTGGGTGAGTAACTGGGTGATGTCGGGCTATAGCTGGGCGATGTTGGGCTGTAGCTCGGTGAAGTGGGGGAGTAAGATGGAGATGTGGGTGAGTAAGACGGAGAGGTGGGAGAGTAAGATGGAGACGTCGGAGAATAAGACGGAGAAGTCGGCGAGTACGACGGGGAGGTGGGAGAATAGCTCGGCGAGGTGGGCGAGTAGGAGGGAGATGTGGGGCTGTAGTTGGGGCTGGTGGGGGAGTAGGAGGGAGAAGTGGGGGAGTAGGATGGAGACGTTGGAGAGTATCCAGGACTTTGAGGGGTGTAGCCTCCTGGAGAGCGTGGCTCGTAGGCAGGAGAGGTAGGGGAGTAGTTTGGTGACATAGCTCCACCTAAAAAGTGAAAAACAAAACAGCAATTTAGGGTGAGAAAGACTTAGGGAGTCCCTCAGGGATCCACTTTAGGACATCTGTTTTTTTTTTCTTTTTGTTCAACTGTTTGCAAAACTGTATTTAACAAAGTCTTCCCTTATATTTACCAAAACTTAAAGCAGAGTTTTTGATGTAATAGATCAATTTATGAACGAGTTTAAAGGCTGAAAACATTTAGGGCCTATGTCCACGAACTTCTGATTACAACTTTGTCAACAAAAATGGTGAAGAAAAAACAAAAAGATTTCTTCAGTGTCTAACCTGGAGATGGGATGTACGGGCTTGCAGGTCCTGGAGATCCCGGGGAACCAGGAGTGGGAGACCAGGCCGGGGAGTAACCAGGGGAGAAACCACTTGCATCTGAAGCTGCACTGGGAGAGAACCCTGCTGCTCCGGGGGTCATGCCGCTTCCTGGAAGGAGAAAGAAAGAAAGAAAAAAAAAAAAAAAAAAGGTCAGTGAGTCACGCTTAAACAGAAACAAATGACCCAAAGCATCTTGGGTTAACGCTCACCAACACTAGGAGACCAGGCGCCATAGGCTGGGGTCGCTCCTGTGTTCCAGGGGGTCATAGCAGGTGACATTCCACTCATGGGACTCGGTACCGTGCCAAAGAACATTCCCGTGGCTGTAAATAGGATACATACAGAACATAAATATAAAGCGCTCACGCTGTATCTGCAATCGAATCATCGTGACACTCAAACGTGTCTCCACTTACGTCCTGCCACGCTGATTCCAGGTATGTTCGTGGGGATCTCCATGCCGTATTTACACTTCTCAGCATCCAACAGCAGGTCAAAACAGCCTGTCCCGGCTGGAGCGAGCTGGCCAAGCATGATGTTCTCTGATACGCCTTTCATGGGGTCACTCTCACCATGGGACGATGCCTCCATCAGCACATCCACCTTGAGGAGGAAACACAAAAATTAAGCATCCAAATAAAAAAAGTTTGTTGTCTTGGTGACAGAGCCTGAAACTTCTGTTAACTGTCTTACCGTCTCCTCAAAGGAACACTTCATGAGCGGTCCTGTGTCTTGTCGGTTGATGCCGTGACGTGTGATGGCCATCAAGTGACCGCGGCACGTCATGGTGTCGCAAAGCAGAGCCAAGTGACGGTAGTTGACGTAGGAACCGTCGAAGGAGATGACGTGGTACAACTCCCTCTCCAGAGCCTTTCGCACAGCCTCAATCCCCAGGACCTTTTTTTTTTTAAAGATTTAAAGTATGTTTAAAAAAAATCTGCTGTGATGCAACAGTAATGAGAAAACTATTATCTCTGCTTTTATACCGTGAAGATCTCCACAATGTCGTTAGAGGTGGTCCTGACGGGGTCTACGTCTTTCTCGCTGAGCACCCTCATGAGGCTGACTCCGTCTGTCTCAAGGATCCACTCCTGCAGGGCCTTGAACTCTCCGTCCTCTGTGATGATGATCTTCTTCTTATTGTCAGTCTGGGGCAAGTGCATGTACACCTGGAAGAGAGAGGTGACGACTTTTTACTCGTACTCAGGATTTGAGCTTTTCAAAGAGATGTGGAGTGAACAGGACACTGGTGTTTGTTACCTTGCTGATCTGCTCGATGCCTTGTAGGGTCATGTCTGTCAGCATGTTGGACTCGATGCATCTCAAGAAGACATCATCGTCCATTTTGTCCACCACTTCTTCATCCTGCACCAGTAAATAACATTTTTTTGTGATTACTGTGGAAGTTTAAGACGGTTCCTTTGAAGATACTGTGAGTAAAGCCACCATCGCTGACCTCTTGGAACTTGTTCTCATCGCTGTTCATGATCCTGATCCGCAGCACCAGCTTCTCAGCGTTATCGTCATTGAAGATACAGTTCAGGTCGTCTCCGAAACCTTGCAGAAAAAACAGAGTCATTAGAGAAATAATCTCTCAATCTCTTTTTGAGATAAGTCTTAATGTTGCGAAACTTACCCGCGTTGATCTTCTCTGCGATCTGCTCCATGGTCAGTTTGCGATCAGTCATGTGTTTGCGATCAAGCTCAATGCGAAGCAGCCAGGGTGAGATGCGAGTCACGTCAAAGTCAGGCATCTCATAGTAGACGTTCACCCACTCCTGATCCTCGGCCACCACCGTGTTCTGAGGGTTGGGGTCGTAGTAGATGGCAGTGTTGGCTGTTACCTGTGGAGGAAAGGTTCTTCAGTCACTGATTTTCTATCTATAGTCGTGGGAGGAACGGCTCGTTTATCTTTGTTTTCCTCAAACCTTTCTTAGTGTAGTGTGCTCCAGTCTGCAGAGGATATCCTTGGCCCTCTCAGCGTCACGAGCAGCCTGACCCAGCAGGAAAACGGTCAGAGAGGGGGTTTTGGGCCTCTTGGAGATGTTGATCAACTCCTTCAGACGAGGCACACCCAGTGTTACGTTCTTGGCTGACACACCAGCGTAGTGGAAAGTGTTCAGGGTCATCTGAGTGGCGGGCTCTCCTAGAGACTGAGCAGCCAGGGCGCCGACCATTTCACCAGGGTGGGCCTGGAAATAAAGACGAATTTAGATTAAAACACAACAGAAAAAAAAGGTAGTTACAAAAATATCTTTCTGTAAACAAGGAAAGAGTTATCTTACGATGGATTGGTTGAATTTGGTCTCGATTTCTCCCAGCAGCCAGTCGAAAGCCTCTGTGGACAGCCGGAACTCCTCGGTCATACGTTTGGAGCAGAGCGTGGAACGCAGGTGGATGTTAAAGAGCAGGGTGGCGTTCTCCTGGGCCTGTCTGCTGAGTGGATCTTCGCCGTTCACAATCACTAGCTTCTTGCTCAGGTCGTGAACACCTTAAAAAAAAATCAAAAACGACCCCAAAGGTTGAAATCAACGCAACAAAGTTCTGATAAACAACTGTCTAACTGTCCAACAAAAACTGCACATTTTAGACCCACACAGTTAATGGACTCGTTCTGAATTTCTCACAATCTAATATTGAATAAATGTGCAAGAAATCCTCTACATTGGTGGTTACAGACGCCCCCTGGTGTGCCCTATAAGTACTGAAGGTGTCTCGCTTCAGCGTGTGGACAATAAGGGATAAAATTTGTAGTTTTTTATCTTCATTTGTCAGATAAAAACCCTTACATGTTTGGATGGACCTCTTAGTTGTCCTGCATTACCAGATTTCAAGCATGTGTGCGTCACTGCTGCGTATTCTGTTATTACGTGAAGAGAGAGACCTCCAGTTGAACTATCAAATCCTCCAGGTGGCTTCATGAGGCTCTAAAGAGGAACCAAGGCCATGAACTCCTCGCTCTAATTCTATGACGACACACAATCCTGAGCTTACCATCGACCACCCTGAGAGGATTTAGATCTGTCGGAGTCCGAGTGTTGATGCGGAAGATCTTCTGAGCGTTCCAAATCATTCTGGCCAGGTTGCATGGCAGCACCACCTGCAGCAGCAGAGAAGAAAGGTTGAAAGTATAAGAAACTTGAAGTTATCCTGCAAGGCTCTAAAAGAGAGGAAGTGGGTTTTTTTTAAATAATAAATTTGACCACACGCACCTTACTGTCACCAGTGGGGAAAATGGCTCTGAGGACCTCCCTGTCCTCCTTCATCTTATCAAACTCTCTCTCCAAGGAGCTCTGCACATGGGCGTTGGTGAGGACATCTTTCACTACGTCTTCTTGAAGCATTCTCCTCAGCGCTCGCTCGTTGGTGCAGTCAAACTTGAATCTAGAAAGAGCAGGAGAAAAAAAAGGAGGAGGATTAAGCCGACGACACCAGAGTATTATTAAGTATTAAACACATCATAAGGATCAGAAACTATTGACTCACTTCTTTTCAAAGGCCTTGTGTGAGGGTTTGAGTGTCGCCACGTTTTGGAACTCGACGTTCTCTCCTGCCAAGCCGTCCTCTCCGTAACGCAGCTGAACCACCTGGTTGATGGAGTTTCGCACCGTGCCGTCATACTTCACCATGACAGACTCCATAGATTTGATCAGACGACGCTGGATGTAACCTGATAAAAGAGATTCATCATATTTACAATCACACCTTAATAATAAATATAAAAATAAATAAATCCTCCTTTTCATTCTTGTCTAATTTCTTCCTGCCTCCTTCACCTACCAGTCTCAGCAGTTTTCACAGCCGTGTCGATCAGACCCTCTCTGCCTCCCATGGCGTGGAAGAAAAACTCAGTTGGTGTCAAACCGGCCAGGTACGAGTTCTCCACGAAGCCTCTGCTCTCAGGACCGTAGTCGTCTTTAATGAAGTGTGGCAACGTGCGGTGTTTGAAGCCGAAGGGGATTCGCTTACCCTCCACGTTCTGCTGCCCCACCACGGCAATAACCTGAAAACAGACAACGCCATGTTAAAGATACAGAACAGAGAACCAGTCTTCCATCTGATGAATCCAGGTTTTGCTCAATCTACCTGTGAGATGTTAATCTTTGAACCCTTAGACCCGGCCACCACCATGGACTTGAAGTTATTGTACTCAGACAGAGACTTCTGGGCAGATGATCCTGTTTTGTCACGAGCGTCGTTGAGGATACGGTTCACCTGGTTCTCAAAGGTCTGTCTTAGAGTGTTACCAGGGGTCGGCTCCAGCTCGTTGTTGTGGGCTTTCTCAATAACCTGGCGAGAAGAAAAAAAAATCAGCCATGTCAAAATTTGCTTATTTTAAGTTTAATTTCAGCTGCTGAGAGTAGGAAGACTGCGTGCTCACTTCTATCACATCCTGTTTGGCTTTCTTGATGGTGTTCTGGATGTCGAGGTAGGTCTTGGCATCAGCAATAGAGTCACCGATACCAATGGAATGACCTGAGGGATGAAACAAGAGTAAACCAGTGAATATTAAGATAAAAAACAAAGATATTTAATACAGACTTGACTGTTTTCTTACCCTCGATGAGCAGCCAGTTGTTGACCACAGTCTGAATGTTGGAGTAGAAGAGTCTGGTGATGTCGTGACCCATCTCCAGGTAGGAGATGTGGACGAGGGACCCGGCGGAGGTTCCCAGAGATTTCTTGCACAGGATGCCCATGATCAACTCACCGTTCTCCACGATGACCTGTGTGAGGGAGAAGACGGCTCAGTCCCATGCCTCGTTTTCCATTTTCAATCGTTTACATTCACAAAGCTCATCAGGGTGTGTACCTTTGTGTCTCCAGGTGAGATGTGTTTGTAAGGACCACTGTCTTCATCGTCCGGGTGGGTGCTGTGTGTGCGGATCACGTTGATGTGTCCAGGAATGATTAAACTGAAGATCTGCTTCCCAGTCCACAGAGGGCGAGGCTTCAGGATGGCGGGCTGGGGCACTTTCCCGTCCCAGGTGGAGAGGAACATAAGAAGGTTCATCACTTCACCCTGTGGAAGAGAATCACACATTGTTATGACCCTTGAAGAAGAAAAAGAGCAGCACCTGGTGGGGTTATCAAAATCGGCGTACCCTCTCTAAGAAGACGTCTCTTTTGGTGAATTTGCGGACAGCTGTGAGTGTGTCCTGCACGATACCCATGACGGGCCTGTTGGACTGAGGCGTGACGATCATACGGGGGACCATGGCCAGCTCCTGGATCTCTGCTCTTGTCTCCAGGGACTGAGGCAGATGGAGGTTCATTTCATCTCCATCAAAGTCAGCGTTGTAAGGGGTGGTGACACTGGAGAAGAGGATTTGATATTTAGACCGATTCAATACAGTTCGAAGATTGTAATGATGAAACATTTATCAGATTTTAACAGAATAATGAACCCAGAATCCTAAAACGAAACAAAAAAAAAAACTTTTCAGAAATCATCTGCTTGATACCAAGCCAAAGTCAGGTCTCATTTTTGTTTTGTACCTGAGGTTAAGTCGAAATGTAGACCACGGCAGAATGCGAACCCTGTGCCCCATCATAGACATTTTATGTAGTGTAGGCTGTCGGTTAAAGATGACAATGTCTCCGTCGCACATATGTCTTTCCACCTTGACAAAAACAAGCAAGATTTAGTCAGACTCAACGATGATTTGGGTCAAGATTGCTTCATGAATGTTACACCTATTCCAGTTTTACCTTGTAGCCAATCTGCAGATGAAGGTCACTTGGTTTGGGGTGGAACCGCAGGTCGATTCTGTCCCCATTGTCACGGATGATGTATTTGGCGCCTGGATACTGACTGTTGCCTCTTCGCACCAGCTCTTGTAGTCTAAAACAGTCATCGGAATGAGTTGGGTGGTGCTACATTGAGTAATCAACATAGTTTTGAAACTCATTCAGCTTCTTAAGGTTGAACTGGCTTCTCTGCATTACCTGTCGATGTTAAAGGGCGTGACGATTTCTGGGAAGGTCATGTTGGCTGCAATGGATCGGGGTACACCCACTTGGTCAATTTGCAGATTGGGATCCGGGGTGATGACAGTTCTTGCTGAGAAGTCCACACGCTTTCCCATCAGGTTACCTCGGACTCGACCCTCCTTCCCCTTTAGACGCTGTTTTATGGATTTGAGGGGACGGCCAGACTTTTGCATCGCCTGTGAAATAAAACAAGTTTTAAATTGTAGGAATATTTAGCAGAGTTGTAAAATGAGACTGGCCTCAATTCCATTAAATCAGCTAATCTAACTGCATATTTAAGGTGGTAAAAGTGCAAAACATACCCTTGGAAGGCCTGGTAACTCGTTGTCTACCATGGTGGCCACATGAAACTGGAGCAGTTTGACGTCTTCAGCTATGACGTGAGCTGCAGCACCGCTCTGCTCATTTCTTCTCAGCTGGTTGTTGATTTTGACAATATCGGCAAGTTTGTGGGTCAAGTCATCCTTTAAAAGAGAAAATAAATGATTTTATGTCGAGTCAATCATCAAATCAAAGCTTTTCAAACAAGCAAAGACAGTACTGTTACAGTACCTGGTTACGAGCGGAGCCCTGCATGACTACAGCTGGCCTGACAGCCAGAGGAGGCACAGGCAGAACTGTCACAATCATCCACTCCGGTCGGGAAAACTTGGGGTCCATGCCCAAGATGACGTCCTCTTCATCTGAGATGCGCTTGAAGATCTCATGCACACGCTCAGGACTCAGCAGGATTTTCTTTTCCTGTGAATCCTCATTGACGTGCTTCCACTCTGCGAACAACTCCAAGCCCGAGCGCCTGATGCTTGGCTGGTAGCGCCCACAGCCACCATGGCCCTGCGTAGGTCATATGGTGAAGAAAATAGAAAGAGAGATAGATGATGATTACTTGAGCACTAATTTTTTAGAGATGAAAAGGCAACAACTATGACAGAATGACTCCACCCAAATACCTTTTCTTTTGTAATGTCCTCCTCGGTCTCCTGCTGCTCCATTCCAAATTTGTTGTCCATCTCCTCTCCTCCCTCGCAGATGTTTTTACCTTTGCACAGCTCATACACGTGTGTCAAACGCTTCCTTGGCTGCCCTTTAGATTTCACCAAGATGTCCTTGATCTTTGGATTGTTCTGAAATAAACAGCAAAATGACACAGCTGCAAGTTAAAAATCTGAACTGCAAACCCAAGAACAAGACTGAAATACTATAAATTTATGAAATGATGTGCTGTTAGATGTTGAATTATACTTACAGAATCCACTAACAGCTTCGAGCAAAAGAAGCAAACACACCGGAGAACCTTCATTATCTTTGTTACGAAGCCAACATGGAAAACCGGCTTTGCCAGTTCTATGTGTCCGAAGTGGCCTGGACATTCTGTCATGTTGCCTGAAGTGACAAAAGCCATTTGAACAACAATCAGTTATGGCAGGGGTGTCAAACTCAACCATAGCAAGGCCACAATCTGGATCTAGGCCTAACCTGAGGGCCAAACAGGGTCAACATTTCACCAAAACTGTCAACCTCCTTTTCAAAAAATATGTAACAAAAAATAGCAATGATTATAAATTATTTGGAAATTCAAAAAAGATAAAAAGTTAAGTTTAAAGGCAATCTGAGATTAAAAAAAAAAATCCAATAGATGAGTTCAAAAGATCAGAACGTGATATTAAAGATAGAAAAATAATGCTTTTGAAGAGCAAATACATGAGGACAAAGTTGAAATCATAAGTTTGAAAGGTCAAAATATGTAATAATTTTGGAATCAAGAATTTAAAGTTAAAATATGACTTAAAAATTAAAACTGGTATCTAACAGATTAAAATGACATAAATCCAAATACTAAGTTGAAAAAAAAAATCAGAGCACAAAACAAAAAGTCAAATCATGTTTGACTTGTAATCTTGAGATGCAAAATTGGAAACATGAATAAAACACAAATTATTTTTCCCCACATTCATGACTATCTATCTAATCTTCCTCACTCTTTACTTTCCCTGATGCTCATTGTTTATTAAGGATATTTAAACTAATGGTGCTAAAGTTTACATTATTATCTTCATCTGCCTTCATACTGGTGGGCCAATAATAATACAGATATGATATGATCTAGTGGGCCAGATATAATTGTTTCATGTGCCAGATTTGGCCCCCGGGACTTGAGTTTGACACCTGTTAGTTATGAAATCAGCTTTGAACAAAACTTAACTTGATGATAAACAAGTATGAAAAGTAAAATGGCAGCATACCTGCACATGTCTGACATCTTCCAGTCCTTTCTATGACCCCTTGTCTCGGGTCCATAAGGCCACCAAGTTTAGGACGTCCTCCTTCTGTTGTTTCGGGGTATTTGATCCCCCCCTCTGTAACCGACATCCGTTTCTGGGGGGAAAGACAGTGGATGTTTTTTTTTTTTAAAACAACAGAAAATAATGCAAAACAAAGAAACAACTAAAATCAATCAATGTAAAACAAACCAAAGTGGCATATGAGTCCAAAAAAAACTCGTTTTCCACAAATAACTACGTCAATGAGAGAATAATTTTCATGCAAATGTGTAATATTTGAGATTATATTTAATAATTCACATGTGAAGGGTTACAGATCAAACACGTGCCATAACAACAAACGCAAAAGATCACGTAAAATATTTTATTAGTTATCCTCAAAACTGCATAAATCTAATCCCGTAAAAGACAACATGCATATCTGATTTTCTGTTAAATTACCCTTTATTCATTTATACAAGTTTAAATACGAATCCATACACAGCGACCATGAGTAATACACGATGTCCTTTACAATGGGCTATAACAAAACCATTTATCTACACACTGATGGGTCTGCAAGGTACATTTCGTGAATAAAAAGGGGGTTTCAGTCATGTGATATTTTAGATCTCATCTCACAATGTTGTGCTTTTAGTTTGCAAACTTCCTGCTACATGCTAGTTAGCACAAGCTCCGCCAGCCTAACACAGCTAGGCTAAGCTAGGCTAACAGCCAGCACTTTACGTCGTAAACAGAGCCATGTTTCTTTGCAAAATATGTCAAACTACAAGATAACTCAAAGAGCTGTTCAAGTGAAATGTGACTGGTCGAAAGAGAATATAATACCCCACTTCCCCCCAAAAGAAAACCTACAAGTTCATCTGGGCTGATGATGCCGAACTGAACTCTCTTGATCGTGCGCAATGGGCATGCGCTGTCGCCGGAGGGCGGTCCGTGCATCCTGTCTATTCAAAGAGACGCGTCCGTCCTCGGCACGCCGCTTTGTGAGCAGGAACAGTCTTTAAGTTGTCACCACGACTCTGATCAGGCCGCCAACGGTGACCGGAATGTCTCCGGAGGCGATATCCCAGGGACCTCTGTAGTCGGTTGCTTCTGTAGCCTTATATTTACTGTTTTGGTCCTATATAATATGGCTACCGGCTGTTCCCTTCCCTTTTCCTGATCTACGCTGTGGAGCGCTCTGAGCGCTTCTGAGCGTGTACAGAGCCAACGTCTGGTTATATAGACTGAGTACAGACTACGGGGTTGCACACTCAAAAATCCAGGGGCCGGCTCTCCGGTAGGTGGGACATGTAACTCTGTAGTAAAACGCTCATTGGCCATTCAAGACAGTTGAATGAATAATTGATTGAATCACACGTACAGCCAATTAGAGGGCACGTTTATTCTCCAAGCGAATCGGTTCGAAAGGCGGGCGCTGATCAAATCGAAAGCTTTCCCTATTGGCTTTATTAAAGCAGCATAGGCGGCGCTACACCTTTTTTGCATAATTAATGTGAATATTTAACTCAAATTCCTCCTATTGGTTACTTATATCATTAATATTTAATAGTTAAGCAGAGCAAACCAATGGCTACAAAGAAACGGTGCTTCTTAGAATAATTTCAACAAAACCCTCCCAAGTTCCGATGTTAGCCGAATGTTGCCGATGTGAGTTTCTTCCCTCAGAGCAAAAATAAAAAAAATCTCTGTTCCCCCGTTCGTCTCGCTCTAGCTCAGCCTGAGCTCTAAGAAAAGAGGCTCAGGGCTGAGGCCTGTAAAGACCCCTGATTCAATAAGAGGAAATGGCCTTATAATGTGATATTTTGAACTTGAATCACTGTAAAATGGATTATTTTTCATCTACCTTTGGAACACATTGACTTTCTTCTTTTTTGTAAGTTTGGTTTTTTCCATCTCTGGGACTTTGCCGCAAGCCTCGGACTCGACTGCAAGGGATGGCCGGCCAGTGGACTAGATTTTCGGCACACCATACAGGAAACTGTCGGGGAAGCCTTAAGTGTCATTTTAAATGTTGTTTACCGAACAATGCTTGATTAATTTACATAACCATGTTTCTTATATCCTCTTATGCGGTTCTATTGTTAAATTTATGCATTTATTTTAAACTTTTTTGTATAAATGTTGAACAGAATCACAGGCCAGGACTAAAAGCAAGCTGAAATGCTGTGGTTTTGGCGGTCAAGAAAGAATAGATTATTAGTTTTGAATTGTTGGAGTAATGGCAATCGTCGACAGCGTTGTTCTTATTAGCTATTTAAAGGTCTGCTCACATAAGTATTTGACCGAAATGTAACAATTTTCTTCTTTTGGCCAAAACTTGTAGCTTAGCTTACAGAATGCCCAACGTCTGGACTCTTTGACGACATCGACCGCATATTCCCAGTTGTCTATTATTGAATTTACTTTTTTACATTTATTCGTGCAGCCGAATGGCTTTATTGCCATTTTAAGTGTATTTATTATCAGTACTTTGTATAATGTACTGTGGACTCAACCGGACCAACGGTAGCCGTTTACCGAACATTAACGTTATGAGACGAAACGACTGTTAGCTGCGTAGCTAGCAGATCATTCTCGGACTATTTAGCTCTGGTTTAGAGAGTTAACTTAATCCTAGTGCCCTTGTTGTACTTAATATTTTCTGTCGTGGTAGTAGTTGTAGATAATATTTCTTAATTTTAGCTTTACGACATAATAAGAGGTTGCCAATTGTAGGATACCATAGCGCCCAACATGGCGGTGTTTGCTTCTTGTTGTGAGTGAGAAAGATGGAGTCTGGAATATTCCTGTCGGCTAACTTGACCAGCCGTGAGGCTTCGTATTTTATGGAGAAATGAAAATATCCGACCAAGTAGAATAATTAAGACACGAATGTTATCTTAAACTGGTGGCATTGCAATAGATAATATGGCGTTTGGACTCCTTCGAAGTTTGCCAGCTAGTTTTTCAGTAGTCTCCACTCTCTTCGTCTTTGCTGGAGTTGAAGCCATTTTGCCAGCTAAGTATGTGAATATTTTCCTGTTTTTCGGACGAGAAGCTCGCTTTAGTGTTGTTTATTAAGTCAAGTTACAATCACTGTTACCGTAAAGGTATCACCAATCTGACAAGATACTCAATCCTTTGTTTATTTAAAGTTTAAGTGTCACAGTCTCAGCATTAATCTCGTCTACCGGGACTAGGGAATACCATTAGCTTGTTACACAATAGATTTATCCGGTTAGCTCTCATTAACGCTAGTACTAACCCAGGGAAGGGAACGAGTAACGTTTGGCTGTCGTTGTGGCTTTATAAATATGTAATAGCAGAACAGTACATAGTGTTATCGTGTAGCCCCTGTGAGAACCATAAATCTCCATTGTCTTGCTCAGGAGTGTTGAGGCATTTGCAAAGAGGGTGAACTATGTCTGTGTTGACCCTCTGGTATTATGTCCTCATATATGTAAGTTAAAAAAAAAAAGAGTAACTGCAAAACAGATCATGATCCACTTCATATTCCAACAAGATTGCACAACCTTTAGCTAATGTAGTGTGTATTACATGTATCAACTTACTGTTCTTTAAAAATCACGTCAAATTGTGTAAAAAATCAACTGCATATGATGAAATAAAGATACTTAAGAAAAAGTCATGGACTATGAGTTGTTTTATTAATATTACTTTGTTTCCTTGAGACATCCCAGCATTTATCTGCTGCTTCCTGCATGAAAATGTATCTTGCCATCATCTCTTTTTGCCAGGTCCAGTGGCAGTGGAGGCAACAGTGAAGTCTAGAAGCAAGGACAGGTGCCACATCTGCAGTATCCTAGTGGAGTTGAATGGTGTTCATTTTTAAAATGTTTTTACACAAACTCGTGCCCATGCCAGGTTTAAAATTGATAGAATAATATGACAGTAAATCACTTTGTTCACCATGTGCCATGCAATACCATGACTATACAAAGGATTCATTATTGACCAGCTGGCTCCCTCCCCTGGTTCAGATTGAGAATGAGCCGCGCTGCAAAGACATTGCACAACCACATTTTCAATGCGGAAGTGAGTCCAACATGCTGTCAAAAGTGCTCCCTCCAGTGCTAAAAGAAGGTTAGTGCACAGAGCCAGTCAGATTGGTTGTAATCCATCATAAGGCCTCAAAGTGTGTAATCTTACTGCTGCAGATATGTGCAGTAACCTTCAAGCGTCAGTAATTTTTTATCATTTATTTGAAGGGCCTGCAAACATTTCATTATCTTACTGAGAAGCAGTAATGACAAACTGTAAATGTTGACAAAAAGCACAGTGCCTAACATGAATATGCAACTTATTTCTAGTGAGAAACACGACCATGGGTGTTTAAGTACATTTATTTAACTCCTGTATGTTGGTGTGCTTTCAGTATTCCTGTTTTTACCATTTTTCAAATTTTGAACACTACAGTATTTACTCTTTGAATGTTATATAGTATTTAAAGCAGACTCAGTATGCTTTGATTTTCATTTGTTTTAAGATGAAATCAAAGTGACAGATGTTGCTTACCCTTAACTACCCATGTGATATTCTCGTGGATTCATAGAATCATTATCTTCTGACAAAGCACTTTGAAATGAGCCATTCAGAGTATTCCTTTTTTTGTAAGATAGTGGTAGTTTCCGTTGTTGTCCTATTTTCAGAGTAGAACTCTGTTACCAACTAAAAGAAAATTATTTCTGAGAACTTGTTTTTTTTTTCCTTCTGAACATGCAAATTCATGTATCTAGGGGGAGCTCTAGGCTGGAGTTGTCATGGCTTGAGTGCGTGCGTGTGTTTACTGGGTTCGGAGGGGAGGGAGGGAGGGAGGGAAGCACACAGGCAGATGTATAGCATGATAGGAGGAGCCAACAATGTTTTCATCCTTTTTATGAAGCTTATATTGAAATTGCAGAGGGAAATATTCCAAGTACATACACAGCTAATTATATACCTTCTGTTATACATCGAGCTGTATCTTCCAAAATGCAACCAGTGTAATGCTTCTTTTAAATCATTCCAGTTGCTCTGTGTGAGTTTGGATCACTTTCTTCATAAACTAAAGCTGTTACTGCACAATGTGAAAAAAATAAACCTGTCTGCAACTTTAATTTTCTTCTCAAATGAAATCTTTGTAGTTGGCTGCAAGTTTGGACAAAGTGTTCTCTTTTGCCACCTGCAAGATGCGCCGTAATTAGAGTTTTGTCGTAGCTACTGGCTACTGACTTGGCATTAAAAAACATTTCTAGTTGCGTAGTTTGTTTTTGTTTTCAGTTGTAACACCGTCATTATAAATAACCTTTGTAGTCGACTGAAGTCAGCCTTCAGTGCGGATACCACGCTGCTAAAATAAGAGTTGATCAGGGGGTCTTCTGACCAATCATTAAACGGTTAACTTCAAAGGGAAGCCCTAAAAATAGAAAACTGCAAAGGTATTAGTCCAGTTACGGCAGTCTTAATGTGAAGTTCAAGTGTGCGAAATCTAAAGAACCGTGGGTCATTATGTAAACAGAAACAGATATCTTTTGTTCGGCTGTATTTCCCCTTTAGTTATGCACCAGGATGCTGTTTTGTTGTAAGAATGGGTGACGCAGGGTTGGAGGCATGCTCTCTCTAAGAGCCCTTTAGAACAGGCCGGCCCATTTCTGTCTGCAGGAGAATGTCCTGTTCTTTGGGTGTTTGTTTTGGCTGATGTCAGCCCCTGCCAAGCGTCTTCATCTTTCTTTTATCCTTCCTTTTATCATCCACACACCCTTTCAGACCTTCCAAATTCTCGTCTCCTTTCGTCTACACAGGGCTCTTTGTAGGCAGCTCATTTGTAGAGAGCAGACTGGAGTAGGAATGTTAAGTCATCTAGTATTTGACTCAGACGATACACCAGGAGTTTTGCTGGAGATCTACGCTTTGTTAAGGTTTCTTTCAGCTTCTTCCTGGAACTATCTGGGTGCTAAATTAATTGCTCTTGATCCCACCTCGCGTTGCAATCGGCTTAGTGCTAATCTGGGGTTCTCACAGTGCAGCCAAGTCTCGTCCAGGCGATCCTGCTGCACTGAGCTGTCCACTGCTCTCTTCTCCCAAGGTTCTGACCCCTGGCGGAGTTTTTCACGCACCGCTTTGCCAAACCACCAATTTTTTCCCCATCATTTTCCCATCACCTTAGTGTTTGGCAGCTTGACCCTGTTTCTGCACAGTTCACCTCTACTTCTCATTTCTCGTAG